GGTGATGGGATGGTGGTGAGGGTTGGGATGATTTTGGACAAAGCCATGGCGGACCAGGGGCCCTTTTGTAGGACTCGGAAACCGTGGACGGGCCATGTGGTCTCGGTCTTGGTTTGCTTGTTCCTGGCGCAGTGCAGGCTCTGAAAGTGATACGGGACCTGCTGCAGATCGTTGCATGGGGATTGTAATAGGCCAAGGTGAGGGCCTCGCACCGTCTGACCCGCCGGCCGATCAGCCCGCCAAGCCCCGTTTTGTGGCCGCCCGGAAGTTGAAGGAAGTGAGAGGCCCATCTATTTTTAACGGGGGGCGAATCAGGGGTCAGAGCTGGCGATGAGCTGGCCAAGCAGCCCCGCAGGTGTCTCGTATTGGGTCTGGCGGCAAAGGGTCTCCGCGCGGTGCCTGGCCTGTCACGGCGGTGCTCGTCGGCTGGAGATGCTCAACTTGCGACGCTATCGTGGACGATCGCGATCAACACGACCCGGGCAAACTTGACTGGCGCGAGGCTCGTGTTTGAACTTTCATCTTGTGCTGCGCCTTGATCGGGTTTTCCTTGTGCTTTTGTTTGATGCTTTTTCTTTGCTGCCTGCATTGCTTTCTTTGTTTGCTGCCACTTGCCGCTGTCTCCACTGCCCAGTCGATCTTGCGATGTGGCTGCTGACTCCAGATGCAGATGTGTGGAGTCGCCCGCCGACAATAATCCGTATCATGATCATCGCATCATGTTATTGTTGCTGGACCGAAAGGGAAAGAGCGAGGTTGGGGCGAGCTCTCCACTTTGCTAGTGCTGCGTTGCGTTGCTCTGGAGGATTTGGGGGCTGAACCTTTTGTCCCCAGCCTCGCAGTCGGGCGGTCGGAACGAAGCGACGCCTCCTGAAAATCTCAGAGGCCATGCCGGCCTTGTGACCCGCTTGATTGCTTCCTCGGCTCTTGACTCAACTTTGATGGTTGGAGCCTCACTCCTCATGACTACACTGCCTGGTTGCTTTGCATAGCCACACGGCTGCAAGCAACAGGTCCCTCTGTCCAGACATATTCTCCTTCCTTGCGGCATTTCCACTTCGAGACACATCGAACAATAAAACAATAGTAGACCATCGCGGCATCCACCGTCCCGAATGGCACCACAGCCCCGGGTCCCACATGTAGCATGTTCAAGGCTGATGAAACTGAAAACGATGCATTTTAGCAAACTGACTGCTCAAAACGAAACCAACTCGGAGAGGAAGACGATGGGAGCTGGGTATCTCAAGGCGCTGGCACGTGAGACGCTAAACAATCCATGTCTGGCAGACAAACGAGACGTCCCAGGCTGACAAGTTGCCAACACCACAGTCATCAACTTCTCGCGTCGTAGTCAACCCAAAACACGCCTCGCTTTGTCTGTGGAGTCCACCTCTGTCCTCTGGACTCCGTACTCCCTACCCCCTGAGAGTCAGACTGTTGTACATCCCGTCCCGTCCGCATGGAGCCCTCACCCGTCCCCGTCCCAGCCGCAGTGTCACAGCCACAGCCAGACCCATCGCCATCCGGCCCGGAACCCACAATATCGATGATACCGATCGGCACACAGCAGTCACACAGCCTCTGGACCTCCATCTCCGGTCCCGCCGCAGCCCAGAATCAGAATCGTAATCAGGATCAGGATCCGGATCCGAAACCCTTATCCAAATCCCGCAAAAGTCCGCTCGTCGTGATCATCGCCGGCGCCGGCGACGTCGCGGCGTCGTATGTTGCTCTCGAGCGCCTTCTTCGCCCCTTTACACGGGTGTTTCTCTATGACCGGACGGGGCTTGGCCAGAGCCAGTCTGCGCCTGAGGGGTATAGACCAAATGCGGTGCGTGCAGCAGAGGAATTGCACGCCCTCCTAAGCACTACAAAACAAACCCAACCAGAGCTGGTCTCTGATCCCACTTCCTATATCCTGGTAGCACACTCGTACGGCGGGATCATCGCGCGCGAATTCCTACACCTGTATCCAGAGACCGTAGCCGGGATGGTCCTCGTCGACTGCGCGACGGAGCGCTCGTCTGAACTGCTTACATTCCCGGACCCGAACATCGTCGCCGTCATGGGCGATTTGAATTTCGCGCGGGTGACGGGGTTAAGACGGGATACGGTGCTCTCGGATGAGGAGTGGAGGGTTCGGGCGAGGGATATACGGGCTGGTGCGGAGATGGCGGGTGCCGAGGCAAGGAGTTTTGTTGAGGTTTGCGAGACGCTTCAAGCGAAAGAGCAGGTTAAGAGTCAAGCTCTGGGCGACCGACCACTCGTCGTGATCCGTGCGAAAGGGGTGAGGGACTACGAACTGATTTACGAGGCTGGCCTTAAAGCTGGCTATGGGAGTCCCGAGCAGCAGAAGGCGTTTCGGGAGCTGCTGGATCGGTGGGAGGGGATTGATAGAGAGGTGCAGGAGGGGCAGCTGGGGCTGTCGAGGGTGAATAAACTCGTTAGGGTCGAGGATTGTGGGCATAATGTGCATCTTGTGAGGCCGGAGGTTGTTGTTGAGGGGACTCGGTGGGTTTTGGATGTGATTTCGCGGGGGGAGTGTAATGATGGGATTAGAGAGTGAGCTTGATTGCTTCTGCAACTAGTTATCTGCTAACTAATGGCGGCGGTTGAGCTTGTTCACGTCGCGCGCGTGCTTGTAGACGAGCTCTTTGGCTTCGGCGCTGTTCTCTGTTAGTATGCATCATGCCTTCAGGGGACTAAATAGGGGGCGTACTCGTCAAGATAGATGGTGAATCCATCGTCGTGGTTCCGTCCGTAGGAGTACCCAGAGAACCCGAATTGCCAGTACATGTCCGGCATCTTCTCCTTTAGACTGATCTTCTGCCAGCCCCCGACAGCCTCGAGGCGGGTGATGTTCGACACCGTCCCGAGGTTATTCCAGCGGCCCTCGTCGGTCAGCCAGCCTACACGAATTAGCCCTTGATCCTGATAAAGCAAAGACGAGAGAAACTGCGGAAAACTCACCATACTCCTCATGAACAACCGGCTTCCCAACCTTCCTGCCAACCCGGGCATGATCCCGAATCCACTGATCCGTCCACTGCACCGTCTTACTCCACCAATCCGGATACGAGTGAAACACCCCAAAGTCCACATTCTTCAATCTGAGCTCCTCCTCGAAATCCCCGCCATCCGACCCGTTATACGCCCAGTCGTCCGACTCATAGTTGAACCCGCCCTCGCCGCCCCAGGTCACCAGATGGTTCCGGTCCAGCCGCTTGATGTACGTGCTCATCTCGTCGATCCAGGAGGTCAATAGTTCGGGGGTGCACCCCGCTGGGCTGCGCGGGAGGTTGCGTACTCCGTCGGCGCCGCAGCGTGGCTCGTTGGCGAGTTCCCAGGCCATGATTGCGGGTGAGTTGCGGTAGCGCGAGACCATCTCTTTGACGTAGCGCTTGTAGGCCTTTTTGATCTGGGGGAGGCGGTAGAACTAGACGACCTGTTAGCATTCCACTCTTTCTCCCTCGGATCCCACCAACCAGCAGGGCCACGACACAAGAAGGGGGGGAAAGCGATCGCGTACATCATCATGGTACTGTCCCCCCAGGTTAACCGTATACACATCCATCCCGCCGTAATCCGCCCAGTTATTCGTCAGGGCCACAATGAGCTTGATCCCCGTCTTCTCCGCCGCACGCACAACCTTGTCAAACGGCTCGAGGTCAATCACCGATTTTCCATTCTCCCACCACTGGAAAACAATCTCCGTCGCGCCGGCGCCCTCGCCGCCGTACTGTGGGAGCCCGCCGTCGATGTATGTCACGTTTTTGTCGTTGAAGCCCCATGTGCGGAAGACGTTTAGGCCGGCGTTTTTGGCGGCCGTGAGGCCGAGTTCGACGTCTGTTTGGTTCTAGATATCAGTGAGCTCAATGTGTGGATGGTTGTTGGGGTATGCAGGGGAGAGGAGACGGACGTCGTTGAAGGGAAAGTAGTACGCATTACTACCGGCAAAGTAAAAGTCCTTCCCATCAAGCTGGAACTTGTTCCCCTTGGTCGTGACGAAGCCGCGGCGCGCTGTCGCAGCTCCGGCGAGGAGGGTGAGAGGGAGAAGGGTGGAGAGTAACATGTTCGATTAGCTGTCGGAGAGATGGCCCATGATCGCCGTACCTTGCTGGTCAATGCATCTCATTATATAGACGACCGGTGCCGCACTTGCGACTGCTGCTCGATTCCCGGAAATTATTTACCTCTTTTGCGGAGACGCTCCCGCCTTGGCCGTTCTGGATGAAGAATCTCCCCGCAAATCCGGCTGTGGGGACGGAGAAATTACGGAGTATACGGCTTGGAATGCTGCGGGTTCGAGAAAGTTCCGGGAATGTGTACGTGCACGCTCGTATCTATAGCTCACACTTGCACCGTGCCCCCGTTCTGCGGGCCTCGGCGGATGGAAACTCAAGCCGTATATAACTTCTAGAAAACAAGACTCCGTTGCCCAACAGCTATGAATGTAGCCAGCGTGGCTGCATGCAGTGTCCCGATGGGATCCCCGCAATCAGGAAGCGGAGGATGGATGGGTGTGCGCTAAGACACTTTTGGTACGGAGGAAGAGCCGCGGACCTGGAGGTCCGGATTCAAAACCCTTGCATGATGCCGTCACGCCACTAGTCCGTGGTATATTGCATGATAAGAGTGTAATAATCCCACTTGGCATTTCTGCTCTGCTGCGGAGCTCTCACATTCCCGAGGAACGGGAGAAGAGTATGCGCAGCCCTAACAACCCAGACCAGATTCTCGGATTGTTCAGGAGAGCGTAGAGAATTGAGCCTCTTGACAAATTCTAGGCGTCTTTTAGTATGGACTACCTCCAATCTCCTCGATCCTTCTGTTAGCTATCGGTGGTCCCCTCTGCTTGATGGTCGGCGCGCAAAACAGGCCACCGCCTCCTGCAGGCGCCATCCACGATTTTACTGACAATGATCAGCCCACCTACCTTGTCATTTTCGACCTATATAGCTGATATGTGTATGATCGAGATTGACTGTATATGGGTTTACTTCCGTGTTGTGGGTGCGGGGCGGCGTTGTTCACATTATATATTTCAGGATAAACCCTACCAAATTGTCACGACAATAAGAATAGATTAATCGGTTCAAAAGATAATGAATCCCTAGATTCCTGAATCTCTCAAGGGTTCTTAGAGTACAAAGTACTCACCCACTTTCATTGCAGCAAATTATATATCGTAACCTGGATCAACATTATTGCAGGTGGTCTTGGGCATCATGGGTCCTAGAGTGGTTCCTAGAAGCTGCAAGGGTAGGATAGCCTTTGAACATCTATCCAAAAGGCCTCGATGATGTATGGTCAATTCATGATACGGAACTCTGGAACGTCTAAACAGAACACGCCCGTCTTCCTTGGGACCCTGGGCGCGAATGGGAGACCGGGGCCTTTGCTTGGCATCACATGCGCCAAGCCAGGAGCCAGCAGCTGCCTACAATCCCGCGAAGCTTCGGTGCCTACGTTTGCTTCATGGGACTTTATTACTTCATCTACTCTGAGCCTCCTGCGGAGTCCCCGCGGCCAACGGACCAGACCATCAGCACCGCAGCATAAAATGGGCGCCCTCTTCTCAACCCCCCAGCTAACCGAGGAGGACCAAAAAAGAATCGAAGAGGACCTCGCGTGGCGCAAAGCACATCCAGAACTCCCGTGCGTCCCTCCCGAAGCAGACGAAAGTGCTCCTTGCTACGCAAGCTTCCTGGACCAGGTGAGGGTCGTCCCGCATAAGGATGGCACCTGCCTGGTGGCATATGCAGGGCAGCAAGTCCGCTGTCTTGGGTGGTGGGAGCCGAATCCATTTGATCTGCGCGGTGTCGAGGTTAATGAGTATATCCTCAGGGCTGTTGGTGTTGAGAACCCTGCGGAGGCCGGGGGACAGGCGCATCCGCGGATTGTCAAGTGGGTCTCTTTTCAAATTTGAGAGCATGGTTCTAGTGCAGTGCTAATCTAACTCTAACTCTAGGTATCTGGGCCAGCTTACGCCCGGGTATAAGCTGGAGCTCTTTGGAAAACCTGGCCCTCTACAGTCTCTCGTCCTCCCCACGCTATCAGTCCCAATTCCGGATGATGCTACAGGCCCCAAGCTGCCGCCTGTATTACTGCTATACTACCGCTGGGCCCTGCAGACTCTCTCCGCCCTCCAATTCCTGCACTCACACTCCGTCTACCTCCGCGACTTCTCCTGCGACTCCATCTGGATCCGCGACAATTTCTCAGCCGCGATTACCGGCTTCATCCAGGCCACATTCCCTGGCGCCGAGCTAATGGGCGGAGAAGACTTCCCTCGCCCTGGTGGAGGCGGGATCGATTTTTCCGATTTCGAAGCTGAATATGACGAAGAGGGTTTCCAGATTTATGGGACGCCGCGCTCGGATATCTGTGATTGGGCGACTGCTGTCTGGGAGTTTATGACGAACGACCACACAGCCTCGCCGCCCCAGCGGCCTGGGGGTATTTACTCGATTGTTTGGCCCGAAGATCCGAAGGGTTGGCCGGAGGAGTGGGATTATAAGGAGGATGAGAGGAGGGCGAGGGAGAAGAAGTTTTGCCAGCTCGAGGAGGCGAGATTAGGTCCTGTACTTGTCAAGGCCTGGAGTGGTGAGTATAAGAATGTTAGCGAGGTGATCTGCGATGTCCGAGCGGTTTTGAGAAAGAAGGGGATTGAGGTTATTGGTGAAGATGAGGTTCTGCCTGGAGACACAATGTCCTGGGGGGACATGTTTACCATCGTTCCTCCATCTGGTGAACATCCGTATCGCACGGAGATCCGTCTTCGCGATAGACGGGGACTTGATTCGATGTCGAGGATGGCTATTTTGCCAGAGGTGAAACAGGAGTGATTCCGAGATGGCGCACCAGGGCATACAGGCAGTAGGGGCTGTGTCGCTTATTCCAGCACCATGTTCAAGTTGATCAATTGAGCTGCTTGGCTGCTTCTAACTATAAAGACCAGATTCATTTCTCTTGTCTTGGTTTTCTGTCTTGGTTAGGGCGCTGGCGAACTCCGCAACCTGGGGGGGGGGGGGGTTTCAAGTCACTCGGATTATGACGAATCACAGATGCATGCTAGGTCACATTCACGTCCTAGACATATCGTATGCGACTTTATAACCAATTGGTATGATCGACCATATTCCCTACTCCACATGACAATTACCTGCCCCCTCGAGCCATGGCATACCAAGTATACCAACCCGAGCTCCTTCAACCCTCTCCACCAGAGACACCAAATCACAGACTTCTAACAAACGGCTCCAATGGAAACACCTCTTTCTCCGCTTGAACACCCCCATAAATCCCCTCCCACCTCGACGCCAACCCCTCGGGCGTCTTCCACGCAAGCTCTGGATCCCTCAACCAAAGCCTCACGAGATGCCTCCTCTTCTCCTCGGAATCCCTAAACCCGGCCCGCGCATGGAAGATCGACAGATTATTCACAAACTGGATGTCCCCCTTGTGGAAGTCCAGCGAGACGGCGGATTTCTCGGCGAGGTAGTGCAGTGCATCCAGTGCTTCGGCTTGCGCTTCGGTTAGGGGTGGGAGGGACGGATCGCGCGGTCGACCCCAGTATCCCGTGAATCCGCGGCGGGCGTACTGGATAATAAGCCTCTCAGGCTCAGACGAAGACGCAGAAGCCGGCTGATGGAAAAGCAGCGGCCGCTCCACAACCCCACCCCCCTCCTCACTCACCCACGGCTCCGCCAGCGTCCGTACAAGATCCGGCCTCGTCCTCGCAAGCTCATTGTACACAAACCAGCTACTCGACAAGAAGCTCTGCCCGCCGCTATCCGCCTCCCCCAGCGCAAACAACGCAACGATGTCGCCGATGTCCGTGTGGAAGACTTGTTTCTCCGTCGTGTATGCCGGCGCCTTGATCGCTGTCGGATCCACCACACGGCTGAGGTCTGTTATGTGTGCGAGCACGACGTCTGCGGGCTCGCCGTGGGCTGTCTTTGTATCCTGCCGCCCGCGGACCGGCGCGATGTGCGAGGCGAGCCCGGCGTAGATGGTTATGTTTTCTGAGCGCGTGTGGGAGTCGACGGGGAGGCCGCGGAGGACTTTGAAGCCGTGGCCGCGGTGGATTTCGTGAGAGATTGAGCGGAGGGTTGCGTGGAGGGTTGGGAGTGGGAAGGTTGTTTGGGTTATGTAGCCGAGGGGGAGGTCCAGGCCTGTTTCTCTTGTCAGTGCCCACTCGTAGTAATCTACATCGGTTCAGCGAAGGGTGAAATACTTTTGAAGTGCTCCAGCGCAGCCTCTACCTCGGCGATATCCTCCTTCGTCAAGTGGTAATTCCAGTCGTAGGATTCGGCCAGATTCTTCCCATCCCAAACAAGATCGGACTCTAGCTCCATTGGAAAGCCCTCCGGTAGAGCTTTTGGCAGGTCCTCTGTCTGTAGGCGCCTCTTCGTCCGCGCAGCGTACTTGACTGGATCCGGCAGATATTGGATATCAGGTTGGCCGACTGGGCCGATGGGGACCGGGGGAATGATGGCTGCTGGAGACATATTGGTGCCGATTGGACGGTACTGGACATACGACAGCTGTGCGTGAGCTTGAGCTTGAGGTGATTTGGAAGCGAACGAGGGGCAAGAGAGATCTTATGGTCACATCGACCCCTCATTCTGTTGATCACGATATCGTCTTGGTCATCGACGCAATCGATGTCGCGGATGGCGTTTGGTAGCCCCGCTCAATGTCTCATGTTGCTTAGCTATGATAAGGTTACATCAGATGGAGCAATAGATCCAACGTCGATCAGCCCTAATTCACGCCATTTGCTAGCCCTATGAATAGAGCTGGTAAGTTGGGGTTTGGGTGGTAATCGGTGCCCCAAGTACGGGGCATGCGTCTAGTATGTACCTATCAAATTGTAAGCACTCCCTAGCATAAGATGTAGCATAGACATGTAGCATAACTAAAACGCTCCGAGTCCTTCTATGCGCAAACTCCAACCCCTTGAATAATGAGGGAAAGGATAAACCCAACAAGCGCATTCGCCGACACAGCCGAATCCGCATCGACCAAATACACAACCACCCGAGACACTAACCCCTGTAGATAAACAATATGCATTCCGGCGCCCGGTGGAAAGCCCGCCAGGCTCTGCGGCCCCGGAGAAATACCCCGGAAACTCGTCCACTCGAACCACAACTGGCCCAACGGGAACAAAACCGCAACCGGGTTCATCGGATCAAGCGCTACTCACACTGAATGCGTCCAGCTTCATTATATTTGGCTCAGATGCGCGTCTGCGTAAAGGAGAAGATGTACGCGGAGCCGAGGATGACCCCGAGGCCGATTGAGAGGAAGGGGAGCGCGCCGATCGAAGATTGTAGGCGCGTTCTTTGGTGAAGCTTATTGGGTAGGCTTCGAAGAGGAGAGCCGTAGATGAAGGTCATTGGAGGGTTGTCGGTTCGAGGATGGGTTCTTTAGGAGCATTACCAGTGGGAGGCTGAACTAGCGGGTTATGATTGATTGGAGGTTGACGGGGGATTCATCTTTATTCATGCTTAGTTGGGTAGAGGCGGATGAAAATGGAAGACGTACAGTTTCAGCTCTTAGTCTCGAGACGGAGTCTCCTCGATTTGCGCTGGAGCAGGTCTCTGAGAGGGTGATCACGCTGATGATTTCAGAGGTCGCAGCCATGATCATGGTAATCCAGGCCCTCCAGCGCCTTCCCAGGTAATTCTCCGTGATCCTTACCCCCAACGATAGACCCGATGAATGTTGTTCCCGCAAAGATCGCAAGAGCGAGACCTCTTAATAGATGGTCGAAAAAGTCGGCTAAATGGCCCCCTGCAATTGACAGTGTCGCAGATGCAGTGACGCCGCTGAGAACACGAGAGACAATGATTGTTTCGATATTTTCGATACACTCACAAGGATCTCAAAGATGACAAAGATGGCGTAGCCCCAGCATGGGTCGTTTGCGCCAGTATAGTTCGGAGAGCGGGCCGAAGAGGATTGTTCTGTTAACAATCAAAAGCATGAAACGAGCTGAATTGATGCACCTGCAATGAGTAATGCGGTCACAATACCCTCACCTCACTAGCAACCCCAGACTCGGTCGTAGTAAACGGACATTGCAAAAGTCCCGGCCAGTGACAGCCAGCCGGTGATTTGCGCATACAGCCATTTCTTCCACTGCGACAGATTCTGCGGCCTCAATGGGTCATCAGGGCCTCCAAGCGTGATCAGACCGGGATTCCTGTCCACTGATAAAGCCGATGTGATGTGGGCTTTTTCTCCGGCGACCATTGTGCTGCGGGCGTGGATGACGATCGCATCGCCTGAACCCCTCAATCCGGCTGTGGCTGCGTCATTGTTGCGCTCAAGGTCGGTCACAGTTGTGGTTCTCCTCGAGTTACTCCGGTGTAGGTTTGGGCTGATCGAGCATAACTCGAGAGTCAGACATAATATCTGGCGCCACCTGGTGTTTAGTTCCGCCATGCCACTATCCATCTGACGAGGCATCTCACTCAACCACTAAACCCCATAATCCAACAGCGGAGATACACCGGAACTGAGTGCCGGAAAGCGTATTGACGCCAGAGATCATACATGTCGAGTAAACGCAGGTGAGCTGGCAGGGCAGAGATACTCCGCAGTCCGGCCGCTCTCCGCGAGTAAATCCGGGTTTCTATAAAATACTCCGTCCAACGCAAGGAAAACAAGTTATACCGTGGACCCCGGCCCATGTTTCACTGTCTTCCCTCTCCTAGTTGATGCCCACATCCTTCAGCCCCTCAGCCCTCAGACTCAGAGTTCAGCGCTTCCTCGGCAAAATGTCACTTTCTGGAAAAGTCATCCTCATCACCGGTGCATCCAAGGGTATCGGCAAGGCTACGGCTCTGCGTGTTGCCGGCGAAGGGGCGAACCTTGTTATCAATTACCTGTCTGATGCGGAGTCTGCGCAGAGTCTCGTAAAGGAGGTTGGGGAGGAGAGGGCACTGGCCGTCCAGGCCGACGCATCCAAACTCGAGGACCTCGATCGCCTCGTCGAAGCGGCGGTCGCCAAGTTTGGCAAGATCGATATCCTCATTCCCAATGCTGGCATCCTGCCCATGCGCGACCTCGAGCACACCACCGAGGCCGATTTCGACAAGACTTACAACCTCATGGTCAAGGGGCCGTACTTTCTCGCTCAGGTACTTCCCTCACATTCTCAGGCTGAGGCACAACTGACACACTTGGTAGAAAGCAGCACCACACATCCCTGAAGGCGGCCGCATAATCTTCATATCCACCGGCGTCACCGTCCTCTCCAACATCGCCCCCGCATACCTCCTCTACGCCTCGGCCAAAGGCGCTGTCGAGCAAATGGCCCGTATCATGGCAAAAGACCTCGCGCGCAAGGGCATCCTCGTCAACGCGGTTGCTCCCGGGCCGACCACGACAGGTCTATTCCTGACCGGCAAGTCAGATCAGACGTTGAAGATGGCCGCTGGTCTGAGTCCGTTTGGTCGGATTGGCGAACCCGATGAGATTGCGAATGTTATTGCCTTCATGTGCGGAAAGGGCAGCAGCTGGATTTCGGGACAGGTTGTGCGGGTGAATGGGGCGATGGCGTAGATTGCATGGTGCCTATTATCTTCCTTTGACGTTTCTTTTCTTTTCTTTGGATCAATTTGGCTTGTGACGATTGATGATTTGATGTCCGCGGGTTGTATCCAGAGTAGACAGACAGAAGCCACCTGAGGCCACCTCGCTTGATCAATCTGACATGCGTCTTCAGAATCCACATTCAGAATCAGCAGGGGACTGAATATATCTACCAGTAAACATACTTATCCCGTCGCAGTCTCTAGTATACCCCATAGCAATTACCAATTCACTTTCAAGAGCCGGGAGACAACTCCGCCCAGCTGAGTGCCATACAAACCCTCGCTCGATATCCGGGTCCCTGCGCCCATTTGCTCAGCCTTTAGGACCCAACAAAACCCTACCCAGTTCAGCTTGCTTAGATCCCCACACTGTACACGCGGATAATAAAGTCCTTTTCTTGCGTTACATTGTGCATGATTTAGTCTAGTCATCTGCCCTTCGAGCTGGAGCTCGAAGCTCGAGAACAGCTCGTGGAACGATCGTCATCGCCTTCATACTCAATCTCGCCCTCAAAGCAATATATCCCCTAGGGGTAGAAATGGATGATCTGGGCCCGGGTTTGTCGAGTTTGTCTACTACCTCGCCTGCCGGACGTTTGGTCTGATCCAGCTCCCCGGCTTTGATGCTCTCTTTCTTTTTTTTTAATTGTATATAGCCATCTCCAGGCTCCCAGATACACTACAAGGACTGCGGTCGCTACTTCAGTGGCCTGATGGCTCGAACTACATAGAGCCTGGAGCTTTGATTCTGGACCTGTATCGGTTCTACGTGGTGTTCAGTTGGTGAATTCGTCTGTCGCACTAGGCCGATGCTGGGCTTCTTGTTGGATCTTTGCGAATATGATGCGCAAGTCGCGTGGTATACTGCTGGGGTTCCAATGCAGCTACCATAATCCATAGCATGGCCCATGTATAGTTCCGAGGGAAAACATATCCATCTATTCGACAAATTGGACTAGTCTTGCTTTTCTATACCGACCCCCTCCCAGATCGTCTGACCTACTTCAACAACCCAACCCCCCTCCAATACCTCACATATCCCCTAGCTGTCTCAGCACTTACAGCATCCATCCCCCTCAGCGTCCTCGAAACCCCCCTCGCACACTCCGTTCCCATAACAACCTCACCACACGCCATCCGCAGAAAATCATCCGCGAAGAAATCATACAGCTTCTTCGCGGGATTGTTGTTCTCGATGGGTGTATTCCAGACCCGGTCTAGCCACTGGTCTATGGGTAATATTTGAGGGATGTTGAGTTCGTCGGAGAGGATACGCAGCAGGTCGTGCCAGGATTGGCGGATGGGATTTTCGAGGTGGTGGATTAGCGATAGGGGGGTGGGGGAGAGGAGGATTTCGCATATGGCGCTTGCGGCGTGGTTGACGGGGAGCCAGGAGAGGGTCTAGATGCAAATAGTCAGCTGCGTGACTGGACTCGTAGATTGTGAGAGGAACGGGGTTGTGGACGGCATACATGGTGCAACTCCGGTAGCCCCCCAAGACTCTTCGACGACGCCACAAGAGCCGGAAAATGCTCATTCCCATTCCAGTACCCCGTCTCGCTGGACCCCGCGACCTGCCCAACACGGATGTAGCCGACCTCCATCTCCTCGGGATAGTTCTCACGCGCATGCTCTAGGATCCGCTCGCAGACGAGCTTGGCCTCTGCGTACCCGAATGGGTTGAGGCAGTCGACTGAATCGACGGGTTGCTCGGGGATGATTCGCCCCCCGTGGACCCGGGCGTACCGACCGACAGTCGCGATGGAGGAGATGAATGTTAGTCGGGGCTTGATGTGGGGTCGTGTTTGGTGGATTTTGCGGGCGAGAGTGAGGAGGTTGTGGAGGGTTTGGAATTGGGAGTGGAAGGAGGGGAGTTTCCAGTGAAAGTCCATGGGCCAGGCCATGTGGAGGATGTGCGTTACTGAGTTGATTAGAGTGGTGTACTCTTCTGAGGACAGACCGAGGAGGTCGGTTGCTGTGGTGCATTCGAGGACGTCGAGCCTGGACAGATGGAGTTTTGGGAGACGGAGCTGTTTCGCCTCGAGGGATCTCTGTAGCCGAGATCTGGCGTCTGTCGAGGGATCAGGCCGAACGAGACAGATTACCCTTTTGACCTGCGGAGAGTCGAGGAGGGAGACGAGGCAGTGCGAGCCCAGACTCCCCGTCGCGCCTGTTAGCAGCACCACTGCTTGCTGCTTAGGGGGAGTCGCACTCGGCCGGTCGAGGATGTACTTGTGCACGAAAGCATCCACCTCGGCATCAGCATCTGGCGACACGTCACCATTGGTCTGCTTCAGAGCACCGCGGAAGAACTCCGCCATACTACGCACAGAAGGGTGTGAATAGACAAACTCGCGAGTGATGCACTCCGGTCGAATGACCCCCTCAAACGACCGAGTCACAGCAATGACCAGGGCACGACGGACGCGAACCGCCTGGAGAGACTTCATCCCGCGCTCGAAGAAATCGTCTTCAGAGGTCCAGTCATCCTTCCAGTCGACACAGTTTGAGATGAGTGCCGTCAAGTCCTGCTCGAGCGTATCCCACTGCAGTACCTGGGCCGGACCCGCGGATTCGAGCTTCTCGTACACCTGCACGATCTCAGCCTCGAACATCTTATACACGTCCTTGCGTGCTAGAGATCCCTTATCCGTTCTTGCTAGGATAACTGTACTCGGGACAATGAGAACAGCCTCGGCCGATTGGATCCGCGCATGCTCATCCATCTTCACACGAACACCCTCAACAATCGGCCAAATACTTTGCTTGAATCCCTCAGTCTCATCATCCTCCACCAACTCCCTAACCGGCTGTACAATAACGCCAATCTCAAATCGATTCTCCCCAAAGACAACAGCCGCTTTCACCAGCGGACACTCACACAGCGCAGCCTCGAGCATCTGCGGCTGCACCTTTTCCCCCGTCGCAAGTACAATCGTATCGTCGTTCCGTCCCACAGCACTGAAATCCGTCTCCGGATGCTGCGGGTTACACACAAGCTGATCCTGGATCTCGAAGGGCGCCCCGAGTCCAAAGGGGTACGTGGTGAGTTTGAATCGGCGCTCGTCGCCAAACGGAGCGATCTCGTCGAGCTGTAGACGCATGCCGTCGCGGAGCCGGAAGTACCGCCAGTCGTAGGTATCGTCTGGGACGAAGATCGGTGCGAGCGGGCCTGTTTCTGTCGTGCCGTAGTGGTTTAGGAGGCGGACGCCCGAGGCTGCGAGTTGTGTTCCCACGGCTGGCTTGAGGATTCCGCCGCCGAAGGCGACAAAGTCGAGCCCCTTTAGAGCTCGAATACCCAGCTCACCCGTAAGCATGATATCTTCGAGGATCGAGGGGACGGTCATGAGCGACGAGGCGCCGGAGACCCTGAGAAGATCAATCGTCGACCCCGCACTAGGAACGACAGACGCAGGTGGGAAGCAGACTGCTTTACCGACGCCCATGGCCAGTGTTGGCGCGACGTACCCGAAGCCGTGGTAGAGCGGGAGAGTCGAGACACTGATGCCCTGCGCTTGGGCCTCGTCGTGCAGCCAGTGGTTGTTCACATAGGAGAGTAGGTGGCGGTGGGAAACGTAGATTGGTTTGGGGAGGCCCGTTGTGCCGGATGAGTGCAGGATTACGACGTTCCGGTCGGATTCGTCGATGTAGTGGTGTGGGTGGCAGATGTTGGGGGTTGGATTTGATTGTGGGGGGTGCGAGAGGAGGGTTTCGATTGACAGTGGTGAGCGTATAGGGATTCCATGTGCTGCTTCGCGCGCGGTGGCTTCGAGGCGTCGTGAGGCGAGGATTGCACATGCAGAGGTGCGCTCAACAAGACTGGCCACAGCGGTGGTGCTCAGTCTGGTAGAGATCAACAGCACTGGAACCCCGAGACCCAAGAGAGCCATCTCGTAGATCCACAGCCCGAGATCGCTCTCCAAGAGGAGCGCGACGGGTGCGCCTTTCCTGATAGTCCCATCCTCGGAGGCAGTGGGGAGCTGGAGCTGAATACTAGACCGCAGCCAATCCGCGCAGTGCGCAATAGCATCTCTGAGCTGGACATTCGTCACGGAAATAAGCGACGGAACCGAACCAGCTGGATTCTTCTTCGCCTGCAAACAAAAGACATGGTCCGGGTTCTCCTTTGCATTGAACTCGACGACCTCGGGCAGAGTGCGGATGTACCCCGTCTCGTGCGCAGCAGGGTAGAGCTGGATCTCCGGCCGCCGAAAGGGCCTTGGATGGGATTTGGGCGCCATGTTGTGGCTGTTTAGAGCTCGAGAGTACCTCGCAGAAGGGACATTGCGCGCTTATGAAAGAGGGGGCAATGTTGTTTTGCGCGGGCTGACTGGTTGCTGGTAGACCCCGAGTATGGGCCCGGATACGCTACGCACAGCAGGGATGGGAAAAGTAAAACGACGCTGGAACCGGGAAACTTGACAATGTCAGATCACGCGCTGCAGCAGAAATAGGAACCACGAGGAGAGGCTGTTCATGGGAGGCGGCTGTCATACAATGCCATGCAGGCACCATAGCTCTCATGGACTGCTTGCGTGGGATGGATGTACGATCTCATTCAGTATTGCCTGCAGAAGCAACGAGTACTTGTTTAGGATATGAGATAGATAGACAGGCCTAAAATGAGGTTGTGCGGGCGTTCTTTCTCCGTCTCGTGCCGCAGCAGGCCACCACTCAGCTATAGGACTGGCGCTGCCTCACTCGCCAGTCATACCTGGCTAATGATGAGACCAACAGTCACTTTGCTGCTTCTTTATTTTCAGCCCATGCGCACTGTCAAAGCGCTCGGGTCCTGGCATTGCATTTGGACCTCGAGGGCCGCACCAACAGCTCCCTCAAGCAAAAACAAGGAACTCATCGACCGCAACGGCACTCAAACCCGTCACCAGCCTTGCCCTCGCCCTGCTCGTGGTACCGGCCCGGTCCGGTCGGCGCCAATCGGATCGTCATATGGAATCCCCGGGATGCTGTGTATGACTATGTCGTGGTGGGCGCCGGCAATGTGGGTGCACCGGTAGCGCACCGGCTGGGCGGAGCAGGACACACGGTTGCTCTGGTCGAGGCGGGCAGTCTCTAGTACTTACTTGGCTAGTATGAGTTTTGCTCTGAATAGGAGACGCCGACCCGGATAGCGAGATTGGCAATGGCAATGTCAGCTAGACCCCAGCGAATGGGCTGTGCTTCCTGGGCAAAAACCCAAACGACACGAATAGCCTCGTTCACTGGAACTCGGTGACGGCGCCGCAGGCAATGAGTATCCTAAAATCATCTATTTGAACATGCTAACGGCACAGTGCACTATGCCAGCGGCGAAGCCCTCGGAGGCACTGCACGCAACCTGGTGGCCTACCACCTGCCAACCGAGGGCTCGATAGGCGACTAGGCCGAGCAGCTCCGGAGGTGGGCGACGACAGTTTGGGCTGGAATAGTATTCTCCTGTATATTATGAAAGCGCAGAGTCTCACAATACCAAGTGAGGATCTTCGCTTCGTCAACTCGATGCCCGAGTATGACCTTGCGACCCTCGACCAGTCCGGGCCTGTCGATGTCTCTTTTCCCAACCATGTCAACGGATTCGCATCGTGGGTCGTTCAGGGCTTTCAGGAGTTGAGCCTCGCAGGATACGCGGTTGCCTGAGCGGGCAACTGGTACCTAGATAGGCTGGCCGTATATGATGAGCACAATTAGTCCAGCCGACCAAAGACAACCTACCTCAATCTGCTTATCGGAAGAAACCTGATCATCTACCACTCACGCACGCAAAGCAAATCATATCCACCGACAGCAGCACAGCCGCCAGCGGTGTACGCGTGAGCTCCGAAGGACAGGAGTACATGCCCTCGGCCAGAAACCAAGTGATAGTCTCCGCGGGGGCATTCAAGGCACCGCAGCTGCTCATGGTCTCCGGAATCGGGCCTGCGTCCAGGCTGGAGCGGCACAATATCCCCATTTGTCGGACAGAACCTGCAGGTTAGACAGGACAACTTGACCTCGTACCAACTTGACTTTGACGTTACTGTTCTGTCACACACACTGACATCCAGCTGCCCCGCAGAGCCACGTCTTGGCCAGCCCGTCGTACGGAGTCAAAGTCATCACCGGCTCTTCCATTACAGTCGCCTCCTACCGCGCCCAGGCACAGAGCTAAGTCAACGCCCGTCCGCCCCGAGGTCCTCTGGCAACCCGGGCGTTGACATCCTCTGTAAGCCCCCTTCTCATCCCCAGTTGGAAATTCCCCCGCATCATAGCGCTCGCGCGTGACTAACTCGTGTAGCCTGGGAAAAGATCCCGGAGCCCCACCGCGCCAATTTCACGGTGGAGGCTCAAGAAGCCCACGCTTCCTTTTCCGCCGACTGGCCGGAGGTCGACTACCTCCCCGTCTACGGGTTCTTTGGCGACTAGCGGGAACTATGCACAATGGGCCGATGAGGGGTACAACTTTATAGCGATGGGTTCAGCGCTTGTTGGCCTACTGTCACGGGGGAACGTTGATATCGCTTCGACGGATACAGAGGATAGTCCCGCCATTGACCCGCGCTGGTTCTCGCATCCTGGCGATTTTGAAGTCGCAATCGCGGCGTTTCGGCGCTCGAGGGAGATCGTGGCGACGTCATCCGTCTTGCAGGTTGTTATTGGTGGAACAGTATCCCGGGCTGGGTGTGCAGAGCGACGAGGAGATTGTCGAGTTCCTGCGAAATGCGTCGAATACCGTGCATGATGCCTGCTGTACGGCTGTTATGGGACGAGTGACGATGATGCTGCCTTCGATGTGAACGGGAGGGCCTACGGGGTGTCGAACCGACCTGTTGTCGATACCTCGATCATGCCGTTTTTTTGACCCCGGGACATCCAATTTCTTTGCGCCGTGAGTGTTGGTTTTGCGTGTTCCGGCCCGAAATACTTACGTACGTAGACGGACTCGCCGAGTCAGTCATCGCCGATGCACAGAGGTGGCCTGGAAGTACCATGTATAGTCTTGTTTAGCCGATAGGTCATTTGTAAGCGTTCGACAATCGAGGTTCAGTTTGACTTTCGCAAGACGTACCATTAGGCGTATCACTAGGAGAACTCCGGGTTGTGGGTAGGACAGAGGCTCGGTGTATATCTTAAGGCTGAGTCCCTTGCTCGTTGCTGGGCCGGCCCGGGGGTGGTTGCCTTTTCCTTGTTTGGGGCTTCCTCCGTTCGCACCTTCCTCGCTTGTTTTACTCCTGCCCTCGGTTGCTCTTTCCTGTTCCGGCCATTGTTTACGTTGACTCCAAGGGAAGGTGCGACCCTGTCCGAGGTTAGCCCCTGCCTATTCCACCTACATCATTCAGGAACAAGATACTACTAGGAGCATAGGTACCTATTAACTTTCGTGTCTCATTTCCAAAAAATCTGTCAACAATGAACTCCAACTTCAAGCCACCCATCCCTAACCACCATCTAATCCCAAAACGCCTTCCCAGTCTATAATCCGTAGCCCCCCTCCCCTTCTTCTATACCACACGCAAGGGAACCCCTCACCCTCATGAGCCCGTATTATACAGCCGCATTCCGAACTTCGAATTCGTTCGCAACAGCGTATCGATGACCAGATTCACGGTCTCGGGTCGTAGGTCCTCGAGGACGAGTGTACTCGAGTCGGATGGAATGTCCAATAATAACCCTGGGGTTTCGGGCACACTGCTGGTGCTGACACTCCCACCATTATTCATCAACAGGCTTGGATCGCAGCTTTCTAGCTCGAGTTCTGAGGCTGGCGAGTGTGGGGAGAGGAGGGAAAAGTGGGGTGGTGGGAGTGGCGGCTCGAACGTTGACCAATCTGGCATATCGTGCGTTTGCTGTGCGTATTGTTCAAATGTGTGGTCTGTTGTTATATCTGTATGTTGGAAACTCCGTCCAGTTTCGAAGAGGTACGATGGGAGGTCGGAGGTAAAGGGCATGTTCATGTTCATATTTATGTTCAAGTCGTCCGCTGTTAGGTTGAGGATGCCCGAGTCGCACGGCGTATTTACTAGCGATAGATCCATCCCGGGCCTGAGAAGGTCCACTTGGTTGTGGTCCTCGGATTCCATAATCTGTGTATCACTGCAAGCGCCGCTGTCGATTGTCAAAGCGTTGTCCTGGCTAGACATGGAGATGCCGCGGCGGCGGCTGAGGATTACGTAGCTGGACTTGTCAGGTTCGAATCCATGTGTTCGAGTACAGAGTGGATAAGTTACCGGTTCTTGATATCAGTCGTAGACCGACTAGGAAACAGCTCACGCCCAATCTCCTTCCAGTCCCGCCCAACCCTCTGCACAGCATCGAGCAAAGCCGCATCTTCATCCGGAGCCCACGGACCGCGCTTCACATTCGGATCCAGCGAGTGATGCCACCGCTTCGCGCATTCTGACACCGTTATCAGTTTCCGATTCAGGCCCAGAAAAGAGAACAGAACAGTATACGCAACGTACGATCTGGATGCCGACTCCCCACCATCTCCGCAACCTTCGTCCACTGAAATCCGACCTTGGCCACAGCCTTGCGAAGGAGATGATCTTCCGCCCCACTCCACGTCCCTTTGCGACTGCTCAGACTGATCTTCGTCCACCGCTTGCGGCAGTCTTTGTTGCTTCGGCCCGGGAGTTTCTCGGCTATTGCGCTCCAGTTCCTTGAGCCATCTGGGCCGTCGTTTTGTACTGCACTCGCTGATCAATATATTGATTGGTTTAAGTGTGGAATGGCAGAAGGTGAAGGGGAAAGGCTGGTCTCACATTGGGTTTTGACCTCCTCTTGCAAAATCCGGTCCTCGTCCGTTGTCCACCAACGTCGGCGACCGGGCGTTTCGCTCATGCTGCAACGGCAGATGTAGATGACGACTTCTTGGCTTGAGAGAACATGGTCAGAGTTAGTCTCAGTTGCTAACTTGGGCGGGTATGTATAGGCGGGCGAGAAGAAAGCTTGCCCGGTTCGCGAACCCTTCGAGACATTCCCATCCTACAGATATTAAACAATGCAGTCCAGTCCAGTCCAATCCAGTGCAAGAGGATGATGTTCAGCTCGGGTTGGAAACTCGACCAACCACGTGGTTGTGGCCCCAACCCGTGAATAGGAAAGCGTCTTACCGCAGTAACAGAAAGAGGAAACGGTGATTGGAACGGAACCCGATATACTGAGACCAGACAATTCGATAATCCCCTGTGAGGATAGGTGGGTAATGCTTTGCTTAGCTAACGATGCAATACAGGGTGACTGACTGGCCCATCGCCACGGCGGCTAGGAAGCAAGCACGCAACGTGCCATCTGAGACTGGGCTACCATTGGCAAGAGCAGTCTTATACTCGGGGCTCGCCAACTACCTTTAGCGGGAGGTTGTCGCTTGTACTTGCGGGTGAAAATGAACCAACGGCGGTGCCGAGTGTGTGTGCCTAACCTCGAACCCAGTATACCCTCCGAGACTAGATATACACCGAAGCAAACTCCACGGCTAGATATCGGCAGAAGCACAGCAAGAACATGCAAGAACAGTTAGCGCTGCACCGAGCGCCGAGCTTAAAACGAACTGAGCTAGATCGCCGTTCGCGCATACGGCTTTCTATTCGCTAGAGACAGACGGCGCCAGAGTGGCGGTGGCTGCCGCTGCCTTTCTGCAGAGCGTTGACGTCGAGCGGCCTGTCTGATCCTGGAATGGCGTCCCTGCGAGCGGGATGTGATTGGAAGAGTGGAAAAATATGTTGTGGGGATCCAACTAGGCAGAGCCACGCTCTGACCCCCAGCTCGCCTCTGAACTTCGAACTTGCTTTAGGTGGCCCGAAGCTTTGACACGCAGTAACGAACTACTCTAAAGGATGAAGAAGCTGACAAAAACGTGGCACATTAACGATGACGAAAAGGGGCCCCGAAACGGCCCGTTGGCGATGTTGATGCTGATATGCGGAATAAGAAATGCAGTGCCCAAGCTGAGACGACTGCCGTTTCCGGTCCGGGGTCTGCTTTGCCCTACATTGTATTATTGACTGCTCTGCTTTGCTTTGACGCGTCCCTGCTAGAACTATGTCAGCAAATAGTAAGCTTAGCAGGTCATTCATACCACTCGATAAAGCGGTACGTAGTAGGCGCCATTCGGCGAGGTATATGCGTGTCATCAGGTCTCGTGCCTACGTAGGTATGTAAATCGGGATACGACTTCGATACTGTGGAGTCAGTGCCGAGTCGTGTCTTTTCAGATAGTACAATGACTTTCACCATTTTCGACGTATCGGAATCATTCATGTTGCGGCGGAAATTGTCCCCCCAACACTCTCTCCGGCTGGTATCCCGATCGCCGAATAGCACTCCGAGAAACTATCAAAGACAGTGTCATTGTGCCACGTCGCTGGTGTGACACAGACCCCAAGGACAGCTACAAACGAAGAATTCCAGTCGTTGAGAGTGACCGACAAAGGATCCTCTTCCGTGCGGCTGAAGAGGATAATGACTACAGCATCCGAGACTGACGAGTCATAGCGACTCTGAAAGTACGTGCGTAAGAAGGAGCGCATTCTATCGGCGCCTACGACTGTCGCTACGATACCCTCCGGCATCAGACACGCAACAAAGTTCAAATACCAACTCCTGCAATCTATAACCCAATCTCCACAAACCCCACCATACTCCGACGAAACATCAGCCCCAAGGACCGGATTCGGCTGGAAGAAATTCCGCTCGATGAACAGGACACGGCCGTCGGCTAGAATCTCGGGCACCTCATGCGGCCAAAAATCTCGCCCCTAGGCTCGCTGGACGACTTCGGCACGGTCCTGCACGACGCACCGGAGTGACGGATATGCTGGGAGGAGTTGCAGGGCGAAGCTACCTGTGCGTGTAGACGGATTGGTAATTCAAAACGTTTGTTTTAGACACAGTGGAAGGGGCTGGGCTAGAAATGCGGTGTAGATCGGGATGTGTGCAAGTATCCACGGGGAGGCGAGTTAGGGCAGGCTAAGCTCACAGACACCGCCGCCTTTGGTGAAAGACGACCAAGGGAAATCTATCAGTAAGCGAGCCAAATCAGTAATCTTATCTTTACCCACGTCTATCTAAGCCATCCATTCCCTTCAATTCAAAGAAGAACCCACCTCGCCGCCACCCAAGATCGCCAGCCCAAACGTACCCAGCTCCGGCCGCGTAAAAGGCCCATCAGCCCAGGATACAGATCCAGTCCTAGCGAGTTTTAGTGGTTCCAACTTCGGACTGCCAGGCTGTTCTGTTGACTTTGTAAGAAGTACCTTGCGGGCTCTGGAGGTGCTTGAGGGGGTGGTCGGAGGCTGTGTAGAGACCTACCCGTCGCTTTGAGAATCGTCTGTGGAGATTTGGCGCAAGATGTGGATTGAGCACAGGCAGCGCAGGATGCGGGCCACGCTGTTCTGTTAAACCCACTCCGGCTCATATAACGACGCACTTACAAAGCTTGCCTGACTCAACCCCAGTCTTCTCCGCAATCACCAGCGCCCCCTCTTGAACAGATCAGCAACCTGTCAAAGCCGCCCGGCGTCCGTCCAAGCCCTTGAAAAGCGCTCCATGTCGTTGATGGCGACGGTAACGATGACAATGGGTCTGGCTTTCAGAGTCGGACTCGTTGAAGAGGTCTGTTCGCAGCTGAAGACGCTAAACGCCAAAGGCCATACAATGGATCTGCCCTGAACATGTGAATACCAATCTATCACCCCAAGCTCTCGCCTATATTGTCCCGGGAAGTCCCGGATATATCGTGTGCCACTGCCTGTCTACATGTTTGACCATCTTCCAGGGCCCCGATATGTCTCGGGCCCGCGGTCAGCTTAGCGGCGTGGTACGGCGCTGTACATCATTGCGGGGTATTTGATCTGGACCCAGCGTATGCAGTCAGGTCGCTTGAGCCGCGTGGTTATATCTTCTAGAAGGCGAGGCGTAGGGCTGTCGGTGCGATTGTCTTGTGTCATATCCACTTCAATCTAGTGTTTACGACTGGTACTGGCTCTTAGAGTTCAACACGGATTTCTCTCTCTCCTTTTCTTTGACCACTTTACTGGTCCTTCGCTCTTTTGCTCCTTCTACTATCTATCCTTTACTCTAGCGTTTCGTTTCTCCTCTCATAGTCGTCGCTGCCATGGCCCATCAAGCAGCCCTGATCTTCGGCCCGCAGACAACCCTCCCCCCGCCCTCGCTCACCTCTCAACTCCGCGCAGCTCTCCTCCTAAATCCCCGTCTATACCCTCTCCGCAAATGCATAGAGTCGCTCCCGGCAGTCTGGCCAGTCCTCGTCTCCGCAGACCCCGCACTGGATCAAGTCCCCGGCGTCCGCGCCCTCAAGGACTTGACCCGCTGGCTCTCACACGGCGAGTTCCCACCGGCAAAAGCGATCTCCGAACTCCCCTCTGCATTCGTCACACCCTTTACAGTTATCCTGCATATCGTGCAGTATCTATCCTACACGGACTCGAAACACGGTCCCGGGCCGCGACATGAGCATGTTCTCGAGTCTGTGCGGGATCAGGGTGGTGTACAGGGGTTTTGCAGTGGGCTCCTTGCCGCGGTAACCGTTGCGACGAGTCCGGATTTCGAGAAGGTATTTCGGCGAGCAGAGGTTGCGCTAAGGCTGGCGGTTGGTATCGGCGCGTATATTGATCTGGATTGCGTGGGGTCGAAGATCAGTTCGATTGCCATCAAGTCGAGGCCGGCGACGCCGCGGAATGAGCTGCAGGGGTATTTTGATGAGCTTGAATCGGTGAGTTTGACGGTTTCTGAGCTGATGGAGCTCTGACTGATTGCGCAGACATATGTTTCCGTCGTCACAGATGCGTCGAGCAGCACGGTCACTACACCCACACCGTTGTTAGAAGCCGTCACACAAAAGCTCAAGGCTCAGGGCTTCGCCATGAAGCAGGTCGACCTCCGGGGCCGATTCCATTATCCCGGACACGCACGAGCAGTCGAGACGCTCCGCCGGCTGGCAGATTCAAACCCTGACTTTCAGCTCCCGCATACCGACGCGCTGCTTGCGCCTGTGTACTCGAATGTCAATGGGAAGCCGTTTCCTGAAGGGCCAATCGGCGACACGCTCATCGAGTCGATTCTTCTACAGCGGTGTGACTGGTACTCGACCATGTCTGCTGCATTTGCGGGTTTGACATCGGAGGATGCGACCGTCGTGCAATTCGGCCCGGTCGAGTGTGTTCCTGCTTCTTTGTTGCGCAGGGCGCGCGCTTCAGTCCACAGAGTCACCAGCATACCGGGGCAAGAACCATCAAGCTCTGCAATCCCCGCCACAATAGAACGAGCAGGCAAAGCTGCATCCGAACCCATCGCAATCATTGGCATGGCCTGCAAAGTCCCCGGCGCCGACAGTCTCGAGGAGTTCTGGGACCTTATGATGAAAGGAATCTCCATGTGCACGACAATGCCCGAGGAACGCTTCAAGACAACAGGCCTGCGACGATCCGAGGATGGAAAACTAAAGTTCTTTGGGAATTTCGTCAAAGACGTCGACGCATTCGACCACCGCTTCTTCAAAAAGTCCTCGCGCGAGGCAGCGAGCATGGATCCCCAGCAGCGGCTGCTGATGGAGGTTGCGTACCAGGCGATCGAGTCGGCCGAGTATACCGGCCCCGCGGGGAACAGAGCGAAGCGGGATATCGGGTGCTATATCGGGGCCTGTTCAAATGACTACAACGACAATGTCGCGTCGCACCAGCCGAACGCGTTTTCGAGTCTGGGGACGCTCAGGGCATTCCTGTCGGGGAAGATCAGCCATTTCTTTGGCTGGACGGGGCCGTCGATTACATATGATACGGCGTGCTCTTCGTCTGCTGTTGCCATTCAGGCGGCTTGCATGGCACTTCAGATGGGCGAGTGTTCGATGGCTCTCGCTGGAGGTGTGAGTTTCTATACGAACCCCTTCTTCTATCAGAATCTGGCCGCTGCGTCGTTTCTCAGTCCAACGGGGCCGACAAAGCCTTTTGATGCAAGGGGGGATGGGTACTGTCGTGGGGAAGGTGCTGGTCTGGTGTTTCTGAAGCCTCTTTCTGTTGCAGTGGCCGATGACGATAATATCCTGGGTGTCATCGCTGCTGCGGCCGTCAATCAGAATGAGAACTCGACGTCAATCACCGTGCCGCATACCGGGTCCCAGATCGAGCTTTACCAAAAGGTAGTATCGGACTCTGGCCTCCACGCCCACGATATCACCTATATCGAAGCGCACGGCACAGGCACACCGGTCGGAGACCCCAGAGAAATCACCAGCATCCGCGAGGTATTCGGCGGTTCCGATCGATCTGACACACTGGCCATCTCTTCGGTGAAGGGCAACATCGGACACCTGGAAGGCGCGTCTGGCGTCGCGTCGCTGATCAAGACGATTCTGATGATGCACCACGGCACGATCCCCATGCAGGCAAACCACACGCAGCTGAATCCCAAAATTGAGGCATTAGAGCAGGACAAAATGCTCATCCCTCTGACGAACCAGCCATGGAACGCGAAATTCAAGGCTGCGTGTATCAACAATTATGGTGCAGCTGGAAGTAACGCGGCGATGATTGTGTATGAGCCTCCGAACATGCGCTCAAAATCTCAGCAGTTGTTACCCAAATATCCAATCGTCGTGGCGGCCAACTCGAGTTTGAGTCTCAAATCGTACTGTTCTGCGTTGCTGCAGTCGGACATGTCTCTGCCGGATCTCGCCTTCCACCTTGCAAACCGACAGAATCGCTCCTTCCCATATGTACTGATCACCTCCGTCTCCTCTCAGAATGAGCTGCGCGAGCACCTTTCCGCGGTTGTCGAAGATCGAAGTAGCTCATTGCAACAGGCTGCTCCTACTGCTAAGCCAGTCGTACTTGTCTTTGGGGGGCAGACCAGTACATCCATCGGTCTAAGTCGGGCGGTATATGATTCGTCGGCCCTACTACGCTCGCACCTAGAAAAATGCGACAGGATCCTCCGATCAACAGGGCTGAAGAGCATCTTCCCCGCCCTTTTCCAGACCGAACCCATCACTGACGTGGTCCTCCTGCACTCGGCGCTCTTTTCGGTACAGTACGCATGCGCCATGTCATGGATAGACGCAGGCCTCGCCCCGTCCGCCCTGGTCGGCCACAGTTTCGGCCAACTGACTGCCCTCGCTGTTAGCGGTGTGCTGTCGTTGAAGGACGGGATAGCCCTTGTAACAGGGCGCGCTTGGCTGATGCAAACGGCGTGGGGGCCGGAGACCGGCGAGATGATTTCGATTCTAGCGGATCTGCACACCGTCACCCGGCTGATCACCCAACCGGACGTGAGTGGCAATGGCAATGGGGATTTGGAAATCGCCTGCTTCAATGGGCGGACCAGTCATGTTGTCGTTGGCAATGCAGAGGCCGTCGATCGTCTTCAGGGGCTACTTGATGGCGAGGGAATCCGGTACAAGCGGCTTAATGTCTCGCACGGTTTCCACTCGAAATTCACGGAGCCCATTCTACCAGGGCTAGAAGAATGCGTTCGGGGTCTCACCTTCCGTGAACCGCGAGTTCCAATCGAAACATGCTCCAAGGACGCATCCTGGTCGGAATTCGACGCGGCCAAGATTGTGCAACACACGCGCACCCCTGTATACTTTGCGCAAGCAATCGACCGAGTCACAGCCCGGCTGGGCGCCTGTACCTGGCTGGAAGCTGGTTTCGGATCTTCCGTGACGGGGATGATCCGCCACTCGCTCGAGGCGCCGGCTTCACATCTTTTCCAGCCGGTGCAACTCGGCGGCGACAACGCTGTAGCCGCCCTGGCGGACACGACGGTCGCACTCTGGAGGGCTGGGCACCGCGTGCAGTTTTGGCCGTTTGATCGCTGCGAGAGGGCTTCGTACTCTACTATGGGGTTGGGCATTCCACCGTACCAGTTTGAGAAGAACCGGCACTGGCTCGATTGGAAGGATACAGTGAACGAGGCGCCAGCTCCTACGGCCAAGGAGACTCCTAGTGAATTCTTGACGTTTGTCAATGGGGACGACAAGGCTGCTGAGTTTAGGGTCAGTACGCAGCATGAGACGTACTTGTTTTTCGTCAAGGGCCATGCTGCGATTGAGCAGCCACTGTGCCCTGCGCCCCTTTACCTTGACCTGGCGTCTCAGGCGTCTAGAATCGTTTCGTCAACTTCCGACAAGGACGACTCGCGGCCGAGTATCGAAGACCTCGATATCCAAGCCCCGCTGGGTGTGAGCGACCGTGTGATTATCCTCCGGCTCCAGCAGTCATCCACCCCACAATCCTCGTGGAAATTCAGCTTCACCAGCAAGCCGACCAATGGCAGTGCAGACGAACAATTACACGCGACTGGCATTGTAATTGTACCCGCCAGCGACTCCAGAACAGCAGACGAGTTCGCCCGCTACGGCCGCCTGGTCAGTATCAAACGGTGCCGCGAGCTGTCGTCTGATCCCGAATGCCAGGCGCTGCAGGGACCGGTCGTCTACCAGCTCTTCAGCAAGGTCGTCACCTACGCCGACTACTACAAGGGCGTGCAGAGCGTCTATGCATCCGGTGGGCAAGTCACCGGCCGAGTGCGGTTACCGCAAATCGCCAAAGACCCTGAGCTGCGCAGGCCATTGCTGATCGACAGTTTCATCCAGACCTCTGGAATCCACGTCAACTGTCTCTCCGATGTTGGACCCAAGGAGGTCTTTGTTTGCAACAAGGTCGACCGGGTCCAGCTTGGTCCAGCTTTTACCACAGAGTCGGTGGTAGCGGATGCCTCGTGGATCGTGTACTCGTCTTCCCATGCGATCAGCGACAGGGAGGTGTCGAATGATATCTTTGTGTTTAATGCCACCACCGAAGAGCTGGTTGTGTTTATACTAGGGGCTCGGTTTACGAGGGTCTTGATATCCTCCCTCCTTCGCGTTCTCTCGCGTGCGAATGCAGCTGACGGTGCTCCGGCGAAGTTCTCAACTGAAAAGCCTGTCAAAGCGCAGGTCAAGGTACAAGCGGCAAAGCCGGTTGCTCCTCCACCTGTATCCAAGATTGCAGTTCCAGACGTCATATCCAAGCTGAAGACAATCCTCAGCGAGATCGTTGAAGTCCCCGTTGCAGATATCCGAGACAGTCATGTCCTCGCGGACCTTGGAGTCGACTCTTTACTAGGAACAGAGGTACTGAACGAGATCAACGATGCGTTCAACGTCTCCATCACACCAGGGGAATTTGACGTAATGGCCGACGTGGCCTCCATTGCTAAATCCCTACAAGCGTTTACCGGTGTCCAAGATAGTGGTTACGACTCAGAGGGCGTGGCCGAGTCGGTGTGTTCGAGCTCAGATGTCTGCTCTGGCACTTGTGTTACGCCGGCCATTACTACGCCAGATGACTCTGTAGCAAGGCTTGCGGACTTGGTCGCTGGTCACTTGGAGTGTGATGAGGTTACTGAAGCAAGCAATCTCGCAGATCTTGGGCTCGACTCCATTCTGAGCATCGAATTGGCGACTGATATCAAAAAGATATTTGGCTTCGAGATTGACGTGTCGCAACTGGACACGAAATCAACCTTTTCAGATCTGGTTACCCTTGCCCTGCCAGGGTATGGAGAGGCAGCTCTACCTGCTGTCCCACCCCCTGCCCCGGTAATGGCCGCGAAACAGGGAAAAAACAGCGATATTGCCATGGAGACGGTCCTATTCAAGCAGGCGGAGCAGACGCCATTATATGCCGACATCTACTATCCCCCTGCTGTTTCTGACACACCACGGCCCATTGGTACGTCCTTGGTCAAAGCTGGAAAATATAGAGGAAGCTAACAATCCAAGCCCTGATGGTCCACGGTGGCGGCCACATTATGCTCTCGCGCAAAGACATCCGACCCAGGCAGACAGCACACCTGCACTCGCTTGGCTTCCTCCCCATCTCCATCGACTACCGTCTCTGCCCAGAGAGTCCTCTGATCGACGGACCCATGCGAGATGTCTGCGACGCCATAACCTGGGCACGCAAAACACTCCACACCATTCCACTCGGCTGCCAGGGCTTAAAGATCGACCCCTCTCGCGTCGTCCTCGTGGGCTGGTCCACAGGCGGCCACCTCGCCATGACAACCGCCTACACAACAATCGAGCGCGGCCTCGAAACGCCCGACGCAATCCTCGCTTTCTACTGCGCGACCGATTTTGAAGACCCCTTCTGGTCCCACCCAAACTACCCCGAGAACAGCGAAGCCCTCTCCAGACAGCCGTACAACCTCCTCGAGGGCGTCCAAAAACACCCCATAACCGCGTATAACGTCCCCTCGTCGGCCCGCGCAGTCGGAGGCTGGATGGCGCCGCAAGACCCGCGCTCCCGTATCGTCCTGCACATGAACTGGAAGGGCCAATTCATGCCCGTCCTCCTCCGCGGCCTCCCGCACGCAGACAGCGTCTCAGAATCCGAGGCGCAAGCCCTCCTCTGTCAACCCCAACCACCCCTAGAGGAAATCCAGCGCGCGAGCCCCTATGCACAGATCAAAAACGGGAACTACCACACACCCACGTTTATAATCCACGGAACGGAGGATGATTTGATTCCCTGGACGCAGAGTGTGCGCACGATCGAGGCACTAAAGGCGCAGGGCGTGAGAGCGGACATTGCGACTCCGCGGGGGAAGTTCCATCTCTTTGATATGTATCGGGATCCCGATGGGAGTTCGTGGGAGGTTGTGCGGAAAGGCTATGAGTTTTTGGTGGATGTTATTTTCGGAAAGGAGTAATTTACATCCATATAAACAAAGATGGGTTGGTAGGGCTTAGGGAGGTAGTTGTTCTTTTGTTTGGGTGGTAGATCTGTGGTGCCTGGGATTTATAGATTTCAATATCATTTCGCTTTGGCTATTGGACGCGAGATGTCTGTCTAAAAGACTAGCGAATCAAGAGCTAAGCTGTGCTGGCTTATTCAGTATCAATATTGATATTGATATTATTGTTCAAAATACCTCAGTGCAATGCCCATGCTGTATTCCCCAGGATCTCTCGGGCGATGAGCGCCACGTACCTGTTTACTTCGACAGAGTACGTACTCACGGAGCGCAATGTAGACAAACCGGATCCATTTCTTCTCGCCGCTTGCAATGTGTACAGAGACAGTATAGAAATAGTCAATTAATCAAAAACAGTCTAAGCACATGGCATGCATATCATACTCTCCCCCTGAGACCAAAGCCAAAGCCATCCCCATCCCCATCACCCACCACTTCCAGGTACGCACGAATCACTTATTCAGTCCCCGGCGCAAAGCACCGGATCCCATTCGCGCCATCGGGCAGTTCAACCTCGGGCTTGCATGTCGTCGCTGTACCGATAGACGGTCCGGAGCAGCCGGAGTCACTGTTCATGGTATGTTAGCTCGTCATAACACTCAAAGATGCTGGATTCGAGAGCGAAGGAAAGAAGGGGAGAAATGAGGGACATACACCCAGAAAACACACGCCGTCCCGTTGGCTCCGTCGTTGAGGACTGCGCCGTAGGTTCTTGATAAATGACTATCGTTAGTGACGCACTGTGGAATTATGTAGGTCCCAAGTCCGGCATGCTCACCCCTGGAACAGATCCACGCAGACGCCGTCGGTTGCGATGCTGAGCTCCGTTTCGGTTCCGCCCTTTTGGATCTGCGTTACGCTTACGGCGAGGGTCGTTGATGCCAGGAGGCTGAGGGAGAGGGGGAGGAAGGCGCTTGGGAACTTCATCTTGGTTCGTTGCGAGGTGTTTGGTGTAGAGTGTAGATAGATAAATGGGTTGGTTGTTCAGAGTTCTGGTTGTGGATTAATGGGCTGTGAGTGAAGACTGAACACACAGAGTTCTCCTCGTATTTATACTCAACGATGCTCGACAGGGAGCAGTGAAGGCAGACGGGATGACGTCCAGCCAAGCCGCATGGCTCAGACAAGATCCCCTTGGATCTCGTGGCGGAGTTCTTGGCTGGGGCCGGAAACCATTGATCAACGTTCAGAGCCAACAAAGATCTCCCCACGTACAATGTAGCAAGGCTGGTTAGATGGCGCGTGGATTGGGGCCATCTTGGCGGTCGATCATGACGAAGAGTCTGGGGCTGTACGCTCGGCTGCTCGGCTCCACGTCGGAAGTCCCTCCACCTTGCTGGTATTTGTTGTCACCTTGAGGATTATTGAGTGGGTGATCGACGAGTCCGCAGGCTCTGGACGCAGGTTCATGGCTGTGTCCCTGGCGATTTCACTGCCATGTCTATCACGATGTACTCAGAACAGCGATCTACGGGATTGCCAATTCCGGTCCACGAGCCTTGGATCCGCTGGCGAGATGGATACAGGAGGAATACAGCAGCAGTATTACTTCGCCCCCTTCTCAGAATAGTCATACGTAGCGTGTGCTGGAAAGTCTGGTATCTTGTTCTTCTGCGTGTACTCTGCGAGGGAGGCGATTGCAGCTAACATGCTCGTCCCAAGTTATTCCCAGGTTCGTCCTAGTAACGTGCGATTAATTTGAGCCCGGATGCTAGAACCCTGGATAGGTTGGACCAGGTGTTCATCGAGCGTCTCGTGCTATCTATTGTGACAGGCTCACGTCGTTCATCTACCTATATATTTCCTTAGACCAGGAACCCATTTGAGAGTGCAATCTCACTCGTCGTAGGGGGCAGTAATTTCCTGCCAGGAACAGACAAAGGTTTCCCCGTTTATATATCTCTCATCATGACCTGTAGGAGCTGGTTGATATGCATTGCCGAGGCACTGGGGGAATCTAACCACGGCGGGCATAAATGTCCGCAGCTCGGCGTTATACATAATCAGTTCCAACTCGAGGTTCAGCATCCCCGGAAAAGAATGATCCCGGGCAGAAATAAGCGAGGACCAAAAGGGCGCAGGATTGCGAGGGAAACTTGGCTGTCGGGGCTTTTTGTCTCGGAAGATTCGCAGTGCTGCCTTAAGGCTGCAGCTCGTTCTCGTATTCGCAGACCTCGAACCAATCAGCAGCTCGCAAACGCATTATTCAGCACAAAGACCGGCAAGTCGGCACTGTTAACGCCGATAGAGCCGATGACGACTCCTTTTATCCTTCACTTTCCCCAGAAATCGAGTTCTCGGTTCTTTTCCCGTCGAGATGGGCCTTTGCAGTCGCTGAACGATGCGTGTCTCGTCAGAAGCCCAGCGCGAGCAGAAATATGAAGATGGGTCGCCGCGACCGCGCAGCTCCGCCGAGTCGACCAGCAGCAGCTCAGCGTCGGCGTCGGCGGGCGCAGATCTCCACCTGAAGCAGCAGCGCAAGTGGTACCGCCGTTGGAATCTCAACCCTCTGCGCCTCCAGAAGATCCCGCCCGTTCCGGCCGAGCGCTCTGTCTCACGAGAGCATGGCGCTTCTTTTCTCAGTCTGGCCTATTTCCAATGGATGTCCCCATTGATGAAGGTGCGTCTCCCAGAAACTGTTGTTGTTGTTGCTAACACAAACTCACCAGGTGGGCTACCTCCGCCCGCTCGAACTCCAAGACATCTGGACGGTGAACCCCGACAGGGAGGTCGAGCTACTGTCAAGCAAGCTCGATGCTGCCCTGGAACGTCGGACCAATGCCGGGGCCAAGCGCCCCCTGCTCCTCGCCCTGTACGACACATTCCGCTTTGAGTTTATCCTCGGCGGCATCTGCCAGCTCTTCAGTTCGCTGCTCATGGTCTTTGCCCCCTACCTGACCAGGTATCTGATTGCTTTCGCGACCGACGCCTATGTTGCGCAGCATACTGGGCAGCCGGCCCCGCATATCGGCCGCGGTATGGGTTTTGCTGTTGGTATCACCCTCATGCAGATGTTTCAGTCTCTGTGCACGAATCAGTTCCTCTACCGCGGGCAGATTGTCGGTGGGCAGGTCCGCGCTGTTCTGATTCTGCACATCTTCAACAAGGCGATGAAACTCTCCGGTCGGGCCAAGGCTGGCGGTACGCAGACGCTCGAGGAGCAGGACAAGGCCAAAGAGCTGAGCGCCGCCAAGGACCAGGCGTTAAAGCAGCCGGGCGCTCCGCCGAAAACGGACGGCAAGGGCTGGGGCAATGGGCGTATCATCGCTTTGATGAGTATTGATGTTGATCGGATCAATCTGGCGTGTGGAATGTTCCACATCTCGTGGACTGCTCCGATATCCATCATCGTGACTCTGGTCCTGCTACTGGTCAATCTCAGTTACAGCGCTCTTGCCGGCTATGCGCTCCTCGTATTTGGCATCCCGTTCCTCACATATGCCGTCCGCTTCCTTATCGTGCGCCGACGGAACATCAACAAGCTAACCGACCAGCGTGTCTCGCTCACACAAGAGATTTTACAGGGTGTCCGCTTCGTCAAGTACTTTGGGTGGGAAAGCAGCTTCCTCGACCGTCTCAAAGAAATCCGAGGCCGCGAGATCCGCTCGATTCAGACGCTCTTGGCCGTCCGCAATGGCATTCTCTGCGTTTCCATGTCGATTCCCGTCTTCGCCTCCATGCTGGCCTTCATCACGTACGCTTTGACCAACAATGACTTGAATCCTGCGCCCATCTTTTCGTCTTTGGCGCTCTTCAACTCGCTGCGTATGCCGCTGAACTTGCTGCCTCTTGTTATTGGTCAGATTACCGACGCGTGGACGGCTCTGAATCGTATTCAGGAGTTTATCGTGGCGGAGGAGCAAGAGGAGGACATCCAGCGCGACGATCACATGGCAAATGCGATCGAAATGGACAATGCATCATTCACCTGGGAACGTTTAGCTGCGGATAAAGAGGCAGATCAAGCAGAAAAAAAAGGTAGCCCAACCGCCCTGAACAAACCAGACTCCGAAAAGACCACAGACCAGCCCGCCGAGCCATTCAAGCTCCGCGACCTCGCCCTAAACGTCCGGCGAGACGAGCTCATCGCCGTAATCGGCGGCGTCGGCTCCGGCAAGAGCTCCTTACTTTCAGCCCTAGCCGGCGACATGCGCATGACCGACGGCGCCGTCCGGCTCAGCACATCCCGCGCCTTCTGCCCACAGTACACCTGGATCCAGAACACGACTCTCCGCGACAACGTCCTCTTCGGCAAGGAATATAATGAGGAATGGTACGACCAGGTCATCGAAGCCTGCGCGCTGAAACCCGACCTCGAGATCCTTCCCAACGGCGACCAGACTGAGATTGGTGAGCGAGGGATTACAATCTCCGGTGGACAGAAGCAGCGGTTGAATATCGCTCGTGCTATCTATTTCAATGCGGAACTTGTTCTTCTCGATGATCCGCTTTCGGCTGTTGATGCGCATGTTGGCCGGCATATTATGGATAAGGCCATCTGTGGCCTTCTCAAGGGGCGGTGCCGGATTCTCGCTACTCATCAGCTCCATGTGCTCAGTCGGTGCGACCGCATCGTCGTCATGGACGAAGGCCGCATCCATGCGATAGGCACCTACGACGAACTCGTTCGCGACAACGAGCACTTTAAGCGCCTCCTCTCGACCGCATCGCAAGACAGCAAGGAAGAAACTGAAGAAGCAACAGAGGCCATCGAAGAGGAGACGGAGAAGCAAAAGACCGCCGCCAAGCCCACGAAACCAGCCGCAGCCCTCATGCAGCAGGAGGAAAAAGCCACCGACTCCGTCGGGTGGTCCGTCTGGAAAGCATATATCAACGCCTCCGGCAGCTACGCGCATGCCCTTGCAATCCTCTTCTTCCTCGCCCTGGCAAACGTCATCAATGTCTGGACATCCCTCTGGCTCTCCTACTGGGTATCAGACCACTACCCTTCCCTCAACACGGGGCAGTACATCGGCATCTACGCCGGTCTCGGCGGTGGCTCCGTGATCCTCATGTTTGTCTTCTCAACGTACATGACGACGGCCGGAACAAACGCCAGCAAAACGATGCTGCAGCGCGCCATGACGCGCGTCCTGCGCGCACCCATGTCCTTCTTCGATACAACCCCGCTCGGCCGAATCACGAACCGCTTCTCAAAGGATATCCAGGTCATGGATAACGAGCTCTGCGACGCGATGCGCATGTATTCATTGACCATCACCATGATCGTCTCAATCATCGTCCTCATCATCGTCTTCTACCATTACTTCGCCATCGCCCTTGCGCCCCTCTTCATCCTCTTCCTCATGGCATCAAACTACTACCGCGCGTCCGCCCGCGAAATGAAGCGCCACGAATCCATCCTCCGCTCAACCGTCTACGCGCGCTTCGGCGAAGCGATCACAGGCACGGCCTCGATCCGCGCGTACGGCGTCCAGGACCAGTTCCGGAAAGCCATCCGCGACTCGATCAATACAATGAACGGCGCGTATTTCCTCACCTTCTCGAACCAGCGCTGGCTCTCCGTCCGGCTGGATCTCGTCGCGCTGCTTCTCGTCTTCGTCACGGGCGTCCTCGTCGTCACGTCGCGCTTCGACGTCTCGCCCAGTATCTCGGGCCTCGTCCTCTCGTATATCCTGGCCATTGCGCAAATGCTCCAGTTCACCGTCCGCCAACTCGCCGAAGTCGAGAATAATATGAACGCCACCGAGCGCGTCCATTACTACGGGACGCAACTCGAAGAGGAGGCACCACTCCACCTCGCCCCGGTACCACCGACATGGCCGGAACGCGGCCAAATCACCTTCGACAGCGTCGCGATGCGCTACCGCGCGGGCCTCCCGCTCGTCCTCAAGAACCTCAGCATGGAGATCGCCGGCGGGGAGCGGATCGGGATAGTAGGTCGCACCGGCGCCGGGAAGTCCAGTATCATGTCTGCGCTCTTCCGTCTGACCGAGCTATCGGGCGGGAAGATCTGCATCGACGGCGTGGACATTGGGACGGTCGGGTTGCAGGATCTCCGATCACGACTTGCGATCATCCCGCAGGATCCGACGCTTTTCCGGGGAACGATTCGGAGTAATCTGGATCCGTTTAATGAGCATACGGATCTCGAGCTTTGGGATGCGTTGCGTCAGGCGCATCTGGTTGAGTCGGGTTCGGGTTCAGATGCAGGTGCTGAGTCGCCTTCGAATCCACAGGCAGAGCAGCACGAGACTGGCGTCTCGTCATCCCCTACTACTGCCCAGGCTACCACGGCAGCACCAAAACTAACCCTCGACACCCCCGTCGACGAAGAAGGCCTCACATTCTCCCTCGGCCAGCGGCAGCTCATGGCCCTCGCGCGCGCCCTCGTGCGCAACGCCCGAATCATCATCTGCGACGAAGCAACGTCGTCCGTGGACTTTGCGACGGACCAGCGGATCCAGGAGACCATGGCGGCTGGGTTCCGGGGCAAGACGCTGCTGTGCATTGCGCATCGCCTGCGGACGATTATCCAGTATGATCGGATCTGTGTCATGGATCAGGGCGCGATTGCCGAGATGGATTCGCCGTTGAATCTGTGGGAGAAGGGTGGTATTTTTCGGGCCATGTGTGAGCGGAGTGGGATTACCAGGGAGGATATTGTTGGGCATTAAGCAAGCCATTTACTAGTATAAAAGTTGCAGTTTGGATACTGCCATATAGATGTCTAAAGCTAGAACGTATATCATGTCGTCACGTTGAGTGTTCATCCTGTCGTCCCGAGCAAGCACAGTGCTACAGCTACAAAGTACTACGGCGTATCAACTTGAAGTAATCAAATGAATTGCTATGGAAATCGTGAAATGCGGTACTATACACTCGGGCCAGCCATTCTCAGCATGCAAAGAAAATGTACGTCGAATCGAAACGTGATCGTAGCAAAATGCATCAACGCGTCGCTATGACTAAAAGAAATGCGAAAGAACACCGCTTACGCCGGCTTGGAGCAGCTGAAGACACCCCGGACTGTTCCTTCGTTGTACTTGTCGACCTGTCGAGCTGGTTAGCACTCGTTGAGTGAATTTTTGGAGTAACAAAACTTACAATATCCTTGACACTGGAGTAGGTACCAGCCACAAGCGTCAGGAAACCGATCAGCATGCAGCACACGTTGAGCGCTCCGAGCATCAGGTTGTGGCGCGAGTTCCATGGTCCCTCTCGAATGAGCATGAACCACATGAAGGCGGGGAAGTAAAAGGTAAAGCCCGAGATGAAGAGCGAGGAAGAAATAGACAGTAAATCGTTGAAGAAGGGAATGACCTCGGCAATGATAAAAGCAATGACAGTGCCGACGGTAATAATGGCCAGCCAGGTGATCCAGCCCATCTTGGTGTTGATGAAGCGGATGGGCGAGTCCTTGAAGATACGACCGTGGACGACACGGCCCGCGACAACGGTGTTGATGGAACCACTGATGAAGATGACGGGGAGAGCAACACCGAACGCGACTCGGCTCATGAGGTGACCGGCGGACAACAGGGCGGGACTTTGAACGTCCTGGCCAACAAAGGCGTAGACAATGGCTCCGGTCAGAGTGTAGATGAGGATCTCGGTAATTCCAAGGGCCCAGATGGACTTGACGTAATCCTGGGGTGTGTGCATCTCGTCCATGAATGAGAACTGGCACATGGCGAAACTATAGGCGAAGATGATGTTGGTGAGGGCGATGAAAGCATCGGTGAAGCTAATGTCCTCCTTGGGCCAGGCGGACCAGTTGACGCCAGAGAGGCCGCCGGGGGCATTGGAGCTCTCCACACCGGTCGCGATGATGGTGATTCCAATGGCGATAATAATCGACGCGAAGTCGACGTAGCCGAGAATGGCCATTTCGGTGAAACTGGGAGGGACGGCGAGGATCAACAGAATGATGGCGGAGACCACGGCAAAGACAACAGAGCAGACGTCGCTCTGGGTGATGTCAATCCACGCAATGGCACCAGTCAGAGTGTGAGAGCCCGTCAGGAAGAGCAGCTGCAAGATGAGCATAACGTTGATGAGCTCGTAACCGAAGCGACCAAACATGAGCTTTCCAGCATCGGGGTAGTGGTGAACCAGAGGGAACTTGAGCTTGACCTGCCCGACAACGTATGAGGTGTAGATGGCGAGCAGCCCGAGGCCGACCGTGCAGATGACACCGGCGACCATTCCCAGTGTTGCAAAGGTGGAGGGGAGAGACAGACTGCCGAGGGCAATGGCCTCGACGATGAGGACGATGGTGAGGCGTTTCCAGCCCAGACGGTTGAATTTCTGGATACCGTGTTCGTAGACGGTCCGCTCACGCTCGCTCATCTCGGCCACAAGGTCGCCATCGTACTGGGGGAGGCCGGTGACGTCGGGCTTTTCAGCACCGGGGGCCACGGTGACCTTCTTGGAGTCGCTGTCGGAGATGTCTGTAGACGACGCCATGGTTGAAAGGCGAGGAGTGGGTGAGAAGGGCGGGGAGTTGAGATGGACTGGAGTTGGACCGGGGGAGGGAGGAGGAGAAGAGTTTAAAGCCAGAGTAACAGAAAGCAACAGAATCTGAAGACAAAATTGTAACGTTGTGGAAACCACAGCCGGATTTTGTCCGCCCAAAAGGGAAAGTGCCGCTCATTGGCTGAATTAGAGTTTCTGTGACTAATAAGCCTTGTGGCGCTGGTTTGCCAACGGGGCTTATCTGGCCAGCAGCCACTCAGCGCAGAGAGCGCCCTCGACTAGGCAGAATATGGTTAGCGCCGGCAGTCGTAGGCTTCGAGAAGTTGCACAGAGTCTGCGAGATGTCATCACTCGGGATCAATCTGATCATTGCAAATTGCGCTTATTAGATTGAATTACGGAGCTCTCCGGGTGCACTTATCAAGGATCAGCACTTATCAGCAAGCTATGCAACCTCTGCCGCGTTTTCCCCAGCTTTTTCCCTCACTCGTAAGTCGCGCAAATCACCTCGCCACCCAGGTCCAGCACATCCGCAACCGTCACGTTCGGAACGATTCCGTGCAGCCACAAGACATGCCTCAACGTGGTCGTGTCTCCCTCGTCACCATTGTAATCCACCACACTTGGATCGGGCCCTTGTAATCCCACCAGGTCGAGGATGCTCTGCGGCGGCACATTCACGCCCCCGATCGCCGTCAGCCGGTTCGCCTCGTCCGCCTGTTGCCATTGCCACCACAGTCGGTCCAGGTACGCGTGGTGGAGGTAGAAGATCGGGTCGCCACTGCTCTCAACGGGGTCGCCCATCTGTTCGAGAAAACGCAAACATGTCACGGTTAGCTCAGCTGCTTCTCCACTGGGGTCCATAAAACACGAGGCAGGAGGTCTCACCACTCCCCCAACAACTGCATGCCCCGCACTGTGCGGGAACTCGTTATAGCACTGCCATGCCGCGTCGTACTCGGTCATGATAAAGCACTCTTCCACATTGGACCGGTTCGCCCAGGTAAACCACTGCTGGTCAAAGGAGCGGCTCAGACAGTAGTTGGCGTGGTTGCTCTCTCGGCTCATGCGCAGTGTCAGGTCGCGGAAGGGGCCGTCCTGGATGCAACCATCCTCTGTCCTCGTGCGCCGATCTGTCAGCCCATCATCCCTTGCAGACAACACCACGAGTCCCCGGGCCCGACGTTACTTCAAGTCAGGAGTGGATCGCTCACCTCCGCCATCGCCCCCAAATCCAAACACTGGATCAAAGATCGCCGCCTCGTGGATCGGTCCTGATTCATAATCTCCCAGCTCATCCCAGTACGGCTGCGCACCCGTGTATCCGCATAATCTCTGAAGGAGGAGCTCGTGCGCGCGGATGAGATAACGATGCCACGGGAGGAAATGTCCAACGTAATGGATATAGTTGCCCTGCCAGATATGCGTTCGGTGCAGTTCGTCCCAGACAGTTTCCGCGCCCTCGACTGACCCGGTTATCGGCGGATGGTTGATCAAGCATCGTGCAGCTCGAATGTACTCTGACCATCGTCAGTCTCCAGTGCAGATGCCGTCGTCATGCAGTACTCACTTACCGAGTTGCTCAAGCTTGCTCAATGCATACCTGGTGCGGTTAGGTGGTTGATGCACCCACGGATGCTCACGTACCATGATTTCCTCCTATTCAGCGAGCTGCAACCATCCCGGGGTTGGGAAACTGCAAGGCCAAGTGTCGATACTATAAACAGAGACACAATCGCCAACTGGGACCACGGAGCCATCATGGTGTCACACCCGAAAACGGTACTTGAGAAACAGAGCGTCGCGCGACCACCTTGCCGACCTGCCTGGTCACTTTATATTATCATTGCGAACCTCGCGGACTCGCTCTCGGTCTACCCCTGAGTCTCCTGCAGCAACCGTCCGCTGGCCAGGCGCATTGTGCACGAACCTCAATATTGGACAAAGGACCGCAGACGCCCTCACAGGTGGCTCTAGGCAATCGGTAAGCGATGCTGGTCGTGTTGTTAATCCCAGAGCAGCCCGCTCAATCACTCATCTGCGCCGGAGTGGGAATTTCGCTGCCGGGTTCTGTCCTACTGGAGGATTACGGTTAGGGCCACAGAGATTATGCAGACGTGGTGCGCAGCTGACCAATGTCGCCAGCTCCTGCAGCCCGGTGAGTTGTGCAAATCTCTCAATTGGGACGTAGATTGTGGATGCTTTGGGCTCGTTTATGCAGCTTGCCTGCTCGGCTTACTCGCGAAATGCTCACCCTCCAGGATGCTCTGCCAATATAATCAGGACAGGTTCCAAATCTCGCAAGCTCGGCGTTCTACGTTTGCTATGTGGATAACCGCGCTACGAGACAGTTCGCGCAATCCACTCGTGCGAACAGTATTTCCGTTCGATGAGGCCGTTTGCTGAGCGACTGGGTTGGAGAAACAGCACACGATGGCTGATTCAGCTGCCTACGTGGTAACTCGGGCTCAGTGCCACCTTCGATCTCCGATGCACCCCGGTGTAAGACCCGACATCTCCTCCGCGCCATGGCTCGTAGGATCGCCATTCTATGCCTCTACACATCCCACAAAAACTTTATCTATATCCTCTAATGCCGGAATCTGCGGGCAGACATGCTCAGCGTGAGGGAAACTCAGCTTTAGCAGCCATCAGCCACAATTCCCCGCACAGTCGATCCGCTAGATTCCACAGGCGCTGTGGGCTGAGGGCGGAATGCTTATTACCCGATTCGCATCGCCGAGCAGCACAACCTGCTAGCGGAAGTTTACGTGGACTGGCCTTGCTTGCGCTGGTCGATGACGGTTGCAGGTCGGTCGCTTCCGCAATGGACAGAAAGAGCTCGTTAGGCACAGTCACTATTGTCGTGTTTCCGGTTCAAAAGCCACGAGGTCCCAGTTTCAAAGCGTCCGGCTACGGCATCCGTTCGAGGCCAATGCGGCTCAACGTCCGCAAACTGTTTCATGATCGAACGGCGTATAGATACGGCGGACAACATCCGCCAGAGGTATCTGCAGGTCATACATAACCGTAATGGGAGGGTGGCACGCATCATAGATTCGCAGAATCCTGCCAATCCGGCTCGCGCCCGAAGGATCGCGGATGAATATCGTGCGGTCGGACCGTTTCCCACGATTCCACAAGATTGCGCGCAACAAGAAGTAGGCCATACTCCTGTGTACACGAGTACTGGATCATGGTGTTGTAGGGTCCGTGTACTTGGAAGCTTCAGCGTCGGTTCAACATTTGGATCGGCAGCCCACTGCAGAGGCTCAACCCTCCGATGTGAGCCCTGACCATGAAGCTTGTTGGCTTTTGGAAGATTCCACTGCCTCAATGTCTACCATCCTAATGCTCACAGTGGTGTCCGCATGGCCAGTGTACCAAAACCAGCGCCTAGGCCACGTCGGCTCGGGGCGCCGATGGAACTCCAGTTTCTCTCCTGGCTCCTTGTGCAGCGGCTCGGTCGTGTTCCAAAACTGCACGGATAGCACGGTGGTCAGTGCCCTCATGGCCGGTAGCAGGTGAATTTGTACCGAGGGCTTGTTGCTGGGTATGGACAAAGGATAGATAGCGTTGCCGGCGGAGGAAAGAGGGTCGGTTGAGGTACGCGGTCAAGGTAGAACTGATTTCTGTTGAACCGAGTTAGATAGCCATCATATCTTCCGCAGAGCCTGAGGTCTCACCATCTCATGGTTTTGGTGGATAAAATCCAGGCCTCATGGCATTTGTAATATGCGCATGTCTGTGGCATATACAGTCGACGAGCCTAATCCCGATACAGGCAATAAGTGCACCGGCATCGGGGCGCGCCCGATAGCAGCCAAGAGCCCAACAAATCCACCAGCGTTGTATCCCGGGCCGTCCATCGAAGGCGCTGTCGGTCTTATTTCGGCTTGTCTTTCGCACGGTCGAAAATCATCGGCAGCGGTGGTATAGCATGACTCGCTGCGCTTCTGGTCCGCGGAAACCGTCGAGCTCGGCGAATACCGAGGCTGGAAGACTGCTGTCCATCGCGCTGGACTTTCCGCTGTCGAGACTCGAGTCCAAGACTCGGCAGGACTCGAACTCGCGTGGTTGGTTGACTCCACGGTGCTGCCGACTGGTGGCCAGGTGTTGATAACTTGGGACGTATGTACTCCGGAGTAGAGCGATACCGGTTTCTCCCGCGCCTGGCGCAATTCATCGGCGAGCGATCGTTTTTAGGACAGAGACGGTTGAGATTCTCACGTTTGTGACTGGTCGGTGGTGGGGCTCCCAAACTCCGGCGAAAAGCTCAATTTCTCCTGTAGTGCGTGCCGTGCGAGGAAGAAGCAGCTGGGGCGGTGACGCGCGGCATAATCGGCTGTTTATTCTCCGATCAGTCACGTGCTATTCCCAACGACCCCCACTCGCCTCTGTGTGATTGACCCAAGACACGACGGACTGTGAGTGGACGATTGAAGCACTGCCTCCCTGCATGTGTTTGGCCGACACTTCATAGTATTCGCGCCGTGTCTAAAACTCGTATCAATGTGGAATGTAAATGTGTTTCACGGTGATGAGTTAAAGAACCGAACCTTGGAAGGTTGACAAGGCCACGAACAGTGGTGCCGTCGCGAGCGACGCAAAATAAAGTCATATCGGTCAATAAGTGAGATCTAGTTAGTAGGAACGAATCTAGAAGCTACAGAGAGTTACTGGAAGCATAGATAGGATCTTAAGCCGACAATTCTGAAATCTGAAGCAGAAGCGTGTTTGAGCAGCGGAGGGTCCCAACAATATATATTTGGTTCTGCAACCAAAAAAACCGATGGACAATCTTGCAGAAACGCAATAATGTTCTAAGAACGCCATCTATTATGAGATCTATCAATACTAAACTCCAGGAATCTATTCAGTCGACAAAAGTATCACATTGGTACAGACACAAGAAACATTCCCACGAACAAGGCGCAAAGAACAACAATCACGTGATACTTCAAGAACAGAGTCATGAGCGAGGGTCGCAGGGTTAGAATATTAGACGTTATTATTATGAGCGTAGTGTAATGGTGTATATGAGGCGTTCGAGATAGCGTAAGAATCATTCAGAATCATCAGGTCGTTCGCGTTCAAGCGAAACCTTTGCTGGGATCCTGCGTCTTCGCGACGCGTAGACTCTTGCGCAGTTTATCTGTCGCACGGCAAGCCCAGACAAAGAATCCGAAATGAATTATACTGGTCTGATTAGTATGCAATCATTGCTGGGGAGCGGAGTGACTTACACAGCGACGAAGCCCACCGCCGTACCAAAGTGCTCGACATACGCAGCCTGCTTGCCATTGCAGTCCGGTTCTGTGCGGCCACAAGTGTATCCACCCGTGTAGTATGGCTCCATGATCGCGAGGTACAAACATAAGGCGACGGACACGGCAGCGAAGGCGATGAAGTCAAAGGCGATGTAAATGCCTGGATGGATGGGAGCGGGGGTGGCCAGTTCGACTGAGAATATTATGAGGGACCAGACGAGTGCGTATTCGGTCTAATATCATCTGGATTAGTTCAGGTCCGGATAGAAAGTTTGAAGCGATATACTCACCGTTCCTGTGACTGGGGCGATTACGGGATGACCAAGATCTGCTGCCGTCAAGACATCTCTGTCATGCAGGTCTTGCGTGTATCCAAAGGAAATGACAGCCGCTAAAGAGGCGACTATCGTAACGAAGCGCAGGCAGAGAGATAAACGTTGTGAGCGCCACTTGAAGCTCGCTGAAGATCCCATGGTTGTGTAGCTTGGAATAGAAACAGGTAGGTGAGGTTTGCAGGAAAAGTATACTTGTTTGACTTTGACTTGAGATGTAAAGGCTCGAGAGAGATGTCGGCCTATATAGACACTCTTCCTCTTAGCGAGCAATGGAAATAGCATCGCGATAGGCCATGACCTGGCTGTGCCGGACGATCAGTCGATCGGCCAAGACAAGAAGGCAAAGTTCTGCTGAGCCAATCTGTTAGGCAAGCGGATTGTCAAGAACAAGGTCATCTTCTCTTCTAAAGAGAGCGAGTAACAATGCGGCTTTGCTCCGTGGCTTGGTTAAGGGTATGACGCGAGATACCATGCGAAGATTCAGGGTCCAAAACACCCCAGTATGCAGGACCAATGAAGGATCCGGCCATGCGAAGCGACGCATGACGTCATGGGAGGAATACGAATTGCATAACTTGGGCACAACGCCCAGAGCATAGCCTCGATTGAGCCTCGAAAGGATTCAGGAAGGGAAAACCAGGCGCGGCCGATCAGGCGCCCAGCGAGACAGTGTTCAGAGAGGAGTCTACGATTGGCGCCGACGAATTTGCGATCTGCAGCGCACAAAAAGGGATCAATCCATTTATTTCAACAACTCAAAAGATGGCGAACAAAACTTCATATGTCTCTTGAAAGAGCAGGAATACCACCAATCCTAGTTAGGATGATCGATGCGAATGACAACCTTGGCGAAATGCTTCTTCTCCGCCAGGCGTTGATAGGCACTCTTTGCCTCCGCAAGCTCGAACACCACATCGTCGATCGCAGGCACAATCTTTTTCTCGTCAATGAAGCGAACGGCATCTCGAAGTTGGTTTCGGCTGCCTCCGAGTAGACCGCGAATAACGCAGGTATGGATCAAGGCGGAAAGAACAGAAACAGGAGGAGAATCATCACCGACAAAGCCTATCACTAGAACGATACCGTCCACGCGGACCGCGGCGAAGGATTGAGGCAAGGTTTCATACCCGCCAATCTCAATTATGAAATCAAACCCCCGTCCGCTAGGTGTCAATCGCCGTGCCTCTTCGCCCCAGTTTTGGTGTGTTCGATAGTTGACCACATGAGCTGCGCCAAGGGCCTTGAGGCGAGCCGCTTTTTCCTCTGTTGAGGTGGTAGCCACAACCGTAGCACCGGCAGCGACAGCAATCTGTAGGACAGCGATGCTCACACCACCCGTGCCCTGAACGAGCACCCATGAGCCTGGCCCCGCCTGGTTTCCTTTCAAGCCGAAGAGCGCATTCCACGCTGTCACCCAGTTGCATGACAAGGTCGCCGCTGGCAACCAGTCCAACGACTTTGGAGCGTGCACAAGGGCTGTTGCAGGAAAAGTCGCCCAGGATCGAATTGTACCGTCTGTCCCTTGGCCAAGGCAGTTTGGGACATCTAACATCGTAGCCTGGGCATCATCGCCTTCAGACTCATTGACTGGTTTTACTACACAAGTCGTGATCACTCGATCTCCTGCGCGGAACTCGTGGACGGAAGACCCGACGGCCTCAACCGTGCCCACGCCATCACAGCCAGGAACGATGGGTGGAGTAATTGGACCATTGATACTCTGCACGGAGTTAGTGAAATTATAGTGAATTACATTCTTCAGAGCTTACCCCAGGCTTCGCAATGTTTATCTCGCGATAGTTGAGACTCGCGGCGTAGAGTTTGACAAGCACTTCATGAGGACCCAAGTCTTGGACTGAGGGTATGCTGATGTTGTCTTGGTATTCGAGTGACTTTTCAAAGCCTTCCTGGCCTGTCAAAATCCACTGTCTAGCCATAGTTTGAGAGCGTTTGTTGTTGTGCGGTGCTGCAAGATAAAAAGATGATCAGGTTGCTATCCTGACCAGGGAAGATTCCAAGGCTGGCAGAGGGTACTATATACCCTTTGGTCAGGACATGAGCTCGGTGTGTCATGAGGAAGGTGATTCTGAAATTCCGAAACAGGAAAATCAATTTGGCTAGGAGTATAGAACGCTTCTCACCACCGGAATCCAGTCGCTGTCCACGAGTCCGCGGATGGAGCGAATCTCATTTTCCCAATCAGGAAAATTAGATTTAGCCCCGTGGCCCAAGCCGAGGGTGGAATCCAAGCACAGTCATGATTCGTTGCCTTCAGCCGAGTAGTAAGCGCTAGACCCCAAACGAGCTAACTAGGTAGGCCAAGCAATTCGTTGAAGTCCTGGCATCAGTATCAAGGCATACGTGCTGAAAGTTTGATGCCTGTGAGAGAGGCAAGAACTACCGGTGGCTCTTGGTTATTGGATTTGTGATGCGGAGTCTGAGCTTTGAAATCTGAATTTGTCATCGGTCGAATACACGGTCATCCACGAGTCCGGCATGGAACCTTCCACCTCAGCAAAAACGTCCGGATCTGACAACTCCGTCCAAAGCTGTTTGAACAGACCATTGAGACCGATATCCGACACCAGCCTCTCTTGCAAGAGTCTCAGCGGTTTGGGCCACCCGCGTAGCCGCATCCAGCGGACTGCCATCGAGATTCTATCCACGAACCATGTCCCCGCAGGCGAGCCCCTCTCTGCAGCTATGGCCCCGACCATGAGTTGGAAGCAAGTCATATGCATGTAAGGGCAGCCCTTGATTGGGAAACGTTGCATCGCATCTCGCAGGTCACTGGCAAGGAGAGTTAAATAGGCTGCTGAGTGTGTGGGCCAAAGAAGATGGAGGATTATCTCAATCGCTCGTGCGGCCGCCTCGATATGAATCTTATCGCTTGTTCTGAGTGCACGTGCTTCGTACTGTAATCGGGCTAGCGGTTCTTCGATTGCTTGAGCGACAAGAACCGAGTCAAAAGCGTGTTCGTGATGCGAATCAACCATGCCTTTCAAACGACTGACACCGTCACAAAGTGCTGCGAGTCTGGACAGTCGTTGGTCATGGTAATGGCTCAATGCATTGATTACACTGGGATGCCAGATCCGAGGGAAGCCCAAAATGCCATTGATCGAGTCCCTAGCGGCGTAGTTAGCGTTTGGAACTAGTATAACAGAACCTGTACAGACTGGACAACAAGGTCTATGACCCATGACGGCAAAGAGTCGGCTAGGCGAGATTCTCGGTCTCTGATGATATTTGTGAGCCCATTGATATGGATTTTCCACGCAAACCTATCATCGGCCAAAGCTGCACCAAAAGCCATAGTAAGAACTGCACCCAAAACGCCATCAGTGCTCGATTTTGTAGACATGATCGCCTGCTTAATAAGATTCACGGCTTTATCCATATGATTGTGTGCTCGGTACTGCCAGGAAATGTCGGGAGACCACTGCTGCACAGCTACAGCCATTGACGCTTCGACCAGTGCAGGGTCAGAGGCGATGAGGTCAAACCAGGCGGCCTCACTGGGACCGTCGGGAGCATGCCTGCCTTCCAGATAAACAAACTCTTGCAGCTTATGCACTGGGAGTAGTTAGTTGTTTTCTACAACTCGTCGAAATAATGTTACACACGAGCTCCGATGTCACCACCGGAAGTTGGGGCCCTGAAAATAGCAACCTCGGTATTGCTTTTTCGTTTTGATTTCTTTCGCGACTGGGAAGATGCTGTGCCCGCGATCCGCTGCCGTCGTTTTGCGAAATTGGCTTTTGTGACGTGCGCTCTCATCTGCTTCAGTGTGGGTTGGGATAGGGTCGAGGCCCCAGTTGTATTCAAAAAGGTGAACTCTGCGGAGTCCATTTTGGAATTTGTCACTCCATTTCGATGAACCTCGTTCAGGGACTCGGAGGTGTTGCTGTCTTGAATCGAGGCAAGCCGGGATAAGCACGGAAGATGGTTGTTCCGCCGGATCATGTGAGCGCCGCTTATCTTCTCCGACCGAGTGTTTGGGCGTCTCCAACAACGCGATTGAAGAGCAAATCCCCCGCTAAGATTGTGCCTTTCCTTGGCATACTACCTTGACCATGCTATCAACCTGTGGCCTGCGTCTGTTAATCAAAGGACCGTCTTGGGTTGCACTACTAAGCCTGCCAAAACGCTGATCCCTCCTTCCTCCACGGTTATCGCCGGTCGCGATATGCAACGATGCCTTGGCGCAGTGTTCCTGAACCAGTGAGGAGGTCGTCGTCGAATTCTGGACCAATGTCGAGGCCGGCTGATAAGCTGGGGGTGTGCTCGCGCTGCGGGGGTCTCCTGGGTATGAGCAAAGCCTGGATGTCTTAAATTGCCCTGCTCTCCCTGCGTTCCTCGCTTCGGAGATTCTCCAGGGACGAGTAGCCGGTCAGTCATCGAGAACGCGCAGAATGAAGGTATGTGCAGCTCCCTGTGGATTCAATTGAGCGCCGGCTAAGGTGTAGTAGACCTCCGCCTTGTTGGTGCTCCTGGGCATCTCCCAGACCATTGCTGTGCCGTACAAGCCACGCGAACCTCGCGCAGGCGGAAAGAAACGCCTGACATTCAACGAAACGGTAGTCGCTTCGGCCCTATCTCCGTCATCCATCTCGGTGCAATGGATCGCAACCGCCGACGACGGAGACTATGTGTACCAAGAGCAGGACGGAAGTATTAAGATCGAGAGCATTGTCACCAACCGGTCACAGACTATTGTTCCGGCCGACGAGGTACCTGCGGACGCATATAGCTATTGGATTAGTCCGGACCTGTCCGCGGTTCTATGGGCGACCAACTACACCAAGCAGTACCGTCATTCCTTCTTCGCCGACTACTACATCCAGGATGTTGCGACGTTCGAGTCCGTACCTCTCGTGGCCGACCAGTCTGGGGATATCTCATACGCGGAGTGGAGCCCGAAGGGTGACTCAATTGCCTTTGTCCGCGGAAATAACCTGTACACCTGGGTCAACGGCACCGTGGCCGCTATCACCGAGAACGGTGGACCGGATTTGTTCCATGGGGTACCCGACTGGATTTACGAAGAGGAGATTTTGGGAGACCGCTTTGCGTTGTGGTTCTCCCCCGATGCAGAGCTCCTAGCTTTTCTGAGCTTCAACGAGACCGGGGTTCCCACCTACACCGTGCCATACTACATGGACGACCAGGAGATAGCGCCTCCGTACCCTCGAGAGCTCGAGATTCGGTACCCCAAAGTTGGAGAGACCAACCCGACAGTGACGCTGAGCATCCTTAAACTGAGCGATAACTCAGTGACAACCATCCCGATTGACGCCTTCGACCCAAGCGAGCTGATCATCGGCGAAGTCGCCTGGGTGACTGATACACACACCACAGTCGCTGCCAAGGCGTACAACCGTGTGCAGGACCAGCTGAAGGTGGTCATTGTGGATACTGCATCTGGCGAAGCCGACGTTGTCCACGAGCGTGACGGTACCGATGGCTGGTTGGACAACTTGCTTTCGATGGTGTATGTCGGTCCCGTTGGCTCGGGAAATACATCCTCTACCTACTATGTGGACCTCTCTGACCACTCTGGATGGGCGCACCTGTATCTTTACCCAGTATCTGGCGGTGAGCCAATTGCTTTGACCGAGGGTGAATGGGAAGTCACCCGAATTGTGAGCGTCGATCAAGAGCGGCAGCTGGTATACTATCTTTCGACACAGCATCACAGCACGGAGCGCCATCTCTACTCGGTCTCATACTCAACCTTCGAGATTACACCTCTTGTTGATGACACTGTCGCGGCGTATTGGAGCGCTTCTTTTTCCTCCAAAGCGGGTTATTACATCCTTTCCTACGCGGGTCCGAATGTGCCGTACCAGGAGCTCTACTCTGTTGAGCAGGCCACTCCTCTTCGTACTCTCACCAGCAACGCTGCTCTTATCGAGGCGCTCGAAGAGTACAACCTGCCGAAGATTAGCTACTTTGAGTTGACGATTCCGAGTGGTGAGAAGTTGAACGTGATGGAGAGGTTGCCAGTAAACTTCAAGCCACACAAGAAGTACCCCGTTCTTTTCACTCCATATGGCGGTCCAGGGGCACAGGAAGTCAACAAGGCGTGGCAGAGTCTCGATTTCAACGCCTACATCTCATCCGACCCCGAGCTTGAATACATCACCTGGACGGTCGATAACCGCGGAACTGGATACCAGGGACGTGCATTCCGGTCTTTGGTCGCGGAGCACCTTGGAAACCTCGAGGCTGAGGATCAGGTCTATGCGGCCAGGCAAGCGGCGAAGAGACCTTATATTGACGCTGATCACATTGCCATCTGGGGCTGGAGCTACGGAGGTTATCTGACAGGAAAAGTCCTTGAGACTGACAGCGGCGCCTTCTCTCTGGGTCTCCTCACCGCACCCGTATCCGACTGGCGGTTCTACGACTCGATGTATACGGAACGGTACATGAAGACTCTTTCCGCGAATGCCGGAGGATATAACACCACTGCCATCCGCAACAGCGAAGGATTCAAAAACGTTGCGGGCGGGTTCCTGATCCAGCACGGAACTGGTGACGATAATGTGCATTTCCAAAATGCTGCCGCGTTGGTTGATGTGCTGATCGGCGACGGCGTGACGCCTGAGAAAATGCAGGTCCAGTGGTTTACCGACTCGGACCACAGCATCAGATACAACGGCGACAACGTTTTCTTGTACAGACAGCTGGCCCAGAGGCTGTACGCAGAGAAGAAGAGGAACGGCAAGGAGGATCACCACCAATGGAGCAAGCGAAATCACGCGTGGATGGTGTAGTTCAAGTTAGCCTCGAGTATGTTGTATTGTTAATGCAGATGATATCAGTCCTCGGCCTCGGGGTTATCGGACAGCGCGAGTTCGGCCCCCACCGTCGGCCTCGGCTTTCGGACTTAAGTCTCTTTCTTGCACCTTCCCATTATGACGATTCCCCTCCCTCGCAGCTTCCACATATGCCGTAGAAACCACAGAGTGCTTGGTCAATTTCTTCTTCTACAATGAACCAAGGCGAGTTGCGAAAGCGCAGGCGACCGGCCAAATCGTGTGAGCCATGCCGGCAGCGGAAAGTGCGTTGTGATCTTCAGCAGCCGTGTGGACCGTGTACACGGACCAAGTCCTCGCTGAACTGCTCCTACCGCGACGAAGGTGCGCTTTCAAGACAGCAAAGCCAGTTCCGTGTTCAACACCGACCCGCCGTTCCTCCCCCTCAACCTCGGGGAAGTGGCCGTCCCCAGCTGACTCCCTCGTCTATCGGAGCCGAGACCGAAAGCCCAAATGACGACTTGCAACAAACCGTCCGGGATCTTGAGGCGCGCCTCGCCGACCTGGAAGCGCGAGTCACTCGTGGTAGGACGAATGACGTATCGTCTGCACGATGCTCGAGGGTTGAACAGGACTTGCGTGCTTTGTCCGACAAGGTCCAGACGGTCCAGGACCAGCTGACCAGGGCGCCGAATGCCACTGCTCCGGATGCAAGGGATCGGACATCAATTAGGGCCATTGCTCCCCGGATGCGCCACTCGATGCAAAAGGTCAAGTTCATGGGACCGTCGCACTGGTCTCACAAGATGGATCCGGTATGTCGGTCGCACAGCCTGGTTTCGATCTTGAACTGACGGTCTTACATAGCTCTCCATCTCTCAGCTTATGGCGACAAAGGACCCTGAGCCCGCTTTGAACGACGTCAAGTTGATCATAAAAGAGTGCCGCGACCTCCGACAGTCGATCAAGGCACAGCGTTCTGTGAGACTCAACAACCCGTTGCCGGATGTACGTAGCACAATCCCGTCCAAGGGAGAGTGTGACGAACTGGTGCAATGCTACCTGCGCACCTTTGAACCCATTTACCGCGTCATACATGTCCCATCATTCTGGACGGAATACGATGAGTTCTGGACTCAGGCTCAATCTACCTTGACTCCTTTCCTTACGAAGCTTCTCCTCATTCTCGCAATTGGTACTGTGTTCCGCTCGGGAGATGGATCTCTCACGAGGGAAGAGCATCACCGACTTGCTCAGAACTGGATATACGCCGCGCAGTGGTGGTTAGCGGGACCCTCAGAGAAGTCCACACGCAATCTTGACGGGCTCCAGGTGGCGTGTCTCCTGCTCATCTCACGAAAGGCATGTGGTTTCGGAGCATCCCCTTGGCTGTCTGCAGGGTCCCTGATGAAGATGGCAATATCAATGGGATTACACCGTGACTCGGCAAACTACCCAGCGCTTTCACCACTCCAGGGGGAAATACGGCGACGCCTCTGGGCGACCGTGCTAGAGTTGGAGTTGCAGGAATCGCTCGACTTGGCTTCGCCGTGTCTTGTACCAGCCTTCTGGGACACTAAAGCACCGTCGAGCATTGACGATCATACTTTGGCAGCAAACTTGACGACAGTACCCGACGCCGAAGGAGATGGCCGAGTCACAAATGCATCAATTCAGGTCTTGCTCCATGACTCGGTCAGATTGCGTATGCAAATCCTTGAGGTGATACATGACTGCAAAGAACAGTCGTACCAACGGGCGCTGGACCTAGGCAGCAAAATGCGAGCAGTCTGCCGTCGAACAGCAGCCGCTTTTAGCTCGATGAGCGACGGTACCAGCCCGGGCGCGGAATCGAGTGGATTCCAGGCAAAGTTCATTGATATTCAGCTACACAGGTATATCCTGGCTCTATACACACCGTTCATGGTGCAAGCAAGAAAAGACCCTCAATATTACTTTGCCCGGAAAGCGTGTCTAGAGTCCGCAGCAATAATTGCGGCTTATGCAGATGCCCTCGACCTACCGTCCGATGCACCTGATGACATATGCCGCCTCTTCCTTACCGGAAAGGGCTCTTTCAAGGGTCCGCTCAGCCTCGATGTGATATCCCCGCTCGGTTTGGAGTTGGTCACTCAGCTAGAGGAAGAGCCTTTTACAGGCTTCGATGGCGATCCGTTGGACAAGCTTGCGGGAGCTAGCCGCGACCATCTCATTCACACCCTTGAACACATTCTCAACCAGCTCTGCCAAATAATCGCCATGGGAACCCCGAGCATGAAACGCGCTGGTCTAGCAGCGGCTGTGCTGGGGCAGATCCGGGCGATGAAAGCGGAGCAAGATATCAAAGAGACCGTATACGAAACTATGGCGCAAACTTTCAAGGATTGCTTTTCGGCGCTGCAGATGAGCGCTCAGAGGAACGAAGTGACAGAGGCACTCGACGGCACCAGTACAATAGACTTTGGTGTACCCGACCCAAGTCTGCCTGGGTTTGACATGGATCTGACGGTTAGTCGACATCGACATTTGATACTTATAGATTTACAGTCTGACACCGCTGCAGGATTCCATCTTTGGCATAGACCTTCAGAGTCTGTTTCCATTTACGGGCCTCGATAACAGCATGGGTTCTATGCTCAGCTGAACAAGAATTATCGGTACCTGAGCGAGCCGCGGGACGGCTACCGTCGCAAAAGGTCTGCGTGTTGAATGCCGACTTCTTTCTACTGAAGATGAGGGCGACCCGAATGTTGACGGGATGTCAGAGTTCAGCATGAGATTCAGCATGAGATTCCCTCACCTTATCTTGCGGCAAGAGGCGACGTCGCGGCATCAAAGACTGCATCCCAATCTCCTATCCACAAGGTAGATGATAGATTAATATTAATCTGAGGACCCCACTATCTTGTTCTGACGTCGCGGATCAAAGGAGATGCTCGACGTCGCCCCCTGCCAAGAGCCGGCCGGATCGTGATGGAGAGCGTCTCTTCGTCCCCATTTGGGGGATTCTCCGGGCAAAACGACGAAACTGACCCAGTCGACGTACTCCAGATTCCTTTCCGTATATAGCTCCGATCGGTTGGCCCATGTTTGGGGTATGGCATCATTGGCGTCGTGGTGCTGGCGACGCGTTCTGGCACATCGGTCAACATTGACAATCGACAGCAATCAACAATATGAGGGTGGAAGGGCATAAAAATTTGGAAGATGGATAACGCATTGAAATAACTGCCGATAGATGGCCAACTCCCCTGATTTTCCCAGAAACTGGGTATGTTTTGAGGCGCTGCCCAGGCTGACAAGGATCACATGCAAATGGGCTTCCGGCATGTGATTCTAGGGTTCTTTCCTGTTCGGGCGTCCAAGCTTCTGGAGGCCGAGTACTATAAGACACGATGCCACCACAGTGTCTGCTCAAATGGCGTATCTGAACACTCCTTTTTGATTCAATCTTCAATTGTCTTCCTACCTCAAGCACAATGGCTATCCCAACCGACATCACCCTGAAAACCCTCAAGGGGTCGTGGGGACTGGTATGCATTTTCACCTTAATGTTGTAGACATGAGCTGACATACCAGTAGGACAAAACCCTCTCCGAGAACATGGATGGCATCCTTAGACTGGTACGCCGCTCCCGGAAGACCCTCTCGAGCCCATCAGCTAACACCACCATAGCAAGGCGTCGGCTGGCTCACCCGCAAAGGCATTGGCGCCGCATCCCAAACCCTCCACTTCACCTCCGCCGTCGAAACACCCCCCTCCTCCTCCGAGATAACCGTCCACATTACAATGCGCCAAACCCTGACCGGCGGCATCCCCGGCTCGACCGAAGAGCGCTACATGGACTGGGTCGAGCGCGAGCGCAGCAACCACATCTATGGCGACACGCAGTCGCGCAGCCGCCTGATCAAGGGTGTTCGTGACGCGGGGGGCGCCGTCCGTCCCGACGTGGAGATCCAGTCGAAGCCTGGGAACGATGCGATCGAGGAGGAGGTCAAGAAGTTCTTGAGTGCGGGCGTACCGCACTTGGGCTCACAGGAGAATGATGACCTGTCTGATCTGTATATTCATGACTTTGGCCGGAATGAGAAGGCTGGGTGGACGGCTGAGCAGGTATGTTTTTCATTTGGCCTTACGGTTGCCATCTGCTAATGAGCGTTGGTGGTAGATCTGGGGCCTTGAAGTCATCGACTCGCAGCAGTACCTCACGCGCCGGGTGGCTGTTGTTCGAGAGGACGGGTATGAGCTGGCTCGCCTGGTGTACAAGTTCAATGGGCTTTGATTGCATGTACTGACCGATTAATCTGGTTTGTGTGTCTATTGGTTTAGCTTGACGCTATCTTTGTATGTCGGAAGTAATGCATAGTGTCTCTTAACTTGCAACGAAGATTGATCTGAATGATAGGATAGTATCAAAATGAGTCTGAGTGATAGGATAGTATCAAAATGAAGCCCGCACATCCGATCAGCGAAGCATGGTGGCAGCCCGAAACCCGCTGAAGTGGCAAGTGCCAACAAGCAGATTATACCCCCAGTCTCCTACTACTAGCCCGAGACTACCTACGTAGTACAAAACCCTGGAAACCATATTCCGTCACCTCCGGATATTCACCGAGCTGTTTCAGCTAAGAGGTAATGCACCTGAGACATGCATACAGAGTACTACATCTCCCCACCTGGGCGAGTCTGCGTCCGGGGTGACTGACTGCACCGGTCCGGTCGTCGCCGGCTACGGGCACACATCCTCCTCACTTCCAAGGACCATGAAACAAATCCTTCAACACAACCAAGAAGTCCGAGAAGTCGGTGAGATGTCCGAGTCGACTTTGCAGAATTACATAATCCACCCCACCGCTACTCTATACAGTTACTCCTCCGGACCCCACTTGAGCTGTTTCCAGCCTTGAGGACCGATGCTTAATGGCTCTCACCTCCGATCTCGGGATCACCTCGGAAGTCTCCCGCCTCTGCTTGATTGATGCTTAATTTCCGCTGATCCGGTCTGCCGGGTCCTTGCAAATGGATTATGAGGGTGAGCTTGTTTCTCGATTGATGGCGTGCTAGTTTAGCGGACGGGACTTGGGTTTTTCTGACGATTAACGCAGGAGTCGGGGATGGGGGTTTACGACTAGGCAGTGCAGAGAAATAGTACAGTAGATTATTCGCTTGAACATCATAATGGCTATACTGCGTGTAAAGATAGACTCATTTACTGGACCACCCTGATGAACATATACCACGAACTCTTCCCTAACCATAACCCAAAGCACGAGCTCTTCCCTAACCTCAAACCCGCAAACTCAACCCTAACGCCCAGTCTAATAATGCGGCCACACGCCCCTCGACGCAATCTCAACGACGTGCCCATCCAGATCCTCAAAATACACACTCCTCCCGCCCCTTTCCCAGCTCATCGTACTGAGAATCTTCACTCCCTTACCCCGTAGATGCTCCTCCCACTGCTGAACTTGCTCTGGACTCTGAACCGCGAAGCAGAAGTGCTGCTTGAGGCTTTGTGCTTCTCCCTCACCGTTGCTGTTCTCGTCCGAGTGCTGGAGCGAAGCGAGGACTTGCGGAGTCGGGCCATGAAGTGGGATTACGCCCGTCGGCGTATTGATGTCGGTCCCTGTCTTGCCGAGCTCGAAGAGGAGGAGGGTTGTTGGGCCGAGGGAGAAGCCTGTTACGCGTGGCTGCGACTGTTAGCTTTATCGTTGATAATATTGTATGATATGGGGACTTTGTTTGATCGGAAGGAAAGGACGGCGGAGGAGTTACCGATTCAATAAACGGAGCAATGTTCAGCGTCTCCTGGTAGAATCTGGCTGATGCCTCGATGTCGCGGACGTAGATGCACGTCTCGAGGATGTGGGTTAGAGGAGCAGGAGGAGGGTTAGTCGTGGTGGATGTCATTGCGGTAGATATCTTGCACAGTATATTTCTGTTCTCATGTAGGTAGTGTATAGTCACTCATGAATCAGGGGTGGTCAACGGGGTAAGACTCATATAATGCGGGGAAGTGAATCTGGACCAGCGTGGTTGGTCATCGCGGTCGCCTCGTATTCGTCCATACCCTGCAGCATTCTCACATAAGCAGGCGAGGATTAGAAGAGAGAGTGGTCGAGGCGATTACTGCCACGATGTGGTGTTGAAGCTTCAGATTGTATGTCGCCGCATAGGAAAGATACTGCTAGTGTGACTTTCACACTGGGTGCAACGATGTTCAAACTCGATAGACACAAAGAAGCCGAACCCTGATGAAAATCATGAACCAACCAGTCAGATCGCCTATATTGAGAACATGCAACGTGAACCATAGTTAGGGACAGAGGATGAGGTACAAGGTATATACAACAGCCTCGGACAAGTCTCTCGACTCTAGGCCTACCTCGAAGCGAGTCCACAACAGTCTAGCTCGTCGCTAGTCCCGGAGCAAATATCTATGAGGGGATAATCACCACTGCCCTGAATCCTGATAGAGGGAATAGAGTCACAGACCAACCATCACATCACATGTGCGCCCCGCTCCACCCCATCTCGAGACTATTGAATCGTACCTGCACTAAATCGCTCGCTCACCGGAGAGGGCTGTCGGATGTCCATTGTCCACGAGGCAATTCGATAGTCGACCGGTGTCCCGCGAACTAGCAGAAACCACAGTGGAGGGATCGGCTCTTTTCATGGATGCGAGCAAATCACGACATTGGTGATCAGCGAGTTCATTCAAGTTCGCCGCTCATCTTAGTCCGAGGTTATACAAACCTCCGACGTTGACCAGATTTACATGTTCCGAGTCTAAGAATGTGGGCGTGCTTCAAGGCTGCCACCTGCAGTGCCCACTCAGCACCACTGCCCGCCAGCGAACAGGGGAGGCAATGACCCGAGTCGGCGCCACACCCCTTGAAATTCAATTCAACCCAAATTCTATCCTGCCGACCAATCACCGCAATGCACATTCCAGTCTCCACCTTCTGAAGAACAAAGTCAAACTCTGATTTGCCGCTGCGGCCGAGCTTCAAAGGCGCTCGGCTCTTCGGCAGTCCGCAGCCGCTCTTCACCGCGGTGATCCCCCATGGGTGGCTAATCGATTGAATCCAGTACCTGGCCTCCCGTGATTTCCAAGGAGTTAGAACCGAGAAGGTGGTTGAAACGGCCGGAACGTTGAAACTTGTTCCACGGATGATTTATTCAGGAGATGGGCTGGGTATCCGTGGATGTCGACGATACGGTTGTGGTTAAGAGAAAACTCGAAGGATCACGACTGTTTGATTACATGTCTCATTGGCGGTGTCAGAGGAGGCTATTCCAGCCCGCTGACTGCACGATAACGCCCCTTCAGGAATAGTTGCGACTACCACTAGTTTAGTTTAGCCACGATAGTCCTCTATCTGTCATGGCAGTTGCAGAGGGGGTGATGCGTGATCGCCCTTGTGCCTCGTGGTGACTGGGCTGCGCTACTGCCGCATAAACTTCAGGGCTAGTGTCGCAGGACTGGAGCCCTGATCTCCAGAGGAGTCCAGCCTGCTCTAACTGCGATGGGAAATATCCCCGGACCACGCTGAAGATCATGATTCAGCAAGAAACAAGAATAGAAGTGAGGCGAGACAAGGTTGTTTCCAACGTCCGAGAGTGAGAGCCGTTGAGGGAGAACCAGACGGTCGCAACGTGTGGGTGAGGAGAAGAAGAGGAGAAGCGGAGAAGACGAGAATGGCGACAGCGACTCCGAGCGAGTGGGAAGAGATGTTTGGGTGCGGGGAATGTGATCCCAGTGGCCTGGAATGCGACTCCGAGAGCGGAGAGAGGGCGAGCCACGGTGTGAGAGGTGGACCTAACAGCCTCTTCCGGTGCTCCGAGCCCTACTCCTCATCCTGATTCGTGTTCTCTGGTACGTCATGATTGTCATGATTGCATTGCTGATGATATTCTGCTAAAGTGACATGGACAAGGTATATACAGTGAAATTAAGTGTAATTATTGTGACAGGCAGAGGTGGTGCTACATGATCTGGTATATGGGCGTCTCGTGGAAGTACGGATGTGAGTGTGAGTGACTGTGAGGGTGTACATGTGGGTAGACGCTGGTCGGCGAGGGTGGCTGGTGGTAGTCGTAGGCCCACGGTGCTATATGCGACCCATCCAGCAGGGGAGGGGGCAGATCTGCCAGGACAAAGGGTCCATCCGGGTGTTGCGGTTGCTTGGTGTGCTGGGACATGTACGGCACGCCCTGGTAGCCCAGTGAGTCGCCCATCAGAGGACTTGGTTCGGAGAAGGAGCCAAAGTGGCCGTGCTGTGCATAGTGTGCTTGAATGCTGTTGGGGACGGGGTACTCGGAATGCATGTCGGGCGGGCTAAAGTAGATTGGATGGCCTGCATCGCTTGCTCGCTTGGACTCGTCCATCCCGTAAAACGCCGGCGTGATTGGGGAGGAGGGAGCCATGGCTGGATTTGGCCCGTACAGAGCCTCGTCGTGGATGGGACTTGAAGGGAGGATGTACTGCCCGGTCGGCGATGTTGACATTCCGCTGATCGAGACTGATGGTTGCGATGTTTCGCTTCGGGCCTCGTCGCTCTCCTCACCATGTTGTAGCGGATGTGATTGGAGAGTGTTGTATGTGGCAGAGGGAGGGAGAGAGGACTGGGATTCTGACTGGCGCTTCTGGCTGGCCATGGCATTCTTCTTTGAGCCGGAGAGTCGGCGGCTGCCATCGTACTTCTTGCGCGAAGGTTTGGTGATGTGCCATTTTTTTAACCGGCTGCGCAGTTGGGATTCGCTGGGAGAATTAGCAGGCGTTCTTGAGTCAAAGTAGCAGGGCAGACGAACCTGGGATGGAAATCGTTGGTCTGGACGAGCTTGATGACTTGCTTGAGGGGCCATTCTTCGTCTTTGTAGAGTTTGGTGATGAGCATTCGCTTGTTCTCCCAAATGTCGGGAGAGATGGCGCTCTTCATTGTGGTTGTGATTGTGGTTGTGATTGTGGTGTAGAGTGTCGTGTTGAGAAGGACAGACAGTTGGAGCGAGCGAGAGAAGCCCAAGTACTAGTACAAGTAGCACCTGTGAAGATTGCAAGAGGAACGGGGCCACTAGAGCAGTTTCCCCATACCGGCCAAGGAAGTTAATATAACCCTCGACCTGATCGGAACCAAGCCAAATCCCCATCGGCCGATCAACTGTCGCCATCCAGCAGCCTTATCCAACGTACCCAGTGGCTTCCAGCCTATCCTGCTGCATCCTGCAAAATAGCGCAGCTGCAACGGCTGTCGCAGCTCTGCACATCTACCGACACTGGAGTCGCGCCCCTGCACGTGGTGCTTCATATCTGTGGCAACGGCGCCTGGTAACCCTGTTCCATGGCGCGCCCGTCACATCGGCCACTGGTGTGCCCAGTGCAGGCCCCTCGTTGCCCCGATTCGGCATACGCATGGGAAACCCGGTTCGACCCAGTTGATCATTGAGCTCGGTCTAATACTGTTCAGGTATAGAGACCGATTTGCTCCCCGCTCGGGCTCCACAGCGCTCCACAGTGCAATGTCTGCGTATGCCCTCTTTGGGACGTCGGCCCTAATGACCTGCCGAAAAGGGAGACGCCCGTGTCTATCGCGCTAACCTTATGCTTGCGGAAGTGGGCTCGGATGAGGACCGTGTGGGTGAGCTTTGGCTCTGCGAGTAGACTCTGCAGGCTGGTCCTGTGTCGGCACCGAACCAGCCCCGAAGATTAAACAGCTGGTCGCGACGTACACGCTCAACTCTCACTGGCCGGTCAAATGCCTCCCCTCATTAATCTCTCAGGGGAGGCTCTGATTGGACTAGACATTCTTATTCTACATTAACATCCTCGGCTTAAATTATAGTCCCAGTACCACGGCTCCGTATCACGTCAAGCTCTGCAGATTCACCAGGTCATAGTAATGCCCCCTCTTGCGCAGCAGCTCAGCATGGGCCCCGGCCTCTGCAATGCGCCCGTTGGCCAGCACGTAGATCACGTCGGCGCGCTGGATCGTGCTGAGCCGGTGCGCCACCGCCAGCGTCGTCCGACCCCGGGCTGCCGTGTCCAGTGCTGCCTGCACGATGGATTCGGATTCCGAGTCCAGCGCCGATGTCGCCTCGTCGAGGAGGAGAATCCGGGGATCGCGTAGCAGGGCCCGCGCGATGGCGATCCGTTGCTTTTGGCCGCCGGAGAGCATGCCGCCCTTGCTGCCTACTTCGGTGTTGAAGCCTTGCCTGTTGATGATATTTCAGTGAGAACTGGCCATGAAATCGAGAATGGGAGGGAGACTCACGGCAACGAAATGATAAAATCATAAATGTTCGCATCGCGACACGCCCTCGCAATCTCCTCCTCCCCAACCTCGTCATTCTCCATGCCCAGCAGAATATTCTCCCGGATCGTCCCCTGAAACAGCGCAGGCTCCTGTCCCACAAACGCCAGCTTCCTCCGATACTCGTGCAAATCCAACGTCGTAATGTCCCGCCCATCCACATAGATTGTCCCCGCAACGGGGTTATAGAACCGCTCCAACAGCGCAATCGTCGTGCTCTTCCCGCACCCGCTCGCGCCGACAAACGCGATATACTGCCCCGGACGCACATTGAAGCTCAGGCCCTGCAGTACCGGTGTGGCTATGCGCGTCGGGTACCGGAAGAAGACGTTTCGGAACTCGATGGCCCCGTTCAAGGAGCCGACGGGCGCGCCGCCGATGCGACCGTGGATTTTGGGGCGGCGCGTATAGAGCGCTTTCAGTTCGCCAGCGGCGTGCTTGGCTTTGCTCATTCCCGGTGCGTAGCTAAAGACGCTCCCCGCTGCCTGTGCGCCGAAGATCACTTCGCTGAAGCACACGTAGAATTTGAAGATGGTGTACTCGTGGTGGCCCAGCAGCATCCCGCCGTACCAGAAGCCGAGCGCCATGCAGAAGAATTGGAGCGCTTCCGAGCACGCGTAGAGGTACGAGGAGCGCAGGATCGAGGGGATATCGGAGCGGACTTGCTGGCGCAGCTGGGTCTCGTAGGAGGTCAGGATGACTTGCTCCATGGTCAGGGAGACGACGGTGCGGATGGCCGTGACGGCTTCGCTGACCTCGCTCGCGGATTTCTGGTACACTGTGCGCCCGCGAGCTTGGAAGCGGCTGAGGATCCAGGTGCGTAGGAAGCCGCTGAGGAGGAGGAGAGGAACTGCAGAGCTGCAAACCAACGCGAGCTTCCATCCCAGCACCATTGCCACCGTGAGCGAGCCGAACAAGTTGACCGTCACGATGAGCAGGGTGCCCAGCGTGGCGCCGCTGATTCCAGCGAGGTTCTTGATATCGGTTGCAAGGACGGTAGTCAACGTTCCTGACGTGTTGTTCTCTTCGTCGAAGAACGAGATATCCTGTCCCAGGAGGATACGGAATGTTTGACTGCGTGCTCGCCGAATGAGCTTCTCTGCGCTGAACGCGAAGAGCATGCCCTGCGACCCGAAAAGGAAGATCGTGACCAAACCAGTCATGAGGAACATGGATGCCCAAAAGTTCGTCTCGTGCCGTAGCCTGTCTCCCTCTGTTGGTGGGATCGAGATTGCATTCACAGCTTTGGCCAGCAGGACCGACTGCGCGGGCTGGACGCCGCCGGCGAAGAGGGATAGGACCAGGCCCAGGCCCATGATGTACTTTTCCGGCCGGTTGAAGCTTGCGATGAACCGGATCAACGTCCAGAGCGAGAAGCGCTGTGCTTTCTTCGTTGTTGCTGCCTGCAATGTTGGGAGAGTCGCTGTGCTTCCGCGCTTCCACAGGGTCAGTGGCGAGTATAGCGAGTCGGCGATGTAGTATTCAAAGTCGTCGTCTTCTTCAAACCAGAGGGTCGCCAATGTCTCTTTATCATGTGCATCTCCATTACCTTCGTCTTTGATGCTCTGCGCTTGCACCAGACTGGCATAGACTCCCTCTCTCTTGAGCAGCTGGCTATGTGTGCCCTGCTCCGCGATCTTCCCTCCCATCATGACAACGATATTATGCGCAGATTTGATCGTCGACAACCGATGCGCAATAACAATGGTCGTCCGCCCCTCCGCCGCACGATCAAGCGCCGCCTGCACCAGCCCCTCTGACTTTGTATCCAGCGCCGAAGTAGCCTCATCAAGAAGCAAAATCTTCGGCTCCTTGACAATCGCCCGCGCAATCGCGATCCGCTGCTTCTGTCCGCCGGATAAAGCCAACGACCCGATATTCGTCTCGTACCCGTCTGGCAGAGCCGTGATGAAATTGTGTGCGTCGGCGATGTGCGCGGCCTTGACGATCCGTTGCCGAATCTGCACGTCGGACTCCTTCTCGTACTCTGATCCGATGAGCCCGTGCTTGATGTTCTCGTAAATAGTCGCGGTGAAGAGTTGTGGTTCTTGCGAGACGAGTGAGATTTGTTGCCGTAGCCACTGCAGGTTTAGGGACTCGATGTCGTGCCCGTCAAGAAGGACGGAGCCTGCCACGGGGTTGTAGAATCGTTCAAGCAGCCCGATAATCGTGCTCTTCCCGGACCCCGAAGGCCCAACAAAGGCAGTCGTCTTGCCCGCCGGAACGCGCAGGTTGAAACTGTCCATGACAATCACTTCAGGCCGCGAGGGATACGCATGCCGGATATTCCTCAGCTCAATCTCCCCCCGAACTCTTGGGAGCCGTTTCCCCTCACTGGACAGCGGGTTCAACGGCGACTGCCTCTCAATCGTCCCCAAGATCTTCGTCGCCGCCGCAACGGCATCAGAAAACGCCTGCACATTTGGCGCAACATTCCCCAGACTATACGAGCCCAGGATAATCGCCATCATGATGGTGAGGATATCGCCCGGCTCGACATTCCCCGAGTCCTCGACAAGGAAGCGCGCGCCCATCCACAGGCCCAGCCCGTAGTTGAGATACATGATTCCGAGGATCCCGCCGATGACGACGGCGAATGTCATTTGGACTTTTCGGCCCAAACGCTCTGCGTCTCGGAGGTGTGTGTCGTATTTTGCGGCGAGGGCTTCTTGTGCGCCGAAGGCGACGACAGTGCGGATAGAGTTGAGGACGTTTTCTGCGATGCTCCCGCCTTTGCCGTAGCATTCGATGGATTTCTTGCTGTAGATGACCGACACCGTCGACCCGATGCCCATAATAAGCAGCAGCGCACCCAGCGTCGACGTCGAAATAAGCGCCAGCTTCCAATACTTGATAAACGCAATAACAAAAGCCGTAACGAAGCTCGAGATCCCGGTGAGGACCAGACTCGCCTTCTCGGAAATCCCATCCTGGATCAGGTGCATGTCGCCCGATATGCGCGTCGTGATCTCGCCGGCGCCCAGGGAGTCGAAAAAGGCGATGTTTTGCTGCAGGATGGCCTGCAGGTAGCGCACGCGGATCTTTTGCGTGATGCTGTTGCCCGTGTGCACAAAGGCGAATGTCGCGAAGCCGATGGTGAGGAACTCGCCGATGCCCAGGTAGATGAAGTAGAAGACGTTTTTGACCAGGACGTCGTAGAAGTCCTCGTAGCTCATTGCGTATGTTGCGACGTCGCGGAAGGTCGAGGTGATGTTGCCGAAGAAGACCTGCCCATCCCATCAGCCTTCCCATTCCATATACACCAGTTATACAGAGAAGAGAGTATCCTCACCGTAAACAAAGGCAGCGCCGCCCCTCCCCCAATCGCACACGCCGTGCCAGCGACAATAAAAAACCAGTCCCACCCCTTTGCATAGCGATAGATCTGAAAGTATCCCACCTTGGGCGTCGGCATCTGGATCTGCTGCTCGAGAATGTCCTTTTGCATGTCCGACAGAAACAGCAGCGAGCGCCGGGTCATACGGATCGACTCCATGGGGACCTCGTCCCTGTCCTCTGTGCCAAAGGCCATGCTGTGCTTGCGAGCGCGACGCATGGCGACTGCATCGGCGGGCGATCGGCGATGGCTAGAGGGACCGTGGATGGCGATGACGAGTTGACTAAGCGGCTTAGTTTGGGTAGTCTGGACTAACTACGTGGATTGGAATGGGATGGGATGGTGTGGTGGTGGTGAATGCGATCAGCCATCCATGGCTCGGGTGGGCGACTCTGTGTGGAGTTGAGTGAGCGATAGAGAGACGTCCGTGGATGCAAACAAGCTGCAAGCTGCAGGGTGGATGTCACTGGCCTCGTGGGGGATGTACTATTGGTGATTAGCTCGAGTCGTGGAGAAGGCACAGGCACCAGGTCTAGAGTGGCAGCAGGTCGAGGAAGTCAAGAACAAGACTCGTCTCCAGTTGTCACTCAGAAAAGCAGTAGAATCCTGCAGAGTCACCGAGGGAGCATGCAGAATCCCCTTTCCTCGACCATTCTCTATGCCCCGCGCGGCTGCGAGCGACAGACAGGAGTGCCGAAATGGTCCGTGACGGCGCTGGAGGAGGATGAAACGGCGACGCTAAGTCGGGAGTTGGATCACATCCCTGAGTGTCACGGATCCTGTGTGATTGGGATGCTCGGCTTTGACAAGCTAATTATTTCGCATCCCGGTCGTTGGACTGTGGATCTTATGACAGCAATCTCTTCCGCCGTTTCGTCAAGACTTGGAACAGATCAAGGAGACGGAGAGTTTGACGAGTGTTGGCAAGGCTGGAAGTGAAACATGAAACCCTCCAGACCCTGAAGCACTCGCTTTCGGCACTTGCTCGGCCTTTACCAGTCGGTGTTTCAGCCTCTCTCCGGGAGCTGGAGATGCAGTCTGGTTCGTCCATAAGAGATCGACATCTCCGCCATTTTAGCTTCCCTGGACGTGAATTCTGATGCATCCGTCAAAGTTACCTGGCTGAAGTTGCCCGGAGTCAGTTCTGATACACGAACTCCACGGATTAAGTAACCTGTGCGAGTCTCGGATCTTCAGAATCCGAATAATAATCTGATCCTCCCTTGGGCCTTCCGCGACTCGACTCGGGAGATGGTCGGCCTCGCCCTCCACATTGATCGACATCAGGCCATGATTCAGGAGATTCACCGGTAATCTGTTTGATAACCCAAGCTAGACAGTACTATTGGCTTGTGGAGATTTCGCCCTAGATTCGTAAAGGCTTCACCTTGACCATGTGAGCTTGCTCAGGTAATTAGAATCACTCTTGCCAAGTTGACTTTCGAGGACTTGATGGCGTTGAGGCTTGCAAGCATGTATCAGCGCCGTTTCACGCGCTGGCCCCTGTCTGCTCCCTGCGCCCCAGGGTTCGCCCCCTTCGTAAATCAAGCCATTTGTTTGGCCAATTTTTGATCGAGCCGTTTCGCCCGTTTTCTTGCGATTGTGCGATCAATTCTGCTCCTTACTCGCAGGGTCCCCGTATAGACAGAGATTCGATTGGCCAATTGCTGAACTGACTGGGAATTCAGGTCGTGGAACAGCATCCAAGCCTGCCAGTGTCAACCATCTGGAAGCATGGACAACTCCCCACGTGGTTCGTCTTCTGGGCTGAGGATCTGCCCAGTGCAGCCCGAATCCGGGTGGCCCCGTCGGGGCTGCTGCTACCGTTAGAGACAAGATGAGCTTGGCTAGTCAATTAATCTACGGTAGTCGTACCCAGTAAGTATGGAAACAGCTTCAATTCGCGCGAAGCAGAGCAAAAGGCAGGCAGACCAAAAATCGAGTCAGTTCCTCACGGCGCCGTTTTCGGGAATGCGCCCGAACAGCCCTGAAGCCACCACTGACACTAATCATTTATGAATAATGAGCAATTCCATGGAAACGTGCCAAGATTTCCGGGAATCGAGTAGTACTGCAAATTACGACGATTGATCAACCTGTCACAGACTCACGCAATCAGTGCAGTGGATCCCCCAAATTCCGAACGGGCGCCGATCGCTGTTCCTGTTCAACTTGAGTTATCAATGATAATAATCGCCTCCTGATAAGATCAGCGCTACAAGTGCCTCGGATCTACTGTAGCAGTAGCCTGGCCTCTCGGATTCTCGACGCCAAGCTGCGAAGCAATTTATCAAGGGTGCCGCTAGCACAGACTGGGATAATGTCTTTAAGTTGGAGTCTGGAGACGGGCAACAAGTGCCGGTCTCGCCCAACAGACAGACATTATGGGGTTGGGAGTTGAGACTATTGTTTCTTGACTCTCTTGGACCCCGCAGGGAGGAGAATCTACCAGAGTCTTGACATCATTGACGTTGTTGATAATGTTTGTTGTGGGGGAGTTACGAGTAATGCTAGTGGATTCGATGTATCTGTGAAGATGGACGAGATGGAGATGTGGAAATGAGACAAGCTTGATTGAGAATAATTGCAACTGCGCCAAGTCCAAGCCATGAAACTACAAGCAAAACAAGAACTCATCACACGGACAGCCTCCATTTCGCATCTCTGGGCGTAGTCCACCGTCGTAAATCTAGACCCGCCACTGTCGCAGGCAGCATTTGGCGCATCCTTTGAGGTTCGGAGAGAAACCGCCCCATTCACCCAAGATGCCTCATCTTCTCAATCTCCCACTCAGACTCAGACTCGCAGGGAAACTCCCCCCGAGCCCCAAACCTCCACTTATCCTCACACACACCAACAATCACAGACCCTTCTTCTGCTGCCCCGACGCCGACGCCGACAGCGCCCTCGACGCGCGCGACGCCTGATTAAACAGCTTGGGCGCCTTGGCGTTGTACGTCGTCAGGTAGAACGAGATGAAGAGCAGCAGGTACGAGCTGATGATAAACACCCCGAAGCCCGCGGCGTACTCCTCGCCCATGCAGTTGCCCGCATTGGGAGCCCAGGGGAAATAGGTCGAGGCAAAGTACGTGTAGGAGGCGAAGTAGATGAAGCCTGTGAACATGACATGGTTCCCCGCGTTAGCATGGATTCGAAGGATGCAACGTTTAGGGATTGATTGGAAGTGATGATTGGCATGTTCTGATGTGTGGTGCAGATCTCTGGGGAGATGTCGATGCGCACGCAGATACGGAGGCCTAATACGTACCAATATCGATCACAAACTGCAAAATCTGCAAAATGGTAATATACCGCTTCCACCAGATGCGGATCCCGCGCGCGCTCTGGAAGTAGTACCAGTACATGACGACGTGGACGGTCAGGTTGAGTGTAATGGGCACCCAGGACACGGACGTGCGCCCGACCAGTTCGACGTAGCAGAGGAGGGCTGTTGCGCCGTGGTGGTAGGTGTGGAGGAAGGTGAGTGGCTTCTTCTTTAAGACGAGGAAGACCGTGTCGGCGAGTTCGAGGTATTTGGTTAGGTAGTTGAGCTGGGATTGTTAGTAAAACAACGAGTACAATGTACTGTATGTAGGGTAGGCGTACGTAGTAGAGAACAACTAGTTCATCAGTCCAGCCTCCGCGGGCATCACAGATTGCATGCAGCACCCCATCATTCGCGAGAGTCGGCAGCATCTGTTCGAGGAACAGAGCCAGTAGCCCACCGCTAATCAGGGTGAGGATGAAGTTGTGGATAATAAACGGCGTTTGCAGCTTGAATGCAGGCACGTTCTTCATCAGCTGGCGGCCGCCCAGAATCACCACGTAGTAAGTGCACAGCGAGACGACCGTGCCTTGCAGCGTGGTCATGGGCGTGACACCTGGGACGAGGTGGAAGTCTGCTGGGGATTTGCCAGTGACGGCCGTGAAGCCCTTGCTAAAGTATGGCCAGAGGTGCACCCCGAATGGGCGCTCGAGCGTAGGCATAGGCATGTTGACGGTTGGAGATGGAATGAAAGTGATAGAGAGACAAAAGAGTGTATGTGCCCTGGGGCTATATAGAACAACAACCACGACTGCTCTCGACAAGTTGTCCGTTTCACCGCCGAACAGAAGGGCCTTTATCTATCTCTCTATCCATCGACAAGATCCTCTCTACACGAGGCGCCCCTTGAAACCTCAGTAATTCACAACTGCCGAACGAGCTAAGGACAGGGTCTGTGATACGACTATCACCGGGGACCCTCAGTCTCCATTCCAAGCAATGGCCATGTGCTGCATTGCAGGCGTGCGGCGTGCCCTGGCGATTGGCGAGTCAAGCAGTTCCCATGGAGCGGAGCCAGGAGGCCATGTGTTGCCCAAAAATTGAGTTTCAAGGGGCACACTGGCTGGGTGGGGAGAGGATGGATAGCTTCGAAATGGATTCCCCGTTGAGTCTTGAGTCTTGACCAGGGCCAAATTTCAAGCCGAGGGCCAGCCCTAGCAGGGAGGGGCAGTGGCTATCTATGGGTCGGTGCATTTACCCTTCTTTTCCAGAAGGGAGGGGCTCTGTTGTGATCTGGTTGAATCGGGCTATCCAAGAAGAGCATTCTATCCGACGTGGAGCGGACTATGAACGAGGTGCATGGGGCGACGAGACTAGAAGTCTATGCGAGATTGAAAGCGAAAGTGTTTTGTGCAAAACATTATGACTAGGACCTGCCTAAGCCGACGCAGATCTTCATTGCAAACTCAGAGGGATATACAACTCGCTACCACACATAAAGTATCTACAGGAAAACCACCAGGGATGCAAATCCTCTTTAATCACGCCGAGGTTACATCGCGGAGAACAACCTTGAGATCAGGAAGTTCCCAGAAGGCGTAGCAGCGGCTCTCGCGAGTCCAGTCCTTGACGCGACCGACGTACTGGCCGTCGAATTCGACGAAAAATGAAGCCAGCGAGAGGAGGAGCATTTGCTGCGCGAAACTGGGTGCTGTTAGTAAATGAAATGTAACGTAGACTAAATTTGGGACTGGGGTGGATTGGGGCTTACTATTTGGCAATGCACGATCGGCTGCCTATCAAAAAGGGCTGCACGGCTTCCTTCTTGTCTGTCGACTCTGGGTTTATCCAGCGCTCGGGGTTGAACCTGGAGGGGTCGTTGAAGTATTCCGGGTTATGATGCAGAGCATATAGTGACGTGCAAATTTCCACCTAGCAGGGATTAGACGGGACAAGTCCGGGGAACAACAAGCAAATCAGCAAATAATGCAATGCAACTTACACCAGCGGGAACATAGACACCGTCGACATACGCTCCGGGAGACACCCGGGGTCCTCCTAGCGGCACAGGGGGGTAGATCCTGAGGGCCTCCGTAATGACCGCGTTGAGCCAGGGAAGTTTCTGCAGGACGTCGAGCGACACATCATCCGCGGATTTGAACGCAGTCCGCAGCTCGGAATTCAGGCTCGCGTGCACCTCCGGGTGCGACAGGACGAGCCAGATGGCGGCACAGATGGCGTGCGAGGTCGTATGGAACCCTGCCAGCATGATTGCCGAGAAGTTTTCTGCAATCTCGGCTTCCGGGAGTTGGCTGGATTCTGCGCGTTCCATGACCTCGACCATGATGTCGCGTCGGGTGTGCGTTGCTTTCAGTTGTCTGCAGATGTTAGTACCCAGCACCTATTGCATGGTGGCAGACTTACTCGTGGATCAGGCGCATCCTTGCCTCTTCACTCCTCTGACGAATACCCTTGCGCAGGATCTGACGAAGCATCCACTTGATGAGGGTTGGCACACCAGAACCTTGAAATTGGTCACGGATTGTAGCCCAGTAGAAGATGCGAGGGAGTTGCTCCGTCCAGAAAAAGGGTCGGCCTGGCAGAGTTAGAGGTGTAATCGCGTTAGAGAAAAGGGGAATTACCTCGTTCAATGCAGCCCAGGGACTTTCCAAGTAGAACCTCAGAGACCATATCAACCGCGAGTGAATAGTAAAGATCGTTCAAAGAGACAGCCTTGCTGCGGGCCATGCGCTGCTTGACGAGGGCGTGGAACCGAGAAATGCAGCCCTTGATCACCGGCTCATGCGCCGCCATGCACCCCGGGCTCAGCGAGGGACTGAAGAGCTTGCGGACAGTCGCATGGTAGTAGGGATCGGTGGCAGTGAAGATGTTGCGCTTGGAGATGGCGCGGTAGAAGCCTGTCTTGAGGAAGGTGTTGCTTTTTCCGAGGCCAGCCCCGTAGATGTTGCGGAGGGATTTGATTGTATTTGTTGAGAGCTGGCCGGGGGCGAATCGGACGATTTTTCCTTCTCCTTGTTAGTTTCTGTTGGTTGTCTGTGTCTACGCCGAGAGGAGATTCGTACCGTAGTTTCTGTGGAGGGCGTTGAATTTGTAGGCACTGCTGCCGGAGAGGAAGCCGAGTTTAGTGTCAATCTAAGAGAAAGGACAGTTAGCTACAATCTGCATATGGTACTAATGTACTTACTCCGAAGAGATAACGCCCAATGAGTGGCCCACGAACACCCTTGATGGGAGGCCCATTGGGAATGAGTTGAAGGCAGAAAATCAACAACGCGGGAATCTGCAGAGAGTTAGCACCGGATCATTCAACAAGACAGACACAACATACAAGCACAAAGCTCAGGGCCGAGACCCAAAAAGCAGGGGCGTCGTTGAAGTTGGTGAGGGAGAGCGCGTGCGGCACAGCCATGGAGAGCGACATTGTGTCTAGCGAATGTATGATTTGACTCGAACCTTGGAGTGTCTCGCAACGCGAGAAAGTCTACAAAGGATTATATACCCGATCTATCTAGTCTAGTACAAGGAGCCCGTGTCTACTACGACTGGAAAACGAGAAACAGCAGAGGGCTAGGGCCAGACGTGGATCATCATCACCTGTGACGAGGAGTTGCAGTGCCGAAACTGGAGACGGGCAAGAGGTAGATTGCTCGCCGATTATAGGTCGAGTAGGAGTTACTGGAGTATCGCAATTTGCAAAACCGACCCGTGGAGCGCCACCAAAAAATTGGGCTGTTTTTTGTTAATTTCAGATGGGCGCAGCCGAGGAGATTGACTCGATTCACTGCTGAAACGGCGACGGTTAAGCGCACGTATGAAGACTGTGGGGCGAACCTTATTTGCCCTTTTAATTTATTTTTCTCTTCTTTGATTTTGAATTCTTTCGCTGGGCGGAGATTGTCTCGAAACTAGATCTGATCAGCAGTCCTGGATGTTGGCTTGTTGACTCTGTTGCCCTCTCTGTCCACAGTCCGGCACTCGTCGTCGACCCTGAATTCGAGACAAAGGCCGCCTCGGCATCCCCCTGAAATGGCGCATCGTAAGATATATCTCATCGCCCCCTCCCTGCTTTCCCCGGGGAGTATACACCATCCACCGCAAGCATGGCGACCCGCGTGCTCTTTCTCGCCAACAGCGAGCATGGCCAGACCAACATTGTCCTAGCCATCATCCACGAGCTCCTCGTGCGCGGGGACATTGACGTGCATCTCGCGTCGTTCCCCGTCCTCGAGAAGCGACTCGAGAAGCTCCTCAGAGACAATGAGGCGAGCTACGACAGCACGTACAGGTCGCGCGTGCACTTCCACCCCGTCCGAGGGCCCTCGAATACAGAGATCTTCATTCGAACGGGCAAGCGCGGTGCCTTTCATCCACCTGGGTACTCGGGCTCCGTCCTCGGATTCAAGTCGCTGTGCGAGGATATCTGGGGGTGGACAGAGTCTGAATATGTGGATATCTACGAGAGCTGTGTTGAGATCATCAAGGAGGTCAATCCCGATGTCACGGCGATCGACTTTTTCTTCCTGCAGGGTCGCGATGCTGCGTACAATACGGGACACACCTGCGTGCTCTTGAACACGACCTCTCTGTCGCATATCGTCCTTGGACTGCAGAAGAATGCCGCGTGGGCCTGGAAGTACCCAATGTAAGCCGCTCCCAAGATCGATCCATAATGGCAAATTCTCTAACGCGAACAGGCCCGGCACCGGCTTCCCATACCCCCTCCCACCACACCTCATCCCCCTCAACACCATGGCCGTCATGAAGACCGCCAAAATGTATCACGGCAGCGGCCGCCGTCGCGAGATCCGCGACTGGCGCATCAAGCACAAGATCCACGGCCGCTTCCCCTTTGCCGACGCCTGGATGCCCAACCGGCTTCATCTCTCACCGGCCTTGAAGGAGCTGGACTGGCCGTTCCAGGTGCCGGACAATGTCGTCGCTTGCGGACCTATCCTCCTCCCGGTCGCGCCCGTCAAGACTCAGGACGCGGAGATGTTCACGTGGCTGCATCAGGCGCCAACTGTGCTCATCAACCTGGGGACTTTGTATGCGCCCGACCCCAGCGTGGTCAAGGAGATTGCGCTCGGCGTGCAGTCGTTCCTCAAGGCGACGTCGGATCGAAAGATCCAGGTCCTCTGGAAACTGCCCAAGCATCCTCATGACCAGGACGAGATCTATAACGAGTCGATCACGCCGCTGCAAAAGGAGATGGATAGCGACCAGGTTCGCATCAAGTCATGGTTCGAGGTTGAGCCGCTTGCCATGCTCGAGACTGGGCAGGTTGTTTGCTCGGTTCATCATGGAGGTGCAAACTCATGGTATGAAGCCATTCAGTGAGTACACAGCACCCGGAAACCTCGGTGAATTGTTACTGACGAGACTAGAAACGGGGTCCCCCACGTCGTTCTCCCCGCCTGGCAAGACTGCTACGAGAACGCAGCTCGTGCCGAATGGTTGGGAATCGGTGTCTATGGAAACAAGACCAGGGCTCCTGATATTAGCGGAAAGGAGCTGAGCAAAGCGCTCATCAAGGTTCTTGGGAACAAGTCGTACCTCGAGAAAGCGGCCAAACTGCAGAAGCTGTGCCACAAGAAGGAAGGCCGTGTCGCCGCTGCGGAGAGAATCGCTGATCTCGCGACTCGCAAGGACAAGAGCATGATCACTGTCCCCGAGCCCAAGGTTGATGATCCGAGCCTGCTGAAGGTGAAGAACAAGGCTGGAGTCGTGTTGGAGACGACCAAGTCCCCCAAAGCGTTTGGTTCCAAGTATGTCATATCCGAAACCTCATCATCATCATCAGACCAGCAAAGCTAACCTCCCATCTAGATCCATCTTCAGAAGACTCGCCGAGATCCTCGCCGTGACCTTCATCTCCAACACCTGGTTCCTCCTCCCCATCGCCGGCTACTCGCTCCTGCTGATCCCACACATCCGCTTCCTGGCCCTGATCTACATCATCCACATCAAGTTCTTCTCCAACGCCCACAAAACCACCAACCGCTCGCGCAGCAGCTGGTTCCGCTCATCCTGGCTCTGGCAGCTACACGCCTCGTATTTTCCCATCAAAATCTACCGGTCGGCGCCGCTTTCTCCGCGCAAGAAGTATATCTTCGGTGGGCACCCGCATGGGATCGCGTGCCATGGTCTTGTCGGTGCGTTTTCCGCTGATGCGACGGGCTTCGATAAGCTTTTCCCGGGTATCAAGAATACTATGCTTGTCAAGGACCAGATGTTTACCACCCCGCTGCTCCGCGAGTATCTCTTCTACCGCGGACAGAGCGGTGTCTCGCGGGACTCGTGCATCCAGCACCTCACCCGTGGCGGATACGACCTCCGCGGAATGGGAAAGGCCATCACGATCAGTGTCGGCGGGAGCAGAGAGTACCGCATCGCGCGACCTGGGACAATGGGGATCGTGATCAAGATCCGCAAGGGGTTCATCCGGCTCGCTGTTGAGACGGGGGCCGAGCTCGTTCCTGTCCTTGTCTTTGGGGAGAACGACCTCTTCGCGCCGATTGACATTACCTCCTTTTCGATCAAGGGGCTCATTGCCTGGGCGTGGGAAAAGGCTGTTGGGCACAAGGTTGCGTTTTCGCTGGGACGGTTTAATATCTTCTGTCCGTACCGCAGGCCGCTGCATGTTGTTGTTGGCCGCCCGATCCAAGTTAAGCAGCAGCGGTTTGACATCGATGAGGCGTACCTGGATGAGCTGCAGGGCAAGTATGTCGATGAGCTCAAGTCGATCTGGGCGAACTGGAGGGATACCTTTGAGCACGATGCGTCGGTCAAGTTTGAGATTGTCGAATAATCGGTCTACTGTCTGGTACAGATGCGACTGAGACTGGGTAACGGAGGGGAGAGTAAATTGCATGTTATGTACAGTTGAGTGAATGCTATTATGTGATCAGTGACACGCCTTTCCGTACTTCTTGAGTCGCAGGTAGTTGTACGGCAACGGAGTCAAGAATCCGGCAGTAATTGAGACTGCAGCGGCGAGCCAGAACTTGGGATCGTCGAGAACGACCACACCCCCCGTGAGATGGTAGTCGACTACATTCTCGGCGACTTCCATGGCCAGCATCGAGACGAGGCTCATCCCCATCGCGGTGCGAGCGGCCATGGGCCAGGAGAGCTTGTCGGCGCCGCGTCGAAGGAGAACCGTTTCTAGGATGATCGAGGTTGTGATTCCGGATGCCACTGACTTCGTTAGCGGAGGTTTCAGAGGTAGACAAGACACATACTCGACGCAGCCATAATGGTGCCCATCCCCAGATCCGGAGCGTATGTCTGCAGCAACCACAGGGCGGAAAAATCGCCGACCGTGCAGCCAACCAGGCATCGCAGTGTGTTGATTCCAGCCCGTCGCCAGGTGTGTCGACAGGACCAGAACGGCCGGTTCCAAGGGGAGGCGTTCTTTCCTTGCGGTGCTTGACAGTCTCTCCCAGTTTGGAAAGCGCGACTCGACGTGATCAACACGCGTCGTTGCTGTCGGAACACTCCCGTAACTGCTGAACAGCGCAGCATGATTATAGGTATGATGGAGGGCTATAAGCAAAAAGAGGAAGTTTTGGGCATTTTCAGCGACAGCATTTTGCTTGTTGCTGATTTATCTCTGGCAACAAAATTCATCGCGCGAAAATGGCGCAGTCCAAGCCACGTGACTCACGATGACTCTCCTCCTCACAGCAGCGAGCAAGGGGTCTTTTTGGCGCTCTCAGGCCTTTTGAACTTTCTGATATCATCGTTATAATAGTCTTTGAGCATCACGTATTGCGACCGCAGTTTGAAAGCTTTCTGAAACCGGTACCGACTCTATTGTAGTCTGCAGGTGCAGAACCGTGATGACTATATATTGCTTGGGAAAGAGGGCTCACACTTATAAACGGCAGTTGATCTGTTGGTCCGTAGGTGTATAACGACCCGAATGATCAAAGTATAGTGGAAGATTGATGAAACTTCATTCCTTCCCCTCGCCCGTTTTCTGGCGTAGAGCGTCAAGGACATAATTTTCAGAGCAAAGTCTTCTGGGGTGCGTCTCATGAGGTCCTTGAGATGGATATTGGCCCCTGCATTAATTAAGAAAAGCGCCTCTCCGTGTTTCCATCTATAGCGAGAGAACAGAGAGGCATGTACCAACAGCACTGCCTCATCCCGGCTCAGGCGGCGTGCATGGGGCGTTCAAGTTCCCCGCATACGAGAAAAACTCCTGAAACTAATGGGATTGGTGTAGACACGCGTACCTTGGTGGCCTTCTAATACGTTCTGCTATATATATCCGAGCTGTTGTTGCACTCTCGTCATCTCACTCCTAGTTCTATACACACATCTCTACTTCCTGGAACGATGGCATCCGGAACCACCACCCCCACTCCCGCCCCAGGGACCGCAGCAGCGGCCTTTGACAAAGCAAGCGAGGTCTACGAGCGCATGACTGGTGGCTGCACACGCGAGGTCGCCAAGTTTCTTTTAACGCTTGATCCCAAGGTTGACTCATCCTCGGTGATCCTCGACAACGCCTGCGGAACTGGACTCGTCACCGAGGAGATCATCCAGCAATTTTCTGATGATGCAAAGCCAAAGATCTTCGCGGCGGATCTTGCGCCCTCTATGATTGCCAACTTCGAGGCAAAGGCGAAGGGTCGAGGATGGATAGTTGATGGCGCTGCCGATGACGATAGTGCCTTAGCTGTATCGGTGATGGACGCTGAGAACCTGACGTATCCCGATAACATGTTCACACACTCGTACACAAACCTCGGGTTCCCGTTCTTCTCCAACGGCGAGAAAGCCGCAGGCCATGTACATCGGACGCTGCGACCGGGTGGAGCGGCGTTTATATGTACGTGGAAGACGCTGGGGTATTTGCGGCCTCTGCATGCGGCTCAGCGGGCGGTCCGTCCGACAAGTACCTTGTGGGAGCCACCCATGCCCAAGGACTGGTATACACAGGAGAAGCTGGCTCATGTGGTGGTTGCTGCAGGATTTCAGAGGGAGAAGATACGCATTCTCACCAAGTCGGTGGGATACCGAGGGAAGGACTTGGAGGATTTGTTGGATATACTGAGAACGGGGTTTCTAGGACAAGTGACGAACGGCTGGAGTGAGGAAGAGAAGGAACACTGGTTGAAGGAGCTTACCAACGCTCTAACAGAAGAAGAGAAGGAGAGTGCTAGCCTCGAGATGATTGCCTGGATTGCGATTGCACAGAAGTAAGCTGGACTAGGTACAGGATTAACATTATCGTGTAACCATGATCTCCTCATTGATTTCCCGATGGTAATATGCCACTACCCGCCGTGGACTCAGGTGCAGGAGTATGTTGCGCGTGTGGAAAGCAACGGTTCCCTTGTGGAGGTACGCAGCGGCCAAAGCTCGCACTCGCGATTGTAGCCGCGCGGCAGGTCGCATCTGCTTCTCGTAGTCGGACAGTGCAGTGGGTAGGTCGGGTGTTGCCTTTAATGCTTTTCCGAGTATTTCTGAGGCGACGAGAGTCATGCCTGCTCCCTGACGGGGAGAAAGTGAGACAGAAGGCTGAATCGCCGACGAGTACGGTGCGTCCCTTAGACCAGCGTGAGGCTGTCGATCACCAGCGACTATCCTTCCTCTTCTGCACGTTTGATCTCGTCTTGAGCAAGGGAGTGATTCCCCTTGCAAATCTCTTTGAGCAGGCCGAAGCAGTCTTGTCGCGTCTTGGGCTCGGGGTTATCGTCGCGCCAGATCTTCAACGCCACCAGCCTCTCACCGGCAAGACAGTAAAAGACGCAACGAGAGCAGAGTGAAAGAGACGGACTCAAAAGGTGATCTGGAATTGCAGCTTATATCCCAGACCCGAAGCGCTGAGGCGTATTGGGATACTGGAGTGTAGATACCGTAAAAGCAACGCAAGACTTAAGTCCCCACCAGCCAACAACTTAGTCCTCGTAGCAGTGGATCCTCGACAAGTTCGCCAACGAATAACGAGACACCAAACAGATCAGATAACATAGATGTCTTAGACAGCCTCCTCGAGGTGCTCAGCATATTGCGTTGCTCCAGATACGCTGATCGAGTCGGCCAACCCTGTCTGCCTTGGCATGCGAGAAACCCGCCCTGGTTAGTCTTTGTCGCGCCAGATGTTCAACGCCACTACGAAGCCAGTGTAAGATTTCCAGATGGCAAAAGGGAGAGCGCAAGGTCTTGGAGTATCATCTAGTGAAAAATGTACGTGTACTCATCTTGAACTCGATTAACCCTAAATCCGGGACTCCAGACTCCCCAGTCTTTCACGTCATCTATGATCCCCACTACAGAAGCTACCATAGTAATCGTTGGCTGTCACAATTTCCAAGCCCACTGGGATCTCGGTAGAACAGGGTCCAGATCGTGGATAGAGTTGTCTGTACGTTCGCGTGACAAGACTTGGAACCAACCAGAGGCGTTCCGCAGCTGTGATCGCCAGATGACGCCAATGCCACTTCTCCATTTCTACTCAGCCCCTGCCCAATCTCAAACAACTCGAGTTCTACACATGCTCGCTCGTCGCTTCTGAAGGTGAGATCGTATCTCGAAATGTCGCGAAAACTTTGCATCACCGCCGTGGACGGCCACACCGGCTTCCTCATCGCCGAACTGATCCTAACAGACGAAACTTTCAAGAAGAAGCTCGCCTCCGTCACAGGCCTCTCGCTCAATCCCAATGCCGACTCATGTAAAGAGCTCGAAGGACTCGGCGCGAGAATCGTCCCCCATAAACCCGGTCGCCTGCGCGATATGGTGTCGACTCTCAAGGATGTGGGCGCAGATACCATGTGCTTGATCCCACCAGCGCACAAGGATAAATTCGACATCACGGTCGAGCTCATCGAGGCGGCCAAGAAGGCAAATATTGCAAATGTCTGTTTCATCAGCTCGGGTGGGTGTGATCTTGCAGAGCGTGATAGACAGCCCGGTTTGCGACAGTTTATTGATCTGGAGGCAATGTTCATGGCGTCCAAGGGGGATCCGTCGACTTCGACTGGGCATTCGCCTGTTGTTGTTCGGTATGCTTGGAACATCGCCGCACTCTCAGGGCTATAGCTAATCCAGCCAGTGCGGGCTTCTATGCAGAGAACCTGCTGCTTTACTCCAAGCAGGCGCAGGAAGAAGGGATCCTTCCGCTTCCTGTTGGCGAGACCCACAAATTTGCCCCGATCGCACTCGGTGTAAGCTTTGCTCTTGTATTTAATATTGACCACGCGCTCATTGAAAACAGGATATTGCCCAGGTCGTCGCTCACGTTCTGACCGGGCATGGGAGGCATGGATTCAGCGACAAACATCGCGGACAACTTATGGTTCTGACTGGTAAGCCTCAAATTGAATCTCGTAGCGAATAGTGCAGCTCATATAATATGCTTCTCCAGGACCGATGCTTGCAACCGGCGATGAACTCGCCACGGCTGCCAGCCAGGCCGCTGGACAAGATCTCAAATTCGAGAATGTATCCGAGTATGTATTTCCCTTTTCTCGCTATCCAACTTAGTATCCTCCCTCAATACTGACTTTTATCGCGATCAGAGCGGAAGCGAAAAGAGTGCTACGCGCACAGTCCGACAGCGACGAGTCCGAGATACAGTACCTGCTGGAATACTACTCCCTGGTCCGCGAGGGCAAGACGAATTATATTTCCACCACTGCCTTCCACGACGTTACGGGAGGCCATCCACAGGAGCCGCCCGATTTCTTCAAGGTTTATTACGAGAGCTTTCAGCACAAGCCTAGCCATAAGAAGCGGAAGACTAGCAAGTAGATTGGTTGTTATATATGGAACACGCGGCTAGTCAAAAGTTGGTTCAATGAAGTGAAATCTAAGTTAATTCCAAGGTCGCTCTTGCAATATATGCGGAAACCTACGTCTGGCTAGTATAATCTATCTGCCCTGCTCAGGTGCATCATCAGAAACATTTCAGATTGTCCATACACCTGTTAGATCGCATAGCACAGCAATTTCTGAACAACACAGCCGCCGCGGCTCGCTGGCAGGCTGCATCCTCCATGGTTACGGAGGTGACCTGGTCAGGTCGCTGACGAATCCCAGACATCTAACCGATCAGATACCGTAATATGTACTAGACAACCTGCTCGCGGTGCTCGGCAGTGTCATGCTTCGCCCCGAGTGGCCCAATCTTATCTGCCTCGCCATGCGGGACACGCTCGGCGACATATCCGCTAGTTCATGTCAGGACACAGGAGGAGTTCGAAACTCAAAGGCAACTTACAACATCTGATCCATCTCATCAAGAGTCTTGCCCTTGGTCTCCGGAAGGAAGAAGAACGACCAGATGGTGGCGAGCATCATCCACGAGGCGAAGAAGAACCATGTCCCGTACCCAAAGGACCTGAAGATGTACGGGAGGGCTTTGGTGATGATGAACTGGATGAGCCTGAAATGGAATTTGTTAGTCCAGTGCGCGATTTATTCGCAGGGATTAGAGTATACCATTGTACGAGAGCAGCCCAGGTCCCGGTCAGATTCCGCAGCGCTCCTGGAAAGATCTCGGCTGACACGATCCACGGGATACCGTTCAGACCGAATGACCAGCTATAGGCGATCTGTTAGCCTTTCGAAGTTGAATAACCTAAGGTCAGGCTGTATACAAAACTGAATAAATCATAATCATCGCCGTCGCCGCTTTCCCACCGGCCTCCGTCGACGCGGAGAGTTCTTCTCCAGACTCAATGATATCGGCCGGATGACCAATCTTTACATATGCACCGACAAACCAGAGACACAGCGAGCATGCGAGAGATGAAACGATAGTCGGTCGGCGACGACCCCACATGTCGATGAGGGCCCCGTAGAAGATGATCGATGCAACCGCTGCGACAGGTTAGTACCCTCTCCACGTTAGGTCCAAGAGAACGCACCCTTGACCAAGCCGTAGATGCCCGTGTATAACGCGACGTCGGTGATGCCGAGCGATTTGAAGAGCGTAGGTGAGTAGTAGTTTATAGCGGCGGCGCCAGACATGTTCTGCAGGGAAAACGAGCAGAAGACGAGGAGGACACGGTTCCACATTCCGCGGCGAGAGAGCTCGAACAGGGCGCCTCGAAAGTACGCCCATGACCCCTGGCCGTACCGCTCTGCAATGCGTGCTTCGTCGTCGAGTCGAGTCCGCATCATGTCGATGTCCTCTTGGACATCTGGTGGCTGTCAGCAGACATTCCACCACTCGGAGAGAGACATACACTGATGCGACCGTGGCAATTTCCTCAACGCCTCCAGAGCCGTCGCCGCATCGTCGTCTCGATTCTTCCGCATCAGCCACAGTGGACTCTCGTGCAGGAAGAAGCCACCGATGAATAGGACTCCAGCAGGAATGATCTGGACGGCCATCGGCACCCTCCAGCTCGCTGTCGAATTGACGTCCATATTTTGATTGATACCGTAGTTGATCCAGAACCCGACGAGGCTTCCGACTTGGTATGCGACTTCGAAGAAGCCGGTGAGGATTCCGCGGATCGAGACGATGGACAATTCGGCGATGTAGCTTGGGACAGTTGCTGTGATTGCACCGCAGGCGATGCCGGTGAGGGCTCGGCCGGCGTCTATATGTACATTCTTAGTGGCGTGCATCCATCCAGGCATAAGGACCTACAGATGTACGACAGTTGATGAGTCGCCGCCGTCATTATGATCGCTCCGATGAGGAAAACGACAGTATTTGCCTGCAGAGCCCATTTCCGCCCGATCTTCTCCGTCACTGATGACTGTCAGCGAGGTAACGATGTGTCGAACAGATATTGCTCACAAAGAAAACAGAAGACCGCTCCGAAAAAAGCGCCCGCCTGAAACGCAGAGGTGATGTTGCTCGATGTATCGGCCGCCTCGGACTCTACGATGTTGAATGCATCGACAAAGCTCTGGCGTGCAATGGTTGTCCCGACAAACGCGGAGTCATAGCCGAATCTACCTTGTTAATGCTGGGTTTATCGATTCAGGATTCATGGCAGAACGTACAGCAATGAGCCCGTGGCGATGATACTGGCCTCGGTGTACAGCCGCCAGTTGTACACCTCCTTGGGCGTGGGTCGGTCCTCGACGGTGCGAAACATGGTTACTTCTACGCATCAAAGTGCAGGACCAAGGATCCGAGGTGGCCTCAGATTTATGGGGTAGCAAGTGCGGGGTGCAGCAGGACGAAGCGATTTATTGATGGAATATTGATGGCCGATCACCGACAGAATGGAGATCGATTGGTTGGGAGAGAGGGGTCTACACGAGGCCTGATCTCCTCCCCATCGGAGGGCTTCCGATGCCTATTACCCCATGTTAAAGTAGACGGCCTTAGTATGAGTGTAGTTCTCCAAGACAGCCTCTCCGCTCTCTCTTCCAACCCCGCTCTCCTTGTATCCTCCGAATGGTACGCTCCAGTGCACAAAGTTGTACATGTTGACCCAGGTCGTCCCCGCCCGAAGTGCATTGGTCATTCGAATGGCGCGCTTATAGTCCTTTGTGTGGCATGCGGCGGCCAGGCCGTATGTCGTGCTGTTGGCCTGTTTGATGACTTCGGCCTCGGAGGAGAACTTGGCGATGATCTGGATCCGGTTAGATGGGGCAACTCACAAAGGGCCCAAGATTAGACATACCTTGATCTCCGGGCACTTCCTTTGTCAATCGCCTTGCCGCCGAGATGGAGGGTGGCGCCTTCTTTGGCCCCAGAGTCAATGCACCCGAGGATCTTGTCGTACTGCATCTGGCTGTTTTGCCGACCTTGAGTCGTCGAGGCGTTAAAGGGATGTGCGACGCTGTCTGGCTCGAGCGATGCGTGAGTTTGGCCAGAAACTCGTCGTAGACATCTTCGTGGATGTAGAGTCGTGAAAGTTCATGTTGATTCCCCAGGCGGACCAGTCCACCGCCGAGACCAGATCGGCATCAGGGAGTATGATGTTCTGAAAGGTCAGCTGATGTGAAGATGGATGGAACGCTCACCGGAGACTTGCCCCCCAGTGCGAGAGTAACAGGTTTCAGGTTTGAGGAGTGGCTCGATCCGTGGCTGTTGAACCGGTGCACGCGATCTTGCCAATGTCCGTGTGATGCTCAATAGCACTGCCCACCGTTTTCCCATAGCAAGAAACGAAGTTTGACGACAGCAGCGGGCGATGAGCAGAGAAAGGAGTCGCTTCGGCGGATTTGATGACAACCGTGTTTCCAGTGACCAGTGCCGGAGCGATCTTCCAGATAAACACCATCACGGGCAAGTTTCAGGGAACTGATGGACTCGCTACGAGTGTATGCAAAAGATCGGGGTCTTAGCTGTGCTCGGAATCTTCTACATCGAAGGTGGCATGCTGCTTGCTGTCGACGAACCGGCCGTTGAAGAAGAGGGAGAGAGATGGAGATGGAGAGATGGGGAAAGCAAGACAAGTCTATTGAAATACCATATACACGTGCACAAACAAAGATCAAGAGGAGAAGGACAACATGTAACCACAACACAGCTGAGAAAACAAGCACAAAGAGAAAGAATAATCGCTAGACACGCGGGGGAAGTCGATTCTCAGCAGCGAGTCTGTCGCGTAGGTCGCGAAACGCCTCTTCAACCTCCTGATTGTAGTGATTCCAGAGGGCCCGAAACTCGCTGCGCACTGGCTTTTCGCAGCTGTGTTCTTCGAGGAGGTAGAGGAGCATGAACCTCCAGAGGCTGTCGAAACCAGTTGGATGATTGTAGTCTCGGCAGCCGCACATCATGATGGATTCGGTAAAGGAGCCTGGATTCATGATCTTGACGGGGTAGTACTGGGTCCATGGACCAGAGGGCCCGTCCACTGCGCGGGGAGGCAGTCGTTCCTCGTCGGTCGAGAGGATAAAGTGCGGGTCATCAGCCGCAGGAGGGCCCGCTTGAAGGTCCGGCAACCACCAGGCAATGTTGGATTTGCGATGGAGTAACAGCACGTTGCCTCCGACCAGGTGGAAGTGCTTTTCGGGCAGCATATGGAATCGGTCGCGGGCGATGACAAGGGCGCGCGAGGTTGCTCGATCTTGTCGGCCCTGAGGGCAGCCAGGATCGTTGCAAATCAGGTTCCAGCTCGAGCCAGCGCATGGGCAGCATCCTTGATCATCGTGTCTGGGACGACGAAGTCGATTTCGGGGAATCCCCAATCCTGACCCATGAGGCCGAGGGCTGTCCAGCCCCACATGAAATAGGGGATGTGGGCGTCGTCGAGAACATTTGCAAGTCGCGACGCGCTGCGCTTGACCGAGGGGGCGGCGAGTCGTGGCATAGCGATCGAAGGAGAATGTAGGTTATGGGACAGGACTCCAGAGGAGCTCGAGGGGGTGTTCGCCGCCCTTTTAAGCACCAGTACTGGGGGGCTTGGATACACAAGTTCATCTATTTCCGTAGAGTTCTAGATTTAGATTCTTTGTTCCTCTGAGCTATTCCGAGCGCTTGCTTGGCTGCTCTCCTTGTCTATTCTTTCTTCCGGGTCCTACACATTCCTTAACCTTGGTCTTCTGCCATGTTTTGCCTTCTTCCATGGCGCAGGCTTTTGTCATCTGATTCCGCGTTGGCAGAAGGCGAGTCCCAGAAAAGGTCCAACTTCGACTCAACAGCTCGCTTGGCCCGGACGTTTTGGTTGTCATTGTTGTTCGAGTTGGGGGGCCCTTGCTCTGACCGCGACGGCCATGGCACATGTAGTGCTGGGGCGGGCGAAGTGGCACCGTCGAGAGGGCGGCGTCGGTGGTCGAGGGATTCAACTGAAACGCATTGTAGGAGGGTACTTTTGGAGGGGGAATGGGTTGAGCCCGTCGGCCACGACGCTCAGTGACGTCGCCACCCAGAGGCCTTTGTCCTGTCGGCGCTTGTTTACTGGGTGAGATTGTCGACTCAATCTCGTCAAGGTCAGGGATCTTGTCTTGGCCACGAGGATCCTGTCTGCCTCTGGTTCGCCGAGAAGGGAGACCTCGCGCCTTTCGGGGCGCTGCTTGTGATTCCTCCTCCATTGTATATGTGTCAGGTAACGTGAACAGCTGGATGCTGGAGGGGATAGAGAAGGGGCCGGCAGTCAAAGACGTGGTAGGAGTTAGGGATATTTATGGAAAGAATGAAAGATGCAGTGGGAGTTGAACATGACCGTTCCATTTGCCCTAACAAGGTCGTTTTGCCTATTTCCTCAGGCAGCCGGTGAGCATGTAGGCCGTTTGCACTGGACACACCGCAGGAGAAATCTCTTCTCCCGCTTCAATTTCCTCCTCATTCTCTTGTATTCCCATCCTCGTCGTGATTGTTATCGGCTTCAGTGTCTTTGAATTCATCAGCTTCGTCGCAGCTGCATTGCACCAGGCATCTTTCCCTATCCTGCTAGACCCCCTCCTCAACCCACCTTCACACGGCCTACAATCATGTCGCTACCATTATTCTCACAGCCAGCCGCGCGAAGAGTCCAGGCACCGACTGACCCCGGATTGACACAAGATGTGGTGGATAGAATGCCGTGGAAATACATCGGTTCGCCTCTCCATGCTTACCTACGGATGTTGGCTAACAGTGCCGCGTTCAATAGGATACCGGTGGTTCAGCGCATTCCTCGCTTCCGATACGGATTTTGCATTCTTTCGCCGGTTAGATACCTTGAGCACCAGAGTCATTCTCGCATTGCAAGATCGAGTCGCAGAGGTTGAAGCATCGCTCGAAGCGATCGACAATGAAACCAGTAGGAGGAGCGATGACATGATCAACAACGGGTCACCGCGTGACGATCCGCGCCAGAATCAAAGAAACCTTCTCTGGGAGGCGCGAAACAGGCTCGATGACTACTGTATGGCGACCTGGGCCTCAACCTGGGGAGGCGTGCGCTAACACGCTGTCTGTACAGATCGTTTCGTCACTCTCTCCTCACAGGTCAGGGCTCGTCCACCACCGGCAGAAAGGGACGTTGCAAGCGTTCGAATGTGGCTGCGGAACAACGACCAGGCCATCGCGGAACCCGAGAGGAAGTATACCGAGAAGCGAGACCTCCTCCTCGTTTCCAGGATACGGAGCCCCCTACGCCAGTTCCTGGAGCGGTGGTCTCCGATCCGCAGATGTGGTTTCTGGAAGGAAGATCGCCCCGAGCTCCCTTTCTACGTCCAGAGTAACGCCCACTTCTGCTCTGATCGGCAGCTCGAAAGGCTTTCCAGCATCATTGCCACTGCCATTAGTCTCGGAATGTTCATCATCCCTTTTTGGGTGCTGGCCTCACTAGGCGATCCCGCCCACAAGCTCAAGATCATAACCTTCTTCGCGAGCCTCTGCGTGGGCATCTTATCCCTCGGAACGACCGCGAAGCCACATGAGGTCCTGGCTGCGGCTGCAACGTATGTACTCCGCCATGTAGCTGCATCTGCTCACCGCCGATAGATACTGTGCCATCCTGACGGGGTTCCTCCAGCTGCAGAAGCTCTGGGAATAACGGCCTGTACCCCGTACAACCGGTGACAACCAGTGTGTTCGACAAGCGCAGCCGAACCGTGTTACCGGTTTCCCTGAAATCTGTGGTACCGCTTGCCTCCAGAGTCGTACAGTCAATCATGGACCGTCTCCGTCAACTGACTTATCATCATTGCCGTCCCCCCTTTGGCCGTTTTCTTTTCTCCCCACCCCGAATCACCCAACGCGCGCGACAACCGACTCCACGTTCACAATGAGGTCCTTTTTACTCATACTATTGTCAGCGGGCCTCGCCCTAGCCAGCCCCGCATCAGACGCAGAGCTCCGTGGCGGCTGGAACATCGGCTTCCACAAGGCAAGGATCACCCATCCTCGGACATTCCACACAACATCTCACTAATCTCACCTCTCCAGAACGAGATTTGCGACGGCTGGGTGTCTCCACATGATGCTCGAGGCAGGGGAGAACGGGGCTGCAGCGCTGTCTCAGGCGCACTGTGCATGAATGGGTCCGGGCAGGGGTACAAGCTCTGTGGCTACCATGGCAAGAACTGTGATGGACACAGTACGCGCATTCGAGACGATTATGGTCTCCCTCGTGCTTATATCTTTGTCAACGGCAAGTATGAGACGATTGTGAATCTTCTGTATTCCTGTCCTTGGGAACGGTAACTGACTTTAGTAGAATTCCTATCGCGTCATCAGGTCCGGTGATTGCTAGGCTAGGGTAGCTATAGTCAAGTGATCGAGCTACTCTAGGAATTCAAACGAGCTGTAGCCGCTCTCTTCGCACTCCTTCAGCTTCTGGATAAAGAGTCCCATCCCTCCAAAGAACATATATGTCATCCGTACTTTCCCCTCGACGTTGGCCCCAAAGTAGAACGAGGGAGCCGTCTTGAACAACAACGCGTCGCTGATGGCGTCGCAGAACCCTTGCCATTCATCGTCTCCTTTCTGCGTCGAGACCATGGCAGCATTTCCATGCTTCTTCCGTCGTTCCTCTACATGCAAGATAGCCTTTGTGATAAACTCAACGTCCACTTCCAGCGCGATGGGGAGATTGACCAGAGGCGTGGTGGGACCGCCCACCATGAACAGATTCGGCATGCTGGCTGTAGCGATCGAAAGGGTCGTCGAGTGTCCCTTTGCCCAGTGCTCCCTGAGCGTGATGCCATTGCGCCCGACAAAATCGATCTTGTTGTACGATCCGGTCATCGCGTCGAACCCGGTTGCGCAGATGATCACGTCCAGCTTGTGTTCGGTTCCATCGGCGAGCTTGAGTCCGTCGCTTGTAAACTTAACGATTGGGTTTGCTGCCACATCGACAATGTCCACATTCTCCCGATTGAACTGCTCGTAGTAGTCAATGCCGCAGAGGGGTCGTCGGGCGTACAGTTCGGTCGGAGTCAGTTTGCGTCTCTTCTCCGGATCGCGCACAATCTGGCGAATTTTGGCCTTGATAAAGTCGCAGGCAGCCTCGTTTGATTCCCGCGAAGTCATCATGTCTCCGAAAGTCCCCAGCGCGAATCGAAAGGGCCCACCTTCGTCCCAGGCCGCTTGGAAGACGCGTTCTGTCTCCCCAGGCGACAGGCCAATTGCGCTCGTTGTGCTTTCCTTGACACCCATTCCTGAAATGCTGTCTCGCGCGTGCTGCCATATCTCGTCGTATCTTTCGTTGATGTCCGTGCGCTCTTCCTGTGTGACTGCCCGTCGGTTGGCAGGCACGACGTACAGGGGATGTCGCTGGAAGGAAAGCAGTGAGCCGACCTCTGACGCGATTTTCGAGATCAGTTGAACACCAGTCGCGCCGTTACCAACGACGCCAACCCTCTTTTTGCTAAGATCATAGCTGTCGGGCCATCGCGCAGTGTGATACAGCTCGCCTTTGAACGCCTCTCGGCCAGGGATATTAGGCCAATTGGGCTCGACGAGAAGTCCGACCGCTGTGATCAAGTATCGAGCGATGAAAGTGCCTTGGCTCGTCTCAACCTTCCAAGTGTAGTCGTGCTCGTTCCAGTTGGCCGACTGCACACGGGTGTCGAACTGCATGTGTTTGCGAAGGTCGTGACGGTCCACGACATGCTCAAGGTACGCAAGAATCTCCTTGGCCTCCAGATAGTTGTCCGACCACGGGTATGATAGCAGATCCTCTTTATCCCAGGAAAAGCGATACAGGTGCGAGTTTGTGTCGCTCATCGCACCGGGATATCGGGTCGCCTGCCACGTTCCTCCCAGTCCGTCTGCCTGCTCGACCACTTTCACCGAGAGGCCTTGCTTGAGCAGGCTGTAGAGCTGGTAGATTCCGCCAAAACCGGCGCCGATCACGAGCGCATCGTAGAATGGGGCAGTCATTGTATCGCAAAAGCAACTTGGACTCATCAGGCGAGGTTGATGAGGAGAAATACAAAACCTGAAGCTGCGCCGGACGTCAGCATTTTGTAGTCGCGGCGTGGGGTCTGAGGCTGAGCGTCAGAGAGAGATACTATCAGTCTTGACGAATCACTTTTTGTCAGGTTCGCAAGGTTCGCAATTTCGCCCCCGGGCGGAGCTTTCTCCGCTAGCACTCGCATAGATGGGGGCGTTTTCTTTGTCTCCATTGCGCCAGTCGGGGATCATCCCCAGTTGCGTCACCTCAGCCTGCGTGGGGCATCCTGTCCAGCCCCTACTGCTAAGACAATTCGACCCGCTCGTCGTGCGCAATAGCGATATTATCTTGGCTGAAACGCCGAGAAGCCCAGAAAGCAAGCTCACAACTATCAGTCACATGCATCACAAAAATCACAGAAGCATCGAAAATTGGACTCTGGGAGCTCTAGTGGGCAGCTTTATCTATTCTCTTCCTGGATTCATCGGTTTCTTTTACCTTGAAGCTGGAGGCCCAATTTGAAAAGGGACCGCGGTGTGCAACACAGAGTAGTACAAAGTATGTACGCAAAACCAGGAAAAGAACCGACGTACATCTGCCGAGTATGTCATGTAGAGACGTTGCAAATCATCATGGTCAAACTGTAAATGGGCGCCGTACCGACACGAAGACGACGTCCTGTTCGTTACTTATGAGCCCAGAAGGAATCCTAGATATGGCTCGCGCTGATGGTCAAACTCGGGGATCATCTGCAAAGGACTGGATATGAAACGAGTGATATTACTACTAAGTATTAAGCTGTACTCCCAGCTCTGTATCGTACATCTAGAAGATCGATCTCTATCATTTTGCAGCGCACAGCGGACCATAATTCTCTCCCGCCAGATTCCGCTGAGTCCACGCCGGGCTTCCCACACAGGTAGGACAGTAAAACACACCGTCAGGATCATATTTATTCTTGATCTTGAGCAGTCGATCGTAGTTGGCGGTGCCGTAAAAGTCTTCCTTCCACCGCGGATTGTTTCGGTCGGCCTGTGACTGTTAGTTCATTCCCTATAAGAGAGGGGGAGATAGAAGGAAGGAAATACCTCGTTGAGATAGCTCCCCGTAGATGGGGTCAGCTCACGCATTGCCGCGTACTTGTTGTACGTGATATCGTCCTGGATGCCCTTGGCGATGACCGGTCCAAACAGCTCCAGCCACCCGCGGGCGACGACGTGGATGAGATATGTCTTTCTCCATGCAGGGTTTGCGCCGCTCAGATCTGGCTCGTCGAGCACCTTGCCGCCGCCGACGAGCAGGACCTGGTTGATCGTCGTCTCTAGCAGGTTCCCGGCGAGTTTGCCGATCAGTTTTCGGAGAGCTTTGCGATCGGATGTCAATGCTTCCTTGTCAAACATGCGGGATGCGAGCGAGAATTCGGGTACTCCAGTTGCCTGGTGCACGCCCGACATTGCCCGGTAGTAGGCTGGATAGGATGGGAACTCGAACCAATTCACGGAAACGTCGACGGCGGTGTTCTTGGCCAGTGTCTTGAGCAGCGGTTCCAGTGCTGCTTTCGCCTCGGATAGAGGTTTATCCAACGCAGCAAGCGCATGCGTGTATCCAGCCGATGAGTTCCCGTATTTTGTGATCGGGTCGCTGATAGACCATGAGCCGTATCCGGAGAAGCCTGCATCAGACAGTGCAGGGAAGGAAGCATAGATGTCTGTAACTGCTTCTTGGAGCGGACCTAGCTTTAGAATAGATTTAGGGACGACGAGAAGAGAATGCGCAACGACTGGCTTGGAAGGAAATGCTTTGATGGTCACGGAGATGACCACGCCGTATGTGCCACCACCTCCGCCACGGATGGCAGTAAAGAGGTCGGGATGGGAGCATGGGTTGGCGGTAACAATCGACCCATCGGCGAGGACAACTTGAGCTTCGAGGATCTGGTCGCTGGCAAGGCCAAAGTCACGCGTGGCAGGAGAGTGGCCGCCACCTTGAATGTAGCCTCCAATGACACCGACGGTCTGGACCATGTCAATAATTGTTACTCGTAGAGGACAAAGTGCCTTACCGGATCACCGCCGCCGACGACGATCAAGTCGCGAGCAAAGGCTTCTTGATACACCTCGTCCCATACGTAACCTCCAGCGACGGTGAAAGCAGCACCTGTCCAGTCACACTTGGAGCAGGCCTTGGATGGTTTGAACCTTGACTGGTGAGTGATCCCCTTGCGTATGTATCTGAGCCAGATCTGAAGCGACCCATAGCCGAGGGACCTAAGAACTGTCAGCCAGAGTCATTTTCAACAGACGAGCAAGTACTCACTTCCCAAGCAGGTCGTGCCCCGTATTACGTACCACCAAGCGGACATTGTTCTTCTGAGCAAACGCAATGCCCGCCGCCAGCTCGCTCGGCTCTGTCGCATTGATTGTGTATACCGGCGATGGCCCCAAGCCACATCGTCCCGGCCAAGGTATCTGACCCGCGCTCCGGTCGACGACAGGGCAGTTGTTGTCAAGAGGATAAGAATAGCCGATGGGTTCTTCCGCTTGGAAGGTGGTGTTGGACCATTGCGAGTTGACATAGGCACACTCCTCCTTGTCGTACTCGGGGCCGGGGTAGCAGGAGATGGCCGGGGGCGTGTTGCGAATAAGCTTTCCGGACACGGTCGAGTTCAGGGCTCCCCAGTTGATCTTCTTCCAGCAGCCGTCGTTGGGGGTCTGTATTGGTTAGGATTCGTAGATAATCTTTGCCGTGAGGATTTCACTCACACATTTGCACCCTAGAGACGCAGTTGCCGCACCAAAGGCGGACAACGCCAGAAGAACCACGGACGACCTCATGGTTGAATATGAGTAAACAACTTGAAACTGGACTGGCAATCACGAGCTCCGAGGGAGACATAGCTTTAAAACATGGCAGGCACGCGGCTGCACGGTACCTGCATCGACCAGGATTACACGAAGCGAGGGCGTCGTGCCAGCCTTTCATTTCCGAGGAATCCCTTGATTCGCTTTAAATTCTCGCTTATACTCGAGGGACCCTGCGCTTGAGCCTGTCATCAAGCCGTGCTAAGCCCCGCCGCAGATAAACTCCCCTGGTGGCCTCGCAACCGAGCTCTTCCCGCGGGGGAGGAGCCAGTGCCGTTGGTCGATCGCGCAGTTTCACATGTATCAATATCGACAGCCACCGCTCATTGGCTGCGGAGAGACGACGTGTCGGATCCTTCCAAATGCAAAGTACAGGGTTCATCCCGTGTGAGCGACGTCTCCTGTTCCGTCCTCGAGCCGGCATTCTGTCCTTCTGCGCCGACGGATTGCCGTTGCTCTTGTTCAAATATGCACCCTGGCCGTCAACATGTCGCAGCCTGCTGCGAGGCAGGAGCACGGCGCTCGATATGAGCCAGCATCATGAGTTCAAACCTCGCTGAGATTTTGAATCCGCAGGGCGTCGCTACGCATCTGTCGGAGAGGGGCCTGATTGCGGTGACCTGGACTGGCGCTGGGCTGGGAATTGTCTTTACGGGCCTTCGTCTGGCGATTCGAATCACGCGCATGAAGCGACTGCTAGCAGACGACTATTTCGTCCTTGTTGCGTTGTTCTTCCTCGTTGTGAATGCGGTTCTCCAAACGCTACAAGCCCCGCATCTCTACTACATCATACTGACCCCGTTGACTGGCGACATTATCCACCATGCGACCATGTATGTGCATTACATGTTTGTCATTATCGGCCTCTTCTGGTCCGTCCTCTGGAGCGTCAAGGCTGCATTCCTCGCGCTATTTTGGGGGATGACAGACAATCTTCCGCACTACCGGCGCTGGTGGTGGGTGATTGTTGCCTTTTGCGTTGGCTCGTACGCTGGCTGCTGGATAGCCTCTGCCTTTACCTGCCATCCTCCGTCCGACTACTTCAAGTTTGGTAAGTACCCCGCAACCTGACTGTCGGCATCGTTCTGATCGTCCAGCCAAATGTACCAAGGACATCGACCAGCAAGGGTCCATCATCTCCATCTCCTACAGCACGGCCGTCGACATTCTGTCCGATCTGATGAGTACGTCTTCCCCCGATATTCAGGCCATGTCCTAACAATGGCAGTCATGGGGTTCGCGTTGAAGATTGTCTGGTCGACCCGCATCACATTCCACCAGAAAATCGGGGTCGGGGTCGTCTTCTCGCTCGGAGCGATCATCATTGCGTTTGCCATTGTGCGCGCAATCAACATCACCGGCCGTGCGTACTCGGACCAAGCTGGACTTGCCGTCTGGAGTATTGCCGAGTCATCGATCTGTATGCTTCCCTACCTCGGGCCAGCAGGTTCATTCTAACGATTAGTAGCGGTCATAGTCGGCTGTCTCCCCCCGTTCAAAACGTTCCTCTCGCGCAGCAACTCGACCTACGCATCTCGATATCCACCGACGTATGAGCGCAGCGGGTTCTCGGCGCGCCAGAAACGATCCTTGACGCATACAACCAGCTGGAGTGAGATGCCGCTCGAGGCGGACTACGAGTTGACGGTGCCCAAAGTTCACATCTCAGCTGGGAGCCGTAACGAAGGCTCCTCGGATGCAGGAGAGATCCGAGTGACTCAGGGATTTGTGAGTTTCTGGTCCACGTCGGATGAAGGATCATCGCTGACATGTACAGAGCGTGCTTCGTGAGTGATGATAATGCAATGATATAGGATGGGAGGTTTTTTGTGGCGATAGACGGATTTTTCAGGTATTAGCTTAGATAAAACTCGTTGCTTTCACATGGAAGACAGAGCAGTGGGCAAGGGGGCAGCGGAAAATTCCGACCAGCTCCGACCAGCTCCGACCAGTTCCGCCTTATTCCTACTCCTCTGTGGGCTCAACATCAGATGCCCTTGATGCATTTATTGTGAGCGTTGGAGATTTAAAGTAAGCAGCTCGTGAGTTAATGCTGTCAACAGGTGGTATATGTGCCTATTGATCAAACTATAAAGGTTACAAAGCACGCATTCCTCTCCCAAGTGCAAAGATATATATCCTCGTACCTAGTGGACAAGTCGAGCAAGTCATTGTTCAAAGACACGACCGGATAGGTGTAGGACTGCAAATCACCGGCTTTTTATAAGTCCCAAGAGGTCACAAACAGCCGAATACGCGACATCTCTTGACAGAATCCTTAACATTGACATTCATCTACTCTGACCTGGAAACTGCAGGCGGTCTTGGCATGACGGAAGAATCTCAAAGAGGAAATAGGGCTAGCATTCTAGGGTTAATGCATCACGCGTTGTTTTGTTTTGGTCCACCGGCAGCAGCGAAACCCGCGCCGATCGACCCAAGTTTCATCACAATTTCAGAATGCAACAGCCGGTTCTCGAATCTCCACAAATCAGGATCCAGTGCTGCGGTTGTCTCCCATTTGATGGAGTCTATCTACACACCCGCAGCCCTCATGAGTCTTAGCGTGTACAGCAGACGCTCACTCCCCTGCATCGTGGTCGTGCGGCGCTTCCAGCCAATCTCCGTCGGCATGCGCTCGTTGCCTGAAATGATTGATTGATTAGCAGTGAACATCCCAATCTCGAATGCGAATGAGGATAACTTACGGAACCAGTACTCGATGAACCTCTTGTCCACGGTGCCGGTCTTGCCGTCAGCCATGATCTCGAAGAACGAGGCACACTCGCCCCAGCTGAATCCGTCGGCCAGCGCAGACAGCGAGTGCTCGGGATTCGTCCGCTTGGATGTGGCCAGGCGGGCCATGCGCGCATCCGCCACCTGTTGCACGGTGATCATGGGCGTGGTGAAGTACGAGGCTGTCTCCGCCCAGACGGTTTCGTTGAAGGGGTTTGGGTCGGCGAAGTATGCGTCAGAGCGACTGTCATTGGTTAGTACGGCCTGTCGTCAGTCATAAGGAGTAAGGAGTCAACTCACCTCAGACTAATGTCGTGCTCCAAAATGTTGTGGCGGCCTAGATGGTCAAGGTCGAAACTGTTTGCCCGGGGATAGGCTGGGTTGGTCCGAACCGCCTGGAGGAACAAGAGGACCGCATCGCTGTTCTCGATGTTGAACCCTTCAAGCATACCGTCCTTGAGGATGTCCAAGGTGATGCCTTTGCCGTCGCGCGGAAGGTAGCCATGGTTGGCCAAGGTGTTGAGACCCGGACACGGACCGCGAGCTGTGATTCTCGATTAGCATATGCCCTCAATCGACGTTATCCACGACTCACAATCTCCTGGACCAGGAGCGATCCATTCCTGAGGGGTCCAGGTGTCGCGGGTTTCCAGGTACTGCGGGAACGCAGCTACGGAACCGACGACACCGAGAGCAACGGAGAGAGCTGAGACCTTCATATCGTGTTCTAGCCGCCTGAGCACTGATGTGAGGATGAAGAACAATTGATACGAGCCTACAGCCACTTCAACAGGCCACTTTATACTCCTCCGGTTGCCCACTACTTTCGGCAGTCGCGATGCAAGTATCACAGTGTTCCACCCTCTGTTTGAAATGGCCAAATTTTGATTCGATGGAGTTGATATCCCCACCCCGCGTTCGAGTCAACGCCGAGGCTGGCGATCGCAGGCTTCGAGAAGCCACTAGTTGGATTGACGATGTGGCGCCGGGATCCTGAAACGACGATCAAAGCCGAGGCCGACAAACTGCCGAATGCAGTCCCAAACTTTGAAATTGGCCTGATACTCACGGCAGTTTCATGGCGATCCGCCAATTACATTCAGATACGCCTTCGAGCCTTTATAGATTGGGAACTGGCCTCGGATCGGAGTCTCTTCTCGAACGCACAAGAGCCGAATGAATAATCTATTGGTTCTCCATGGACCCTCTTCAAACAAGCTATGTGTGGGCTTATCCACCTGACCCTGATTCTTCACCGGAGCTTATGCCGTCCTCGAAACTATACCAAAGTTTACATCTTTCTCGCAGATCCCTCGGAATTGCTTCCATTGCCGTCCGGTTTGTTTGGATTTTGATGCGGACATCGCTGCGTTTATGAAATGGTTTCCAGACTGGCGAGCCTGCTGCCCGGTAAGTGTTTGGATCGAGCGTTTTCACAAAACTAATGAGATAGTTTTGGATTACCGGGACAATTGCGGCGTTGTACGTGCTGTATGAGGCCCCAGCACCTGCAAAGCCAGGCCTAATGCTCTCTGCCTGTCCAGTCCCGAAGATCGCCTCTGTCTCGAATGTATGTGGAACCCCAAGTCCCGCTGCAATGGCAATGCCATCAAGAACGTTGTAGCGGTAGTCCCAGACTTTCTTCCGAGAGTAAATCGCCGCCATATCAGAGATCCACGTGGTGGGACAGTGGAATATGCCCTCGGCGAAAATCTTCGAGGCGGATGAAAAGTACTCCGCACGCCCGGGGACTGATTCTATAGGCGGATAGGTGTCGACGACCTGCTGGACTTGGACCTCGCTTAGTTTGACGTACCAGCCCTTCACAAAGGTTGCGACCTCATCGGGTGTGGACGCATTGGGAGCGAACAGACTGCCTTCGTTGGTGTCGTAGCCGACGATCAGCGGCACATCGAGGAAGTTCCCTCGGTAGAAATTGGTATAATGAGCGTCTGGAAAGATCTCGCCGTCAATGGCCGGCTGGAATAGTAGTTTGGCCTGCAGCGACATGAGGTAGTCGTCTGGAGCCCCGCCCAAGGTTTGGATTGTGGTTGCATCAAGCGATCGCAGACAAGCCACAGGGTCTGACCGCGAGCAGTTGAGCTGAGCAGCGAATGATTCGAAGTTAATTTCTGACTCGGCCACCGTCAACGAAGGGGTCCATGCAATCGACTCCGCAACTGCCCCCACAAACAGTCCCTCGTCGCGACCGCCGTAAGCCGTGAGATGGTGGGTTACTGAGACTGCCCCAGCAGAGGCACCGTGGATCACCACATGACTTGGATCTCCTCCGAACAGATGGATGTACTTTTGTACCCAGCGAAGCAGTTTGCGCTGGTCGAGCAAGCCGACGTTCAAGTCTCCATTATGCCGGACTTGCTCACTGGCGAGGAACCCAAGGGGTCCAACACGATAGTTGAAGTTCACCAAAACAATACTGTGCTGGGACTCGAGCACCAGCTTGGTCGCGTTATAGTTCGCATTCGCGTTGGTCACAAAGCCTCCGCCCTGGATATAAACCCAGACGGGGAGTTTGGACTTTGTTGTCGCATTCGACGGAGCAAAGACGTTGACGAAAAGACAGTCTTCCGTCTTGTTTAGATTCTCTGACTCCCCCAGGCCGATACAAATAGGCGGAAACTTCTGTGGTGTGAGTAAAACTCCCAAGATGCATGAATGCCAGCTTACTTGATCTGCGCTTTGGATCTCTGCGACTGGGACTGGATCTTGTGGAGCCCTCCATCTCAGCTCTCCCAGCGGAGGTGCCGCATATCGTATCCCGAGAAACTGAGTCACTGCAAACGGCAGAACAGTCCCCTGGTATTTAGAATACCCCAAGTCTACAATGTTCGAGATTGGGTCCCCGCCGGGTTCTGCGTGCGCTGCTGCAGATAGGCTGAAGCCGATAGCGAGCTGCAAAACAGACGCTGCCTCTAAATAGTATCTCATGTTTAACCATGAGCGAAAAGACGTGTACATCTACAGGGCTTTCCCCAGAGTGCCGATTTGCGATTTTAACCCACTCATTCCAGTGGCGGGGAGGAAGAATCAACCTACGCTTGATTTAGTATGATCCTGCGCCGCCGGCTAAGCTGCAGAGTAACAGTTCGCCCGATGGCGTTGAACCTCGACAATGTTACATTGAGTGACTGAGGGGTCATGCTAGTGGCGTAATAGTGAGAGCGAGTCCACCAATAACAGCGTCTGCGTCAGGATCCCCGAGGAACGATGCAGGGATTCGCATTATTGAACAAAGGGAAAATACCCCGCAGTCGGCAATCTCCAGTCGAACCATCGCATCGTCACGGTACGTTTGAGACGATTTTAAGCCATTGAATTTCATGTTCAGCTTCCAATTGTTCCTGAATACTACACCCAGCGAGCCTCTATTCCTGGAATCCTTCTCGTTAGTGAGGCCACTTCCATTTGGAAGCGCGCAGGGGGATACCCCAATGTTCCCGGAACCTGCAACGACGGCTAGATTACAGCTTCGAAGAGAGTCACTGATGCAGTACATGAGAAGGGCAGCTACCTACTTCTCCAGTTGTGGGCTCTGGGACGTGTCGCACTGCCTGAGGTAGCCAGGCTGGAAGGATTCGATGTTGTCAGCTCCAATCCCACCCCGCTCGACTCGGATAACCCGCCACCCAGGGAGGGGACAGAAGAGGAGATACAAGGGTTTATCCAAGATTACGCGCAGGCAGCACGAAACGCTTTGCAGGCCGGATTCGATGGGGTTGAGGTGCATGGCGCAGGTGGCTGTCTGATTGACCAGTTCACTAAGGACAATTGCAACACCAGAAACAGACGAATACGCCGGCAGTATTGAGAACGGGTCACGCTTCATCCCTGAGGTTGTCCGCGCTGTCTCTGATGTTGTTGGGTCCAACAGAGTTGGGGTTCGACTCTCCCCCTGGCAGAGGTACCAGGGCTTGCGGATGGAGGATCCAGTGCCTCAATTCACCCATGTTATTGGCAAGAGGAAGACACTCACTCTCGCCTATCTACATCTCAGAAGCTCGAGTGTGTTAATAGAAGACAGTTTGAATACAGACCCAATCGACCTCTTTATCGAAGCATGGGGAGACTGCGCGCCTGTCACTCTGGCTGGGGTTTCAAACCGGAATCGGCAAAGTTGGTCCTCAAAGACCACTTCAAGAAGAGGGACCTCCTAGTCGCCTTTGGTCGCTATTTCATCTCCTCGACGGAAGCCCGAGTGGGCGAAACGGTCTTCTTGATTATTCTATACTGCGCATTGAGCCGATCGTTCAGCTCATCGTCCGCCACGATGCGCTGACCCAAAGTTGCCCATCCTCCACCGCCGTTCCAAGTCTCCATGATGTTACTCCTCGCCTGCCGGTCCCCACCCAACCTGGAGGATATTCATGTCGGCATTCTAATGAGTGATCTGCTGCACGATGCGCTTACCTGGTGGGAACCCAATGCTGTACAGGTAGATGCGGCCAACGATATTGTTGTCGAGCATGATCTCAATATGGAAGGGCTTTTGCGCCTGTAGCTGGTCCTCTAGCTATCTTTGTGGTTCCGTCTCCTCGCCGAAGGAGTGGACTATAATGCCATCGTGTCGCTGGCGGGAGAGCTCGGCTTCCTCAGTAAGGAAAGGGCCAATTGGGTTGAAGAACCGCTCTTCGAAACTTTCAAACCAACACTTGCTTGGTGTGTTTCAATCATTCGTTAATGCTGGGCTTGGCTTGCGGAGGGATATCTCAATGGGTGGTAAAGGAACCTAGCAGGAGGCTGGGGGGTAAGAGCCGCGGGGAAGTCACAGCAAAATCTAAATTGGCTGTCGATGCATTGTATAACCCCTTTTGGCACGATAAGGTATGCATGAACTTTCTAATTACCATGATATTGTGCCATCGGACTCATGGGGGATTTTGCTAGAGATAGTAACGTTTAGGGGTCAAAATCTTCTTTGAGAATGCGACTGCTACTGCTTGACTGCATTTTGATAGAACTACAATAGCCCGTTAGCTGATTCCCTGTATATAATTGACTGTATAGCAGATTGATGCAACTGAAAGGCTGCGAAAACCTGGTGGCGAGCCTATTTCTTGAGCCCGTCAGCTCGACGAAGATATGTAGTCAAACTAAATACTTGTCCATCCACTACTAAGCGTCCCCTCTATTGGGGTTCCGGCTTCTTTGCATCGGCTACGGATTGCCTTTATGGCCGTCTGTGCGCATTGGGTTATCTCCCTCTCCTTTTCCCTTCCACCATGGACCAGCTCCCCATCCCGAACAAGAATCTGCCCATCGACCATGACGAGACTAACATCGCGACCAATACATCCATGTACAACTGTAGTCACAGGATTGACGCCGCCAATATCATCCCAGTGCCATGGCGCAGCGGCGATTCCCCCGCGTCCGTACGGATCGAGCACGACGAGGTCCGCCTTCTTACCTACTTCAAGACTTCCGATATCCTTTTCGAGGCCCAATGCTCGCGCTCCGTTAATGGTTGCCATTTCTAGCGCAATTTCGGCCGGGACAAGGGCTGCATTGTTGTTTACGCCCTTGTGGAGGATAGCGGCCAGGTGCATTTCCTGGATCATGTCGTAGTGGTTGGCGCAGGGTGCTCCGTCTGTCCCGAGGGCGACCGTTATTGGACCCGATGTGGCAGTGTCAAGCATGGCTGGAATAGGTGCAACTCCTGATGCCAGTTTGAGATTGGAGGAGGGATTGTGTGCGACTGCCGCCTTGGTCGACGATAGCAGCGGCAGATCTATTTCCGGATCCAGATTCACCATGTGGGCTAGGACGAGGTTGTGCGTGAGGCCGCGAGTATTGCTACTTAGTGGCTGCCCGCAGAGTTTGTTGTCGCGAATGAATTCCATTGAGCTGCAGCCGTAAACGGTGTGGTAGATATCACGATCGGCCGGGGCTTCGGCACAGTGCATGGTGATTGATATGCCGTGAGAGGCGCATATATTGCCCAGTTCCTGATATAACCTGGCCGGTGCGCCTCTTGGAGTGCCAGCTGCTGCCCAGACGTGAAGGCGCCCCTTGTGCTGACCGTGGTATTCCTGGTGCGAGCGGACCAGTGCTGAACTCGACATGCCAACGAGATCCCGATCGCGGGGATCCGTGATAGAGAGCTGGCGGTTTGTTTCTGGGAACTTGACTAATTTGCCCTAAATGCCATGACGGTTTAAGAGAGCACTTTGTGTGGGGAAAAGAAGGAGTCGTACCAAACAGCCACGAATGCCCATCTCACCGACAGCACGACACACCTGCTCCCATCCAGCTCGAAACGTCACCATCGGATCAAGAAAGGCCGTCGTCCCCGTCTTGAGCATCTCGGCGATAGTAAGTCGAGCAGCATGGTAGCCATCATCGTCGGCATAGTTGGACTCCAACGGCCAAATCGCGTCGCACAACCAGTTATGAAGTGGCAGTTCCTCTGCAAGCCCGCGCAGAAGGGACTGGACCAGATGAGCATGTGTGTTGACCAATCCAGGAATGATGATCTGTCCTGTGCAGTCGATCATCTCCGTGAGCTGTAGTAGATGGTCTGGTGGCGGGCATTTGCCGACGCCCTCAATGCGGCCGTCCCTCACATGGAGATAGCCGTCACGGATGACTTGGCGGGCGGAATTGACCGTGATTATTGTGGCGTGGATGAAGATGACCATCTTGATCTTGATTGTTTATCATAACCATCGACAAAACGAGGAGGACGCGGCGCAGTTTTACAGCAAAAGCCAGCGTCGGCCGTTGATAAGGCTTCGGCCGAGCCCTATCGCCTTATCACCGTCCATCAGCATAAAAAGGCCCTCGCCAAACCCCGACACAAAAGATGCGATAGCCACGGAAACAATGGAAATCAAATCAGCGACCACATCCGCCGACGCATATGCGGCTCCCTCCGACGAGGGCCAGATGCAGCCCGTGTCCCGCTGGCAGCAATGGCGTCACTATTGGACCAGCCGCGAAGGCTGGATAGGCGACTACGTGCGCTTTCTCCCTTATTTCTAGTGATTGCGCTGACAGAGTTCCAGGACTATTTGTATCTGATTACCCCTGACATCTGGCCTCTGAACCGCAAGTACAAAGGGGTCGACCCTCCATTCTACGGACTCAACGACCAAGTCCCCATCCTGCTCACCCTTCTCCTCGGCCTGCAGCATGCCTTGTCTATGATCGGATCAGTCGTCTCGCCACCGTTGGCCATCGCTGGCGGAGCGTTCTACCTTGATTCCGATCAGACCCAGTATCTCGTCTCCGCTGCCTTTATAACGACCGGCATTGCAACCGCCATGCAGGTCACACGGCTACACATCCTCGGCACACCACTGTACATCGGAACGGGCTTGCTGTCCGTCGTTGCGCCCACGTTTGACATCTTAGCTGTTGCCTTCAATTATACCGAGCGCCGCTACACCCTCGGTACGTGCCCGACCGACTCAGATGGTGGTCGTCTCCCGTGCCCAGAAGCATGGGGCGCCATGCTCGGTACGATGCTATGCACTGTCTGGGTGCAGATTGCCATGTCGCTAGTTCCACCGAGGATTCTCAACCGGATATTCCCCAAGGTCGTCACTGGAAGCCTGCTTCTCCTGATTGGTGTATATCTTATCGGCAACGGGATGCAGAACTGGGGTGGATCGCCGAACTGTAACGGAGGATCGGGATTCTACGCCCTGTGTCCGGATATCTCCGCTCCACGGCCTCTGCCATGGCATGTATATCCTTTGCGTCTGATGAGCATAAGCTAATGCAAAGTAGGGGCGACCCGAAACTGATCGGCCTCGGATTCAGCGTCTTTGCCACAATCGTCCTCCTCGAATTTGTGGGCTCCCCTCTGATGAAATCGGCCTCAGTCATCCTCGGTCTTGCAATCGGTTGCGCCATTTCCGGTGGGACGGGGTACTGGTCGCGGGATCAAATCGACGCTACACCTATTGGGACATTTCTCTGGGTGCACACCTTCAAGCTGTCTGTCGACGGAGCATTAGTCTTGCCACTGCTCATCCTATTTGTTTGTGAGGCTGTCAGCTGCATGCCGGATATCCTCGCTACGGCAGAAATCTCCAAGCTTGAGATTGATGGACCCGAGTTCCACAGTCGCATACAAGGTGGAATCCTCTGCGACGGCCTTGGAAGTTTGATCAGCGCGCTGGGCACCTCGCTGCCCATGGTCAGTCAAGCCGGGAACAATGGTGTCATCTCTCTGACTGGCTGCGCAAGCCGTCGAGCAGGCTGGTGTGCCTCTGGCATTCTCATCCTAATGGGGATTCTCGGCAAATTTGGTGCAGTTTTTGGGTCTATGCCCCCTTCCGTGCTCGGAGGTATGCAGGTATTCCTCTATAGCACTATTGCTGTTGCCGGCGTTCGCGTTCTCGCCTTGATCACCTTTACTCGGCGCAACCGGTTTATTCTGACTGCAGCATTGGGCATCGGTTTCGTGGATATCGTGTCGCCTAACTGGTTTAGCAAGGTCCTCGCGTACGATGGGGACAATTACTCGTTGGAAGGATTCCTACAGGGCGTGAACCTCATTGTGGAAACACCGTTCATCATTGCAGCAGTAGTGGGCGTTTTGCTGAATCTGGTACTGCATGAGAAGGACGAGGAGCAGGCCCTGCCTACTTAGAAAGATATAATGTAATCCATTCGTGCTTTGAGAGTATGAGATGAGGCACAACCGTACGCACTGGTTATTTATATGAGAGGGCACCTGACCGACGTACCGGCCTTCGCCGTTAGACATATAGGACATACTCGATCCCGCTAGAATGATTGAGTAAAGGCTGGTGATTAGCTCCGCTACTATATGCTAGAAGGAAACGTGCTGTGGCGTTGTTTCAAGATACGGAGGAGAGAGCTGAGCTAGCCATTGCCTGATTGTGGTACATGAAGGATCATACACGAGTAAGAGCCCTATAACATCCCCTCGTCTTCAGAATGTTCCACCACCTTGTTAAATTGCTCCTCGTATCCAGGAAACCTGGAGATACCGTCACTTCGAGATGGTGGAGGTATGGCATATAGAAAAGATCTACAACGCTTACGCCCTGGAGCAGTATCAGCATTTGAACAACGGGTACTACTGTCTGTAGACGGACATACCTCCCCAGCCATGTAGGTTTGCCTCGCTAAGATAGTTTCCAGAACATCCAAAACCACGTCAAGCCTCGACTGAAGCTCACGGACTAGGTTAAGGTCAGGAAGCGGGTCGTTTGGTCTGAAGTGCCTATGTGACTGTCAAACTGGGTTCATTACAGCTATGGAAATAACGAACCTCTTGAAGATTATTTCGAAGACGAGACGATTTGCAACTGGGTCAAACGTCGTGACTTCAGTGCTGGCCGCTTGCTCGAACTGAGCTATAGCAGATACATTCCCGGGATCTGGCAGCAGTTGTGGCCCATAGCGAGCGGCCAGAAAGCGTGCTATCGCTCTCGATTCGTAGACAACGAGTGGTGGAGAAAAGGTAGAGTCCTTGAGACAGGGTAGGGTGGCGAACGGATTCAGCTGAATATAATCATTCCTCTAGAATGACAGCATTAGAGGCTCCTTCGGGAAAGAGGTATTCAAGAGAGGACCGACTCTGTTTTCTCCATCTTCAAGGGAGACTCGGTGAACGATGACATCCAAGTCAAGCTCTAGTACTATTAAGTGGACCCGCTGAGGACAAGGAAGTCGTGGATCTGTATACAGTTCGAGTGCCATTTTGTGAAGTAAAGTAAATGTGATCAAATACCCAGGCCAGAGCGAGCGAGACTAGGAAGGGAATGAGACTTATATGAAGCAGGCACCAAGGGACACGCGTCAGCATTGATGCCTGCTGACCGGCCGACCAGTTGCGGAACCCGGCTTGATATCGAGGTCAATGCGACTTCTTCCGTAGCTCCCATCCGTTTTGTAGGTTGAGAAGGACTGATTGACTCGGCCAGGCGTGCTCTCTGCCAATATAGGTGAGAACGTCAAGCAACACCTGTTGGGTTGCCGGGTCGGTGAAGGTCTCGCCACACATGGTCATAACGATAGCCGCGGTGACCAGAGTCGCTTGAGATTTCTTATTCGACAATGCCAGGCCGCAGACTCTGAGGGTGCGCTGACGAGCCAGTTCATCGATAGCCAAGTTTCTGGCTGTTGCCCCGGGCCCAATTGGTAGACGCTGCGGATGGTAAACTTCCAGCAGAATACATGCAATCTCAAAGTGCTGCAGACCAAGCACTTGGCAGTCATTCATGTGAACTATCTGGGGGAAGTGGCGTCCGTTCTCAGGATCTGCCTCTCGATAGTACAGCGGCTGAAACGAGTCTGGACGCATCGTCTCCCAATTCCGCTTGAATCCATCCAGAAACTCCCACTGCCCCAGGCGATCCTGGGGAAATCGGTCGTCAATAGGAAGACCGCCCTCGTCTCCGAAACAGAACCTGAGAACGTCGGCGCACCAGAAAATAATATGATTGGACCACTCAAAGTCACCGGCCGGTTCTGGTGGGTTGTAACTTTTACCCGTACGCCTAAACAGTCGAAATGGCCGTCGGTTTATCAAGACGGACCAAATCTCCTGTCGCAGGGCCACCAGGCAGACTGAGTATCCGAGTGAAGTGAAGGGGAGGTTGATAACGTCTGCTGTTCTCGGTGGTGGATAGTCGTCGTCAAAGGACCCAAACGTGTAGTCCGGCTGAGAGAGCACCACAGCGCGCACGACGCCCAGATATATCTCTGAGTCCAGGCCAAAAAAGTCGACTGTAGCATGTGGTCATCAGCGATGGGTGATCTGTCAGTGATATCCGAGATACTAACCGCCAAGCTGCTCGTAGAAACGTAGTATTGTGGCGGCTGCAAAAACATTTTCGTCGTAGTTACAAGCAGGATCGTTGGACAGGGAGATGAAGAGCGAGATGCATGAGTTGTGATACTCGGCGACCGACTTTTCTGTCAAGTCGCTTAGTGTTATGTTGTCGAAGATGGGAGTCCTGTTTGGCCACTGTTTGGAACAGTGTCGGACCAAGTGGCCTGCAGATGCTGTGCATATTGCATAAAATAGCACAGGGCACGTCATGGCGCGCTGAGGAACGACGTAAGCGAAATGTTTATCCTTGTCAGTGCAGTCAAACTAATGTAGGTTATCAGAATCCTGTTCTGCAAAGGGGATAGGTGAATGTCGGGCTCAGGTGAATCAGAGTAGTAGAACAAGGTGGTGAAACGTACCGGGTCTACCAGGTTCTCAACGAAGTGCCTCATCAGACATGACTCCTGGAGACTTAGCGTCTTCCTATCCCGTACGGTGGCCGGGAATAGTACTGGTCTTGGTAGAGAGGGCAAAGAAAGACTTGAAGAGTAGCTGCTCTCAGTCTCGAGGGGCCTACTTCTGGCACTAAACTGCGTTCGAAAACCGGTGTCATGCAAGGCATGGTCTTTGGATGGATGTGCAGCCTCTGTAAAGTTTCCGATGCCAGGGTGAGATGCCTCGGGGAATATGCCGACAGGAGTGCAAGACTCCGGCCCAGAGAGTGCTTCTCCTGTAGTCGGAAAGGCATGGCGACGACTAGACTCGGAGTGAGGAGACTCAGAAGGCTCGTGCAGCGCACCAACCGACGAGTCTGTTCTTCTCCGCTTGCATGTTGTGTCGTATGACGTGCGAGGGCTGTGTATCGTCTCGTTTACGAACGAAAGTCCACCTTCAGGGGGCGTTAGACATTTCCCTCTTGCAGGCTTATGGGAAAGTCTTACCACGAACACGGGGTTTAAGCCAAGTCTGGTCTGAAGCAAACTCGAGCTCACCCTTGGACTGGGTAGCTGCCTTGAATCGAAAGGGGGAGTTATCCACACAGTGCAGATTCGCCTTCTTGCAACTCGTGCACGGGCGACCGAGGTCACCTAGCTTTGGTCAGCATCAAAATTGGACTGAAAACAGACACTGGCGTTTGCTGATTACATTTGGAATGCCTTTCTAATTTCCCAGTTAGCGACCGCCAATTCCATAATTCTCGTCCATGTGGGCCCGGCACACTACCTTTGCAGTTGTTGCAAGGAAGTCTACGCTTTCCTCTATCATCCGGCATGCTAGAGCGATAGGCGATGTGTTGAGCAACGATTTCGCAGATAGTCCCATGGGGCAGCGAGGTTGGGAAGTCGCTGATTGACGCGACGCGGAGAACATGGGCGAGGCAGTTTTCCCTCACCTAAGAGCCCAAGGGGAGTACATTCGTCTCTAAGAGCTGATTCGGCCGAGGGTTACTTCCATCATACAGCATGGTCGACTGAGTGGGGTGGACCGATTGATCGAGTCTCGAAAATCTGCAGAAACTGGCGTTGACAACAACAGGCGCGACTCTGGTCGCAACGGCGAAATTCTCCCAGAGAGGCAGAGAGGACGTCACAGTGGGGGCTGCCAAGTCAGATTGTCGAATCGCAGACGAGCTTAGTGGAGTCGCACATCTGAACATGGCGAATTCCGCCCAGTTCTTCCTTCTCGAGCCATTCCGGGTCTGGCAATTTTCCTGGATACGAGGGCCCTCCAAGCAGATTCTATCAACGCTGATCAGCGACAAAGTAGATCGTCACGAGGGATATATCATCAGGAAGGGCAACTCACCAAGCGAATGGAAAGCATGCCAGACCCATATATATATCACCATCATGGCATGCTCCATGGGGGGTGAAGCAGCACCACATCAGTCACAAAACATACAAAGATGGGAATCGCCATTATAACCTTCCCTGTTATCGGGGCCTACGTGATAATTATCTGCTTGATATTGCCCGTCTTCAATTATTTCCGCGACCCCAAAGGGCTACGCAAATACCGCAACCTCTCTTTACTGTCAGGCATCTCCGACCTTCCATACGTCTATCTGAACTCTTTCGGGTTCCGCTCCAAGGCAATCACCGAAGCTCACCGGAAGCTGAACTCGTCCATCCTGCGAATCGGCCCAAATAATCTCTCGTTTGGGGATGTCAAAGCAATCCGAGACATCTACGGCCATTCGACGCCATGCCTCAAAGACCTCAAGTACGCCATTACGGGGGGTCCTCATCCCAACATCTTTGATGTCGTCGATAAACCCAAGCACAGTGAGAAGAGAAAAAGACTCTCTGCCGCCTTTGCAATCAAGAACCTGGTCGACTGGGAATTTAAAGTGGCTGACACTACTGCGCGTCTTCTCTCTGCCTTTGACAAGAGATGCACAGAACCGCTTCCTGTCAATTGTACGACACCTGTGGAAAACGACCTGACAATTGACTTTAACCATTGGATCAACCTCTTCACAGTTGAAGCCATCAACGTCATTGCTCTATCTTCCAGGCTGGGCCTTCTTGAACAGGGTGACGATCTTGTCACTGCGCAGAGGATGGACGGCACGACATACAAAGCCCACTATCGAAGAGCCCAGAATCAAAGTGCCTTTGCGACATCGTACTTTATTTGGGACTACCAGAACTTTCACTTGTTGCGTCAACTGTCCAGACTTTTCCCCAAATGGCGACGGATTCATGGAGAGGCGGACCCATGGAAGGATGTCATTTACCACCAGACAATCACCCGGCTCAAGCGCTACCAAAATGGAGAGAAGCTCGACGATTTCTTTGCATCTCTCATGGAGAACAAATCAGGTGAACCGTACAATCTGGAGTTTGGCGAGATTCTGGGTGACGTTGGTGCTGTGATCGATGCTGGGGCAGACACAACCGCCATTGCCCTCACCCAGGTATTGGAGCTCTTGATTCGTCACCCTCAGCATATGGAGACTCTACGACAAGAGGTCGATTCTGTGCTGGATGGCGAGGTGGTGGCGCCCTTTGACAAGGTCCGAAACCTACCATTCCTGCGGGCATGTCTTGATGAAGCGATGAGAATCATCCCCCCTACCTCGGCAGGCCTTCCTCGAAGAACCCCCCCTGAAGGCGCCATGATCCTGGGGGAATGGATCCCTGGCAGTACCAGTGTTTCTATGACAGCCTACACTACCCATCATGATTCAACCGTCTTTCCAGACCCCGAACAATTTCAACCGCATCGCTGGATGGATCCGGTTGCACGAAAAAAGATGGAGCCTTACTTCATACCATTCTCAACCGGTGGAAGAGGATGCATAGGCCGCAATATTTCATATCTAGAGCAGACAATCATGTTGGCTTCGCTCGTGCATCGTTATGAATTTGCGTTACCGAGCCCGGAATGGAGGTTGAAGAGATTTGAAGCGTTCAATCTTCTCATGGGGGAGATGCCCATCAAGATCTGGCACAGGAGGAAAACTGGGCATGTTGCAGCATAGATAGGTAGCTATTTTGTTGTGTTCATGTTGTGGTTCGTATTTGATCAGGACAGTTTGGTCCATATGCCTCTTGGTCTTTACTGGCGAGCTTGATTGGATGGTAGGAGTAGTCAAGTTACATTCAAAGTTGTTTCCTTTTGTTATTTTTGGAACATGCTCCCTCCTCTACACGGCTCCTCGAGCAGCTGCTCTGGTAACCGGCCTTCGTACAGTCAATGGCCTACCGAGAGTACATAAATCGCACCCTAGTGAGCTCGGCGGTGCACCCTTGTAGAACCGGTTTATGGGTGTATCTGTCAAGTATACCGCCTATGGAGGCTGCGAAAGAGATTGCCAACCGCCACAATTGCTTTTGAGGATAATGTATTGTGCCTTCCGCTCGCCCAAAGAGTTTACGAACTTGAGGATCCGCCTACAGAGGCATCTGCTGAAAAGCAGCGTATCCCCATATATAAACCTTGTGTATAATAACTTAGGCTAGGCTAAATTAATCCGAAACTAACCCTAAACAGTTTGATTTAACCGCTGGCGTGTCCTAACTCATTCAACGCCCATTGTGCCAGCCCAGTCCAAGGCGGGGACAGCGTATCCGCGATGTTCGAGGTTAGTTGCGCGCTCCAGCCTTCTAACACCCAGCATTGCGTCTCAACTTCCTGCAGCGCGACTACATAATACAGTAGCACCACCATCGCTCCGGGGTGCTGCGCCTGCATCAAATTAAAAAAGTCCTCGGGTATTTTGTTCAGCCACGTGAACACAACGTGTAGCTCGCCCGTCATCGCAGTGGCCGGCATTGCTGCGCAGTCTAGCATCGACTGTGCGCCTTTGTTTAATAGAGCCGTGGTGGCATTATCGACATGAGTCAGATTGGAAATTCGAGACTGAAGGACGGCAAGCTGCGTTTTGAATAGATCGAGTGCTTTCCAGCCGGGCTGAGAGCCGTTCTGATGTTTTAGCTTGTCCAAGACATTGAACTGCAATTCAGCATGGGTGGTAGCCTCAATTGCGGACAAACCTCGCACTAGGGCCATTATTTCGAGCATTCCAGCCAGTGGCGGCATCGCCTCATTGTGTTGATACTTGAGATGTGAAGCAAAGCTGCTCGTCATCAGCAGAGCTGAGGTCATGAACAGGGCGAAACTGCTCTCCTCGGTCATCTTTCCTGCAAGGGCTAAGCGCATGCCGGCGATGGCATGAGCTTGGTGCTCTGAGCCGCGAAGCAGATACCTCTCGCGAGATTTTGTCCGCAGATAGGCACAATGGAATGCCGATAGGGCGAGGAGCTGATGTAGAAGGTACGGGTATCGGAGGCCAAGACGTGGCAACTCGTCCCTGAATATAGACGGATCCAACACGGGGGGGCCCATCATGCAAGTATGAGTCGTGAAGTGATGCATGAGCTCCAGATCCAAGAGACATAATTCAGAAAAGCCAATTGTGGTGCATGCTTTTGGGAAAGAGTTTCCTTTAGGCGGTTGTCCGCTCACAGGGAGGCTGTGAACATTGGAAGGCTCGGAGCGCATGTGAGGCTTGGAAGGGCCAGTAAGACTCTGTATATGTTATATTAGACGCCAGAATGCAGGAGACAAGCGCCACTCACCGTCTCATGGGGCCTTTCCCTGCCAGGCCGCTCAAGGCTGCATTCGACCCTGTGCCTCTTGCAGGCAGTACATGGCACTTGCTCATCACACTGGGTGCCAAGCCATTAGTCCCAATCTGGCCCCTTTTTTGACGTGGTAAGAGAACCGATCACAAACCTTGACGCGTCTATTCTTGCATCTTAGGCACCCGTTTTTAGACTTGCGGTAGCCCAACCGGCCCATGATAGCGTGAGGAATGGTAAGGACCTTGTTAATAACGGTTGCGTTTGACGCATCTCTTCAGCCAAGCACAATTCTTTGCGAAACCGAGGGGCGGTCCTTTTCAAGTGGGCTCAAGGCGGAACCAGGCGCAGCAAAAAAAACCTTTGCCTGTTGCGTCAGGAGCATCACGCCAAGTCCCACTGCGGCCAGTAGAATTGCTGGGCTTTGTGGAGCGGAGCCGGTGAACCAATGAGATCAAGATCCGAAGCCGAGATGCCATTGCTCTGTGAAGACTCTCCAGATGTGGAATACAATGCAGGAAATGGATTGGAGACCCGCCGTTGCGGCTTATTGCAGGTGCTGAATTGCTTCGGCCTACGTATTAAAGCAACATGCGCCGACAACGTCTTTGATCCTGTCTTGTTCTCAAAATTCTTTGCACCTGCGGTTCCCAAGCAATCCTGTATTTCCCTGCGTAAAAGCGTACTCGTCCTGGTCTTCCTTGTCTGATCTCATACCGTCGGGTTACTGTTGGCAGGACAGAAGATCGATCATGGCACCACCTCTTTGTGATCCCGAACACTACAAAGAGGCTAACTTTGCCTTCTACCGCTTCGCCCCGTCTGTCGCGGCGAATATTATCTTTGTGATCCTCTTCGGCATTTCGACACTCCTGCATACATTTCAAATGTGGATGACGAAAACATGGTATCTCTGGCCACTTATCGTAGGCGGTGTATGTACGTCAATCAAGCTCAGCCGTATCTGGGGGCTATACTAATGTTGGCTTTTCAATTTAGGCGAAGCGGTTGGATACATCGGAAGAGTCCTGAATGCAGTTGAAGACGAAGGGTGCTGGAATGTTGGACCATATGTGATACAGAATACACTGATTCTCCTCGGACCCGCATTTATGGCTGCATCCATCTATATGATTCTCGGCCGCGTTATCCTGCTTACTGCCGGAGAGCACCATGCCCTAGTCAAGCGAAAGTGGCTCACCAAAATCTTTGTTTGGGGTGATGTGGTTTCGCTCTGCACACAGTCGAGTGGTAAGTAATATGCTTGCATATTATGGATGAATGCTAATATGCTACAAGGTGGTAGCATCATGGCCGCTGACGATCTTTGGCAAACGGGCGAAAAGGTTATCATTGTTGGCCTTTTCGTCCAGCTTTTCATCTTCTCCTGCTTTCTCATCATTGCGATTAACTATCATTATCGTCTCGCCAGATCCCCAACACCTGAATCCAACAATCCTAACATTCGGTGGAAGTGGTACTTATTTACACTCTACCTGACTGGAGGTTTGATTCTCGTCAGAAGCATCTTCCGAGTTGCTGAGTTTATTGACGGCAACCATGGAGCTCTCATGCGAAAGGAGGCCTATGTCTTCGTCTTCGATGGCTTTTTAATGGTCATAGTGCTTCTTTGGATGAACTGGTTCCATCCAGGCGAGATTGGCTTATTACTTCGTAACGAGCTGCCTATCACAAACGGACTTGAGTTAATGAAGATACGTCAGGGGCGAAAACGATGCAACACGATGGAAAGCCTGAACTTCGAACGTCCCCTAATCGGCCGGTCGAATGGAGCTGCGCAGCAGGCAGCTTAATATGTACTACTACGGTCAGAAACAGATGCTGGCGAGGTGAATGTGAATTTGTGATAACTACAAAGCACAGAGAAATGTTGGATTATTTTATTATGTGGATTAAATGGGCTGTAATTTGCGTCGCATATCCTGCTCTGATTTCAATAGACATAATGTGATATATCCTTGTTTCAGACCTTTACTGTGCTAAGAGCCTTTTTCTCTCGTATTGGGGATTCCGTCGCTGGTATTCCGGATATCCTGCCAAATTGATGTAGCTCCTATGCTGAGCGGCATTTCTCTAGTTGTTAGAGGTTCATGGAAACTGAACATTAAAGTAGTCCCTGAGTAGGATTTGATACTAGTGTCAGAGATAGGAAGGACCGAACCACGTGCGCAAGCGATACAAGAGGAGCTGGTACAATCATGAAAGGCCCTCTTACAGTAGGGAGCGTCGAGTAGTTGTTTCTTTGAAGATCGTTTGGACATTGTGGTTCCCTGCCGAGGGTAATAAGGCGTCTATGAACAGAGGCTTCGAGGACGATTCTAAGAAAAACCTAAAAGTAAATAGATAGTGGGCGAAGAGGAGTCCGCTAAGTATGCGTATACTCGTCTCGAAAGTATCCACGTCCTTATCTTAATCATAGGTCAGGCTACGCTAACTCACGTCCGCGCATCCGAAAGATGAGTGGTGAGGTGCAGCATCAAAATATCCAAGCTGTCGACGACGATCTATCCGCGCCCACTAGGGCTCATTTGCGAACCGGTCTTGGGGAATGGACGGAAGCGATCCTGCCCTAGATGCACAATTGGGGGCTTTAGTGACGATCTTACATCTTTGCGCTAGTACTCATACGCTGAAACAGAGAATAACGACCCAACACTGGGCGCGCAAAGTGACCTATGTGAGAGAAACGGGACAAAAAGGAAAACCTACCCCAGCCGCATTTGGCGTCCTCCCTTCATGTCTCTCCCTTCAGTCCTCCCAAGCTAAATTCAGTATGAGGCTACATTGTTTGTAACTGGTACCAAAAAGCAGATCAATTAATACCCCTTTATTCTTTGTACATACGACCGCAGGGTGTGGAGAACAGGGCCTCCCGTCAGCACAGCGGTACTTGAGGAACACACCGGTAGGGTAGTAATATGTTGAGTAAGCAGATGCGAATCCCTACTGTTGTATCTTTGTTTGGGGTCTAATTTTGGTTTCTCATTCATTCATGTCATGCCGATGGTCCAATATGATCCAACTTTGCCTCCTGAAAAAGTAGATAAGACTCCGGCGGTGGGCCTTAGAACGGAAATGGGCTGTCTTGGCCTGCTGGATCGTCTTCTTTATTGCTGTTGGGACATTCGTAACAATCGCGGGCATCCTTGCTAGAGGTCCGTCTGTTCCACAGCCCCCTTCAACTCCTCACCACCCTTCTTATAGCCCTAATCGCAGCCTCCCCAATGGGCAACCGCTGTCCTAACCTTTTCCCAAGCCAAGGCCCTGTTCCGCGAACTGCCTGCACAATAACCCCCCCTGCCTTTGCTGGAACCCCCTTTTGATGCCCATTTGCGGCCGCGCACCCCGCCGCAACAAGATTCCTCATTTCATCATACTCAGCTCGCGGCCTTGAGGCGCGGTGGTGGATGTTTCCAGGTGTCACCAACCCCGTCCGACAGTAGCCGGACGTTAGGAGAGACGTACGGATATTGAATGGGGCGAGCTCCAGAGCAAGGTTTATGACCACTGCCTCCAGGAGGCCCTTGGCCGCTATCTATGGCGAAGACCCGGGGGTGCCGTAGTACACGCCAACGCTGGAAATAAAGAGTAGAGTTTCCCAGTTCTGGGCACCAACTCGCGAACTGTAGATAAATTAGCTCACGTTACCTTGGATGGATTAGAGATTCTAGGACAGATTTAATACGCTTATGATGTGCTGGAGGTTCGCAACACATGGTCGTGCCGTTATCTAGCAGTGGGCGGAATAGCATATCTTTCTCTCCGAGGTTACGGCCTTCTACGGTATTATTCATAAACTCCTAGAGGGACCCGGACCTGATGTTGCTACCAGCTCGATTCGATGATGTGCGCCAGCCCACATGGCCATGGACTGTTTATTGTTTTATCTAATATGTTCCAAGTAATAATACTACCCGACCAAAGTAGCTCCATATTAATGATTGCAAAGTGGCGGTGTGGTTGCACTCAACCCGGTGGTCCTTGACTATGATTTCTCATTACTACTGTCCTGTTGCTTCGGTGGAAGCGTCGGATCAAGCCAACCCCATTTCCCAACGTAACTGAACAACTGGATAGCCAGCGAAAATCAGCGCCCGAGGGTCATCAACCTGGCCAGTGGCCATCACCTGGGTTACTGTTGGGAGAAGAGGAAACGGACACTCTGCCAGGGTTTCCATTGGTGGGAAGTCATCTGTTTTCCAGGCCCGAGCCAACCATCACCTGCGCAGCTTCAGTTTTTCCGTCACATATGAATGCTTCAATTTACGGAGTGTATCGGTCACACCGCGTGATCTTAAGGCGGAGTGCTCGCCGAGAAGAGCACGTCGAGGGGGAAAAGAGGACAAGTTTGCAGGCTTGAGTGAGCTTGGCGTGCGTTTCAAGATGCGCCTCGGGTCGATCTAGCCCGGCCTTCGCACTACAGAGTCCCGTGAATGCGGTTCGAGACCCCGTACCAATAAAGTAGCGCGATTGCCATTGGATCGACACAGAGTGCCGAGAACCCTGAAAAGTTATGAACGGATGGGGAAGCTCCGCAAACCAGATCCGAATAGGAGCTTACTCCGGACAAGTTAATCAATCCTCTTCGGCAAGAAACCTAGAAGTGAGACCCAACCAATGACGGCATTCTTCACAGGCTGGGCCAAGCAGAGGGAATAAATCTTCATGAAACGGAAGGCTCCATTTTCCACCAAACGGAGTATAGCATGAAACGGCTGAGGGATGAAGCATCATATGACAATATAGACTACACCGCTTGTAGCTCGACCGAGCACAAGGGAAGGGAGCACTATAAAACGGCCGTCCTGCGTCCTAACTAGAGCAAGCACGACAAGCACTCATTCTCCAGCACAACAGATCTTCTTGCACCTCTCGCACCTCTTCAAATTCACAATGTTGCTCACAAACCTCGTTGCCACCCTGGCCCTGTCCAGCGCCGCTGCTGCCCAAACTCTGAACATCCCCACGCGTGTCGGCTCCATCGTATCTCTTGCTTCTCCCAGTGTCATCTCCGGCTCCAAGGACATGGGAAACAGGGAATACGACCGTGGCCGTCCCTGCGACTCTGATGACGACACTGGCAGCGACAGTGCTGTGTTTATTTTGGAGAACGGTGCAACCCTGAGCAACGTGATCATTGGCAAAAACCAGCTTGAGGGCATCCACTGCAAGGGTTCCTGCACCCTTAAGAATGTCTGGTTCAGGGATGTCTGTGAGGGTAGAGTTTCCCGTTCCTATCCCGTATCCGACGCATGCTAGAGTATGCCTTGCGCTAACTCATCTACAGACGCCATCTCCGCCCTCGGAAATGGCAACGTCCTCATCCAAGGCGGCGGCGCCCAGGAAGCCAAGGACAAGGTCGTCCAGCACAATGGCCGCGGCACCGTGACAATCAAGGACTTCACCGTCGTCAACGCGGGCAAGCTCTACCGGGCGTGTGGAAACTGCAGCAACAACGGCGGTCCTCGCAATGTCGTCATCCAGAACGTCAAGGCCAAGGGCGTCTCTGAACTCGTCGGAATCAACTCAAACTTCGGTGATACCGCGAATATCTCGGGATCTTGCGGCTCGAGTGTGAAGAAGGTCTGCCAGGAGTACAAGGGTGTTCAGAAGGGCAGTGAGAGTTCCAAGGTTAGCACTACGTCTAGCTGCAAAGGGCAGACGAGCTTTTCCAGCTGCTAGACTTGCCCGTTCGACCGGCTGCGACGATAATACGCGATGATTCACTTCTTCAGCGTAGTGCTTCGCTGAGATGGGGAGGGGATGAGGACGAGGTGCTACGATTACCTGGAACGGTTTAGCTTGCCTGTTCGGGGGAGCTCCTCTCAGTGATAAGGAGCCTGAATGATTTTGCCTAATTGTATCTACAAAAAGCGCTTGATAATTGGACACTTCCTATGCTATCGGTTGATTAAGAAAGTTTTTCGTACATGTGCATTCACGCAGCCGCCCATGTCATCAGTACCCAAACTCCTAAGGGTATTGGAAGGGCAACGCACGTAGATCCGAGCATACTATTAAGTGAGGATCAGGAGGAAGCTTACAAAGGGTAAGTTACGCTCAATGGTGTCCTTGCCACGGCGTGTGAACTGCGCAATGAGGAGTACTTTTGCCATGGGCCTTTCCAAGAAAAAGGGCTCAACGCGTAGGATTGATCATAACAGCTGACGTGCATTTATCATCGTTACCTATATGGAGAGTGGGCGTGGTGCTGCCACCCTTTCTAAGCTCGAAGTTCAGCCGCAATCTCAAGCATTCTCCGAACTCTACTCCGGTCTTGCCTCGTGGGGGCCAACAAGTGATTTTACCGTCTGGAGGACCCTCATTGACACTCACCCACTAATCTTGTACTCCATAGTTGATTTTTCAATCTCACTCTCGACTGCCATGACGATTAAGAATGTGCAGCCGGTGAAACGAGAGCATATCATTGCTCCTCCCGGCTATAGTTACCCAACTCCACCTGTCCTCTATTACTATTATCAGTTCAGCCCTGTCACACCTTGTCTTGCTACTTATATTCAGCACGTTTGCTGAGTTTATAGGTGTTGGATTCTATCAAGTTTTACTCCATACCATGTCTACCCGGCAGCAGCGACGTCTTATATGGGATGTTGGTGCCCTCCGGCTTCGCTGAAGCCCTGGTCCGCGCCATCCTAGAGCAAGTACGCGACTCTTTTTCTGTGATAGCATCGTCTAGGGCACGTACCTAATTTACACCCCAAGCAGGGCGATCAAGTGATTGCAACTGCCCGCCCACGCAATGGCTGGAGCGGCATCAATTGTCTCTCAACGCTCAAGGAGGCCAGTGCTGCGGGCCCAGCACACAGGAAGAGTTTGACGCGCGCCATGCCACGTCTGGAATATCTATGGAAAGGTCGACGTGCTGGTCAACAGCGCTGGATTCATTCAGTCCAGAATTATCGAAGAGATCAAGTTGGTTCGCCCCCACTCCATCCCACCTTCAAGCCTAACCAACACATTTCAGGAAGAGAGCTAACCTTTCTCTTCCCCAAAAAGCATTGAGAATTTCCTTGGTAGCCAACGGTGACGGCTATGCTGATTCCCTGTTTATAGCAAGGCATACAAGGCAAATTAAGGGCGCTCTCGGAGTTGGTGAGAAACAATCTACGACTGCAATATTTTGCTTTCACAGCGATTAATATCGACGAAAGTTCCGTGTAATAATCTAGGCAAGGATGCGAATATCCACAAGCCGTTGGAATTGCCTCTGTGAAAGAGGTGGAAGCGATCGTGACTTTCCCACTGCTATCAATTGTCAACTTGCTGTATCTGCGGGCAGAGGGACCTGGATAAAGAGACTACAGACTATTATTTCCTCTGCCGCGGGTATGGCAGCTTCAAGGTCCGCCATCTTGGGGGCGTTCCAGATCACAGCACCAACGACCAGCCAGATCCAGTCTGGTCATAGTGGTGCGCTGGGTGCCAAATCCGCATGATAGTAACGGCTGCCATGAAGGGTCCAAATAATATCCTCGAATAGTTCTCTGGAGCCCTTAGCAATGGAAAGCGTGGCCATCTACGGTGGAACCCGTATATTAGGTGAATCACATAGCATCTCGCATTTTGAACTGGTTAACCAAGCTCTATCAAGCACACTGTTCTAGATTGCGTTATCCATGGCTCTGGGCTTGGACAATACTCTCCGAATAAGCGACACTCTATTATAGCACGCGGAAATGCGGGGAATGCCTTGATAGTAAATTTTGGGCAAGGCCTAGACAACTCAGAAACTCTAGTAGGCAGTGTGGTCGTGGCACTTCAAGACAAAGTCATGCACCGCATTAGTGCACCGTATGATTTATATCTGGAGTATCGCGGTCATAGCGCGGGAAGTATGAGCATTCGAACGTGGTGTCGCTCGTCATCGAGGCGGGGTTAATGGCGGCTCGGCATATTCTCACAGTTAGGAAAGCCGGTTACGTGGCTACTTGAATTTGACTTGTACAGTAACGAATAAAGCTCATGAGATCTGCTTACATTTGGGCGACGACATTAAGGGCGTTAAGCCAAGGGTGGTGCCATCGGACAGTAGTATTCTGTCCTGATTAATCTATATACTCCAGATAGACCCACGCAGGCGAACTCTTGCAGTGTACATCTAAACAACGAGGGCTACATGACGGTCGAGATGCTTTCGTTCGCTCTCATACAAGTCGGCGGCGGTAAGGCTCTTCGGCAGCGATAGTTGCAACAACAAAAGTCTATTTATGTGTTTCTTAGGAGCAGGAACTGGTTATTGTACAAAACCACCATTCTCGCGTGCAAATAATCACGGAAGGTGCAGTTGACCATAAAGCATCCTCATCAACCACAGTGTAGCCTTGGGCATTAGCTCTCTGGCTAGAGGTTTGGAAGGCCCAGAAAGAGAGATCTATGGCTTGGCTTTTACGCAAGGTGTCCCCAAGATGATATCTACAGATAAGACTCACAATCACGCTTTCCCAGATACTAATTTTTTGGAGATGCTGGTAAATTTTTCGATGGTCTTGGCATTGCTTGGCCAGGTACGTCGCAAGTGGAACCAAGAGAGCTTGGCTGGGAAGAGATAAGCCCATTGGACGACTGTGAGTGGTTGGCGGAATCGTTGTACCTGCTTGAAAGAGAAAGGTGGCGGAGAAGCCAAGAAATTGGATGAGGGGAAGTGGAAGCAAATTTGGAGAGCGACTGATATGCAATGTAACAGTGGCCGGCGCGGGGGAATACAAAAGGGAGGAAAGATCAGCTGCGAGGCGTCTCTCTTTGTCTGACCAGAGTTCTCGTCAAAATGAGGACACTAATTGCCCTTGCTCCTTTTCTCTGCCTCGCCTCGCTGGCCAGCGCCGCTACATATGGATACAATCATGTTCCTCTTAGAAAAGACTCCGAAACTGTTGCCGGTGCTTTCCCAGATGTCGACAATATCCAACTCCTCTCTCCAGCCTTCCTAATGCCCGATGTTCGACTTCCTGGATTCAGCAATGGAACGCAGGGTCCATCTTCCCAGGAAGATTTGGGTAAATCTGCCTTTAAAGTTGCGCAGTGAGTGAACCGGACTGACGCACATCATGCAGAGGCATTTCTCGAAAGGATTGCCGGACGCAACGACTATATGACCTATGGCACCGCCGACTTCACCTCGGAAGAGCACCGCTCGTTTCCCTACGTTCACCTCGCCACTACTGGTCGCAGAAGCCCCCATCGCCGCGGCGCCTCCTCCAAAGTGCGCGTTTGGATCCAGGGCGCTGTGCACGGCAATGAACCCGCCGGCGACGAGGCCACACAAGCCCTCTTAGGCAAATTCGACGACGACTCGGAATGGGCGGCCTCTGTTCTCGACAAGCTGGAGCTTGTCATCCTGCCGCGATATAATCCTGACGGGGTTGTCTATTTTCAGCGCACGCTGGCAACCAATTTCGACCCTAACCGCGACCATATCAAGCTCGCTCGACAGCAAACGCGAGATATTAAACAACTGATGAACAGTTTCCGGCCGCACGTTATCGTCGACATGCACGAATACTCAGCGTATCCGACCTTTGGTGGCGGTAAGTACGTGCATGGCTCCGACGGCCTCTTTTCAGCAGCGAAGAACCTCAATATCCACGAGAGAATCCGCAAGCTCTCCGAAGAGCTCTTCGCCAAGAACATCGCGACTGATATGGAAGCTGCTGGCCTGCGCGCTGAGCCGTACGTGACCGGGTCTTCGGTCTCGAATTCCTCCATCGTCGCCGACTTTGCCGAGGCCGGCACGGACGGTAAGATCGGTCGTAATGCAATGGGCCTGACCCAAGCTGTCGTCTTCCTTCTTGAGATGCGCGGTATCGGAATTGCCGACCAAGAGTTTCAGCGTCGCACAGCCGCCGGTCTGACCATGCTGGGCAGTATTGTGCAAACAGCTGCCGACAATGCTAACAAGGTGTTGAAGACCGTCGAGGACGGCATTGAGGCTTTTATTGAGTCAACCGACGATATTGTTGTCACGGACTATAGCGAGATTGAGATTCGTCCCTTCACCATGATCGACCGCGAGAATGGCAGCGTGGTCCACCCATCTGTCCGTTTCGCCTCGACGACCCCCTCCATCGCGAACCTCACTCGCTCCCGTCCTGAAGCCTACCTAATCCCCGTCGCTTGGGCCAACCTGGTCGACCGTCTGAAAGCGGCTGGCTTGGAAGTCGAGACGCTGGATCAACCATTTGAGGGGACCGTCGAGGCGCTGACCGTCACATCCGCCAAGATCGATACCTCCTACTATGAGGGGGTAATTCGTGTGACGGCGACGACGGAGAGCAGTGAGCGCGAGCTCCATCTTCCAAAAGGTAGCTTCCGCGTGAGCACTAGACAGAAGAATGCGGCGCTGGCGATGGTGGCCTTGGAACCGGAGAATATCGACTCGTACGTTTCGTTCAACATTGTTCCGGTGGAGGTGGGAGACGAGTATCCAATCTTCAGGGTGATGTCTTAGAGATATATAGGTCAGCGATAGTAGTATCGCCACATATGCTCTCTTGCTAGGCTATTACATCACATCTTGCGTACTATATATATACTGCCCTGGAAAACATCATTGCAATCTATGATCCGAGTCGCCGATACATCTTTGGAATTTTACCTTGCTGGCTCCTGTATCATCGTTTTCGAAAATATATATCGCGTTTTCTCTTGATCAATTACACACAAGCAACGTATTTCATGCGGAGATGCAATATATAGCAGTACTCTAATAGACTTTCACGTCTCACGGGTCCCGGATGGTTCAACTAGATTGTTCATAGATGACGAATCGGGGAGATCAAAGTTGTTCTTTGGAGTGGCGCGGTGGCGTATGACGGATGGTTCGGACGGGGCTGCCCGCTGCTTTCTCGAGAGCGAGGACAGTGCAATGGAGGACATGTACTCGCTAAGCGAACCGCTGACATGCTTGAGCCAGACGGCTTTCAGAGAGGGAGCGTTTGCGGCCATAATTGCCACGTCTAATTCCACTGCCGAGATGATCACCATCTTTCCCAAAATATAACTAAAGTCCGGATTCGCTGCAAACTCATGCAAGACAATAATGCGCAGACATGATACAACAACTGCAACACCGCCAACCGTGACCACAGCAATCACACCAAGACGACGGGACAAGCTGGCTTGGATGTTCCAGAGGGGTCGGATTGGGAGGAAGAGAATAATGAAATCGGTCATGATGTTCTAGGACGCGAGGGCAGTCAGCAGTAGTCATCAAAGAGGAGATCTGCTGCAAGAACGAGGTTGCACACACCAGCGAAACAGGGACGTAGTAAGTAACAGACGTATCGAGGCAGGTTGCGTCGGGATAAGCGGCACTGTTCCAAAAGGCGGGCAGTGGACGGCATTGAAGGCAGTAGAGTAACCAAAGGGCCACCGCAATGAGTAGATTCAGGACCATTGTCGCATACACACTGTAAGTGTACGATGTCTTGCTGGCCAGCCGGAGGTAGAAGAGAAGGAACGCCATCTTGATCACGAATTGCATCCAGATATATAGTATTTCTTCCGCAAATAGTAGCTTCAACCGAGGTTAAAAGCACGAGTCAGTCCCAACCACCTTATTCCCATCATCTCTGCGAAGCGAGTTGGTTGTACGTTACCTTCAATAGCATATACCGGTCGGTTGGGTCCACCACTTGATCGACGTGCCTGGGAAACGTGGGATATATTAGCCTAGACCAAGACGTACAACGAGAGGAAGGAGAACAAACAGCCCACCGCCGTATTGAAGAAACAGACAAAATAGACCTTGTTGGGCAGTGTTGCAGATCTTGCCCTACCGGTCAGCAGAAGTTGAAAAAGGAACTGCGAGCAACAGGACAACAGACAAAGACCATGACCATCCACCAATCGTCTCGACCAAAACTGTCAATAATGCATTTTCGAGAATACACACGCAGTAGCGTGCTAATCGAAGCCAAGGCAAAGAAGATGAACGACACCGCATATGCGGTTGGCTGGAGAGTCTCGAACATGTCGGCATTGACCACGGGACACGCCGGGTCTGTCTGAAGGCGCGGCCGTCCACCGGCTTATGTAGGGCCTGGCACCAGAATGAAATGAAGCGTGTCTGGTGGGCAACGGAAGTGGAGAATTGCCCTTCGAGGGGATATCTTCCAGGGTCACTCACGCGAGTCCACAGGACAGGAGGCCGTGGATCGGCCGGGGGCAGACCGCAATTTCCCCAAAGGGCGCCCTAGGCTCCAAAAGCATCCATCGCTCCAACGCCGACAGGCTAGACCACCACTGACAGTCCCCGGAATCAGAACCGATCGGCAACGAGAGCGGCTGGAGCGGCTCGGCCCCTGCCTCCAGGATCCTGGCGGGGTTAGCTTGCCACTGACAGAAAAGTGTTCGAGTCGGTTAAAACGCACGCACGCCCCTGAAACCCGCGCGTCTTCCACAAGACGAACCGATTAAAAGTACAGGGAGAGAGAGCAATTTTTCCCTAGTCAAACCACATGGCGGTTACACCCACACTTGTACCAGTGCTGAGGCCTGATCCTTCTCGGATCGTCTGGACATTTGGCGTCCTCGGGGCAGCCGTCCACCAGGGAATCCGAGGCATCGAGGTCGACAACCGACTTCGGATTCTGCTTGCAGCCCATCTTGCGACCGCACTTGGCTTGTTCTCTGGCTACCTCTATTTATTTTCCCTCGGATGGCTCCATGCTGCTGCCAGCACCGTGCTGGCTTCGTGCTCATTCAACCTCGGGCTCACAGCGAGCATTCTCCTTTACAGATCGCTCTTCCACCGCCTGAGCCGCTTTCCAGGGCCATTCATGGCCAAGGTATCTCGGTTCTCAATCGCGATGCGCTCCGTGAAACGTACACAATACCATCGCGACCTCGAAGAATTGCATCGTCAGTATGGCGACTTTGTACGCACCGGCCCTCGCGAGCTTTCCATCAATCGGCCGTCTGCTGTCCACGTTTTTTGTGGTCCTCAGTCCCCCTGTACCAAACCGACCTGGTACAGCCACGTCTCTGATGACAAGACTCAAATCTCACTTAACTCAACACGCGACCCGGAAGTACATCGTCGCCGCCGTCGCGCGTGGGACCGTGGTTTTAGCATGAAAGGTGAACCCCTCTTTTAATGCTATTTTGCGGAGAGTGTCTTATGCGCTGTACTCACAGCCCTGGCCACCTACGAACCCCGGGTACAACATAAAGTCGACGTCCTTGTCTCCCAAATCCGTGCCCGACTCGAGGAACCACTCAACATCTCGCAATGGACTATGTACTTTGCCTTTGACGTGATGGGCCTTGTCGGGTTTTCCAAAGACTTTCGCCAACTCGAGGATGCGGCGGAACACGCCGCTATCAAGGAACTGCATGAACAAATGTTATTCCTGGGAATTTTGAAGCCTGTGCCCTGGTTTCTAACCATACTTGGCGCGATCCAGGGTCTCGTCGGCAACTACGGACAGTTCATGACATACTGCGCAGATCGTATCGCAGAGAAGAAGAAAGTAAGCGATGGCATCGAAGATATTAGAAGCGGAAAACCATTGCTGACACGGGATGCCTGCAGGAGTGGAATGCTTCAGAGACCAAAGTCCCACAGGATGTCATATCGTGGCTGCTCAAGGCCGCTGACGAGAAGGATCAATCAGCACCACCAGGGGATCAAGCCCTCAACGAGGATGGCCGACTCATGATCATAACCGGAAGGTATTAGATGCAGTCCGAAACGCAGCGAAGTATAACAATGACCTTGATTAGTGACACGACCGGCGTTGCATTGGCAAACGCGTTCTACTACCTCGCGAAACACCCCGCTGTCTATAAGAAATTACAGGCCGAGCTTGACCAGGCTTTCCCTCAAACCGCCAACCCGGCGGACTTTACCAACGAGACACTCCGTCGTCTTCCATACCTCGGGGCTGTCATCAATGAAACAAATCGGCTTAAGCCGGCCGTCCCTAGCGGTCAACCCCGGCAAACGCCCCCGGGTGGTCTCCAGGTCGATGAGATGTGGATTCCAGGAGATACAATCGTCGTCATTCCACAACACGTCATTCAGCGTGACAATCGTTACTTTCCATCCGGTGCTGACTTTATTCCTGAACGGTGGCTCGAGAAAAAGGGCGCGCTGATCGTCCACGAAGAGGCATTCTTTCCCTTTCAAACAGGTGAGCGCACAAGCACCCTTCAATATTTCAATGGAGTTGCCTTGCTGAGACTTTTCTAGGTCGTTACGGCTGTGTCGGAAAGCAGCTGGCGCTTATGGAAATGCGAAGCGTGATCGCTCGGATCGCTCTAGAGTTTGACATATCCATCGCTGACCAAGAGGCCGCGGAATCATTTGATCGGGATGCAAAAGACACTTTCACATACACTGTTGGGGCTCTGCCCTTGAATTTCAGACTGCGAACAACGTAATGGAGAGAAAACATTTATTGAGAAGAGGCAATATAGTACACAATGGACACTGTCACATTGTAGTGCTGGCGGCATCATGCGTTACTGGCACAGGAGAAGCTGTTGGACGAGGCATCATCATGGATAGCCTTGCCGGAAACGTAGAGACCGAGTCCACACTAGAAGATATAACAGTCAGCGTGGAACAACAGAGAACTGTTGTTGAACAGCGACTCACCATGCACCCGCCAATCAAGACAATGCAGACATTGAGAGCAGTGAGGAAAATCTTTCGAGGGGACGAGAACCACATTCCCCTGTTGATGTGTAGCCAGTACACTCCACCAAGCCCGTAGCTGAACCAACTGGCAAAGAGGGAGCTCTGTGTGTTGACGAATGTTAGTTCCAGTAAGCAATGTTAAATTCACGGTAGGGGGTCATACGATAAGACTCAGCAGATCGCTAAAAACGGGAATGGCGTCCGCGATGATCCAGGCGATAATCCAACAGGTCAAGCCGATCGCAACCCAGGAGCCATACGAGACCAAATCGCGACGATGCATGCGGTCCGTTCCACGGAAGAGGCGAACGTAGATGTACTTGAGACCTATATGGCCGTTGACAACACCCGCGCCAACAATCTAGGTTTGTCAGATGGAACTCAGCCACAATCAACAAGACAGCCACAGAGGAAACTTACTGTTGGGATGGCGATACCGTACGCAACCTTCTTCAGCACAGGTCCAGCTGAGCCCAGTGCAGGTGATTCAACAGTTTGACCGGCATAGTAGTAGATCACGACAGCCGCAACGGTATAGAAGATGATCTCGAATGTCTGGAGCATGTACAAAGCCTTGGGAAAGTCTCTAGGTTCCCTCATCTCGGCAAGGAGACCGAAGAAGGCGACGTGGGCACAGTAGGCAAAGACAATATTGGTGACGGCGGTAAAGGCATGGAAGAGGTCCGTGTCAACAGTGGCTTTGATGCTGGTGTATGGATCGCGGCCTTGGACTCCGACTCCAATCATGGTGATCATGACAGCAGTGAAGACGCTGACAAACGCTGGCATGGACAGGTAAGTGGTCAGTTGAGTAAAGGATTCAGGATTGACATACACGTGCAAGAGATATAAGTCATGTTCTTCATGGTTCGTGGAAGGGAGCAAACCATACAGATCACGAACCCAACCGTGGTGAAAACCATGGTGCAAGTTCCGTGCTCAGTAATGGTGTTCATCATGACGCTGAATGTCAAGATGTGGCTTCCCATGATGAAGATGGAGAACAGCAGCTGACCGATGCCAAACAGCTCGCGTCCGAATGCCCCAAAGAGAACATCACCAGCGTCTGCGAGGTTCTGTATATGAGGGTAGCGCTGGTGAAATTGCCCAATAACATAGCCGGTGTAGGTTGCGAGAAGACCCAAGCCGATGATCAGGACGAGAGCACTGTGATACGTTCCATTAGCCTTGATGATAGGCTTCGACTTGTGGTAAGAGAACTTACGGCGCGAGACCCAATTGGGCAAGAGTCGCAGGCAGGGACAAGACACCAAGTGAAACAGACTCGGCAATCATAACTGAGTATTCATTAGTCATTGCTGCCTGATCCCTGCATCTTCCCTGTTGGCGAAGTCCGACTTACACATTCCAGTCTGCCTATAACAAACATTACATGTCAGATGCCGTGCTCGTGGATCAGAAAGAATCTAGGCTTACCACCACTCCATGGTCTTGTACTTGACCTCGGCGTTGGACTCGTCGCCAAACGCGTCCACGTATCGTGGCGGACTGTCTTTCATGTCTTCAGCTGGGCTTTCCTTCCATCCTACCTCCGAATCCATGGGATTAGACATGGGCGTGACTCTTTCAGGACTCATTTTGCCGTCGATATAGACTTCTCGAAGGGCAAATCAGGACAGAAGGATCACAAGAATCGAGACTTGTGCAACCAGGGAGTCGTCTGTGGGAGTGAAAATTTTCTCGACGACCCGTGGGGTAAAGCTCAAGTCATTAAGTAACCGAACCCCGGAACTCGGCCATTTCTGCAAGACGAGCACGATGGAGAAAGTGATACGCAGCAAATAAGGAAAGGGCAGATGTGGCGTTGTACGTAAAGCTTCAGAAAATTTAAGCATTTCCCGGTCCACTTAAGATCCACCGACCAGGCACTCCGCCAATCGCCGCCTCGCTCGCAGATGGATTTATAACGGAAATCTAGCCATCAGCCCGCTCAGATCACTATCATATTTTTTCGTGTGTGCTCTTGATGATGATTGTTTGCTGGGCTAGTTGATATTTCTGGCATCTGAGCTCCGGCGATAGGAGCGAAGCTCAACCCTCGCTATGTTGCTACCATTTGCATACATGAGCGTCGCCTCGATAACGTAAACAATTTATCTCCTGTCTTTCGTATTAACATCTAAAAATTATTTGGCTACCCACGGTGCCTGGACCCCATTGCTAATCTACCCTTTCTTCCCCTCAACAACGGTGCCTACTACTGCACGGTCTATTGGCCTAGACGCCGCTTAAGTGAGGAATGCGGGTTGGATTTCAGAACTTTGCTTCCGAGGTCTGTTGCACAACGACATATCCTGTTAATACCACCAGCTCAGCAATCACTAAGAGCTCGTCGGGCAAGTACCCGACCAGCATACGCCACTTTCATAACTCCACAGACGGTGTAACATCCTATGTGCTGGTTAGTATTCCTGCATTGCGATCGAGTCTGGCTCTGGCCATGGGCGGTCAGCATGCATTTCTTGTATATTCTGAATCCAGCCCTGATAGCTATAAATACTACAAGCATAAAAGTAACCTCCTAAGACTTTGAAATGATCTGCGTACGCTCACATGTCTCTTTCCAACTGGCCTAGCGGGCGAAGCCTGATCTTATCTCCATGGGGCAGGACCTGCCTCGCCGGCGGTTGATATACTAACCAATCTTTGGCATTCCGTCCCGGGCCATGGTTGCTTTTGGCAAGTCAGGGATTGCATCGAGGCATTGGGGTCATACCAGTGATCTTCATTTACTACATTCACCACGACACCGCCTTTACCCCGCTGCTCTATTCATACCCCGCCGAAATCTTCCCCTTCCGTCTCTGCAGCTCCGGCCTGAGTCAAACACTATTACACTGGCCGCCCTGTTTCGGCCGGACGGTCGGGCGGTCAACAGCAAAAAACGTTGATTCTGCCAGGGGGGGGTGTTGAGGGGGTGTCGTGCCAAATCCGTCCTGCTAGTACATTGCCTAATCAGTGCCCACTGCTCCGTCCGGCCGGCGTATGGTGGAACCCCTAGTGGGCCGTCCGGCTAATGCACTGCCTAATCACTACCTTTATATATTGTCTGGCTGATGCATCGCCTAATCACCACCTCTACGCGTTGTCCGGCTAACATACCACCTAATCACTATTATCACGCCCTTGTCCTGCTGACGTATCACCTAATCACCACCCCCTACGCCCGTGTCTGACCAACGCACCCCCTAATCACTATTATCACGCCCTTGTCCTGCTAACGCATCACCTAATCACTACTATAGCATATTATCTGGCTGATACACCACCTAATCACTACCTCTATATATTATCTGACTAACGTACTACCTAATAATTATTATTACTAGTACCTCTTATCTTTGTCTATCTAGCTAATATAATAGCTAAGTATAATCTTACTATTACTATAGCTAGCTACCTTTCTTCTTACCTAAGTAGTACTATTTTCTATAATATATATCTAGTTTCCCTTTCTCCTAAAGCCACTAGTATTAGAGTTAACCCATGTAATCACCCCCTATAGTAATAGTATATATAATATATCTAGTATATAATTATCTAGCCTCCCATATTTATAAGAGCTTTATAGATAGTAGAAGTATCTAACCCTTCTTATAATTAAGCACTAGTGTCACGGGCCAGTGCCCGATATTGGACACGGGCTAGTGCCCGTGCACGTGACCTTGGCATGTTGATAGGAAGAACGCGCCTAGAGAACTTCCTTTCTCTAAGCTTTTCGTACACAGTTCGTGGCCTAGCTAGATTGAATATAAGTCCGGCTTCAGCCCTTCACAGGGGGGTAGGCGTAGATACCGAATAATTAAATTGCTTTAGGACCTCTTTAGGATTATAAGGCACTATCCCAGCTGCGCGAAAGCCACTCTGGGTGTTCTAAATAGTAAAGACCTTATCGCGAGCTTTAGGATAGGCCTTTAGGAAGTCATGTTTATTAATATAGTGGAAGCCCAGGCGCATCTTCGCTTCAATTAGGCCTCCATAAGCTCGCTTTAATGGCCCAAAGCAACCAACATCTAGTGGTTGAAGCAGGTGCGATGAATGCGCAGGCATGCAGATATAGATAATCTTATTATCTCTACAAACCTTATCGAATTTAGGGGTCAAATGACTCCCATGACCGTCCAGAACAAGCAGTCGATGACTTCCAATTATGCGCTCAGTTGTATAAGGAATAAAGCACTTCTAAAGCCACTGGAGGGTTATCTTATTAGTGGTCCATCCATTCGCGCTTAATTCAATCCTCTAGTCACCTGGGAGACCTAGTTCTTCGAACCATCCTTTAATATGGACCTTCCCTTTGAAGATTATGATTAGTGGAATAACATATCCCTCTGACCTAATACATTCAATCGCGGTGACCCATTCGCGCTGGCCTAGCTGAATAAGACGAGGCTTCCCAAGCATCTCAGCCCTTGTGACAACCTGTGAGGTTATAATTAGGCCCATAGCGAAGCCAGTTTTATTAAAGTTATAGATATCTTCATGTTATATGCCGTTCTCATTTCGCAAGGCCTCTAAAGTCTTAAACCACTGCTTCATGGCTTTAGGATCCTCGCAGAGGGCGCGCTAATAGTTATACTTACACGCAAATCGACTTTTAATGCTTTCATGGCGCTTAATAAAGCCAGTAACCCAGTTCTGCCTAAGCGGCTTGGGGGGCGTTGTTGAATCGACTTGGAGGAGAAGATATGCCATTTGCTGCACATGTGAGACCCTAGGAGCGACTCCTCATTGGTCTCTAGATAATATCTATTTAACTAATGCCTCTTCCTGAGTTTCAGAGAGTCGGAATGAGCGGTTGCGATGTTCTGCTTGAAATTCATATCCTTGGATGTAATCGCGGAGTATTGTGTAGGGTATATTAAAAACTTCTATTACTTAATAAATACTCAGAATTTCGCCCTTTTTTAAAGCTTGTATTACAAGTTGAATCCTCCCCTCTTGCTTAGCTAAACTTCGACGAGATTGACGCGGTTTTCGTGGCATGGTTGGTGGTTGAATAATTACGCGTTGAACGCGCGATGATTTTTGGTGGGTGATCGGACAGACCGTGGTGATCGGACCGACCGTGAATTACGTTAAGTGGCAGATCAACCTCGAATAATAGACCCATCGGAAACAAATTAGAACGATGCCCTTACTCCTGGTTACTTCGGGAGAACACTCGAGACCTCATACCACGCTTTTCAACCTCACACACATCTTTCCTGCCTTCCGCCAAATTCTGACAACTGAACTATCGCGACCTTGTCCTTGGCTTTGAGCCTTCGTACGGCCCTTACTGAGGAATCAAGGCTTCGGAAGCAGCCTCCGAATCTACCCGCAACGCTATAATAAGAGCCTAGGACGTAAAAACAGTTAAAGCAGCGATAGAGTAGGTATTGTGATACTGAACGAACCAAAAGTCGCTAGCAAGCAGAAGCTGTCTATCATCACACCGCCTTTACAGTACTAATCAGATACGGTCTTTTCTGCCTAAAACCCGAAACCGCCGAGCATCGCGCCCTTGTGCTTAAATCCCGATTCTTGGGGCTTAAAATCCCCCGCTTTAAACTCCTTTACTTTCGCCTCTTCAAGTTCAACAGCCTTGCCATCTTTTGCTTCGACACGGTATATCCCATTCTTAAGTAACCTGTTAGCCCTGTCCTTGATTGTACATGTATTTCTGAGACGGAGTAGGAATTACCTCGAAGCTTTTGACGGTGCCGACACTACCACTTCCGTTCTCAGTAGGATATATGACTCTCGTCCCTCTGTGACTTGGTTAGGAAACATATAGTACTCTATCGGGAACATTTGACGTACTCGGTGAATGGCATGATGATTGATTTTTTCCTGCTATACAGTGTTTGGGCTTCACTTGAAAGTGCGCCAAAACGTCCAGCTTTTAAATATTCTTTCCTGTGGGCGTCATATGACCAAAAGCCTCCACCCGGCGGCTGAAGGCGTAAATTCCCTCAGCTGAGCTTTTCACCATGGTCGTATCGCTAGCCACGATAAGAATTTACTGTAGAGTTTAGGTTGTGGCTGGCTGAAAAAGGCCAGCCAGCAAATGGGAGAGTAAGCAAATCCAAGGCAGGACTCAGCTCGTCATGCGTTGCCTATTTGCCGAATCTAGTGCTGTGAGCCTTTGTGCGGCTTGTTGATTGGCTCAGGTCCTGCGGTTTGGTGGAGCTGAAACCAACAGCCCATATTATTTAAAAAAATAATATCATAGCCAGCTAATCCTCGTTGTGAATTAATTGGAAAAGATTTCGAAGAACACCGCATTGAACAAAACTGCTATAATGAATATCCGATTCTAGCTCAATCCATTAGTTAGGATCATGCTAATACGGATAGCAATCAAGCTATATAATTAGCTTACGCTGCCAAGAATCAATGTTTCTAGGCATCTTGAAAGTGGTCCAGGTGACTCCTCAGCGTGTCAGGATGGTCCACGCCAAGCTTTGTCTTGCGAGTCTCCATGACCTGCACCTGGAGCTACCCCGCTTTCCAATTGAAGCCTGAGGCAGCAGGAGATTGAATTGTAAGGGGCAGCCAGGTGGTTTGACATGTTTGCTCTAATCAAAATTGGTTGGCGTTGACGGCCTGGCCAAGCTGAACTCTTATTAGTTAGTTAGCCGATGCAGCCTAAGACAAGAAATCGTTGATTGTTTGATGTGTTTGATGTGTTTGCGTGTCTACGGAAGCTGAACTCGAGACGACATCACACCGACGTCTCTGATTCATGCATCTGCTGCAAAATGGCACGACGCCTGAAGCCCTTAAAGCGTACAAAAATTGTTCATATGATACGTAGCAGAAAATTCACCTCGTCTCAGAAAGCGATAAGCGTGGGATGCGATAGGCGGTCTGTATCAACCATCCGCAAGAACCTTCGTTTGTTCGGCACTCCTGGAACTCCTTCAGTTCACGCTAGTTGCCCATCAACGGTTACCCTATATATGTCCGAGGTCCTAACCCAGGGGGGGTAGCCCGATGAGGGCTCATCGGAGTTAGGGTTCAGGCGGCGCTTAACCCCATTGGGTTTTAGCAGCGCGCTGATTGGTT